CGTGCGCTCCTGCTTTTCCCACTCTGTTTTAATGGCCGCATCGTTGTAGAGCTTACGCAGTCGCTTGGCCTTCAGGTGCAAAAGCCGTGGGGCGTATGTCTCTCTGAGCAAGATGAAGGCGATGACTTGCACCGTGAAGTTCAAGATGACTATGGACCAAAAGGTCCACCGCCAGGTAGCGTACTGAGAGATATACCCACCCGCTGTACATTCAAGAATGATTAGGCTTACACTTGATGCACTTCAGTGGTTTCTGGGTGATCAACGTACCAATAGGGCCGACTGCAAGGCCTAAAATGGGGGCGAATTGCATGAATGCAATTCCCTTCCCCCGCTCCTCTGGCTTCCAGCAGTCAGCTAATACGCCACTGCCCATCTGACAAAAGTGTCAGCATTTTTTAAAACCTTCTCGAACCAGAGAAACACACCCCTATAGTCGCACTGCCGCCTATACCAGCAAGGAAGCGAAAGGCCAAGATCTGCTCCTTTGATGCTGCAAACCCACAGAGGGTAGTCGAGACAATGAAGATCAAATTCCCAACTCGTACAATTGGGGTTCGACCCCATATCTCCGAGCAAGGAGACAATACAAAAGGTCCTAGTGCGTATGTGAGGAGAAATATTGAGAGCACTAATTGCCGCTCCACCTCATTGGTGATGTGTAGGTCGTGACTGATCGGTCCTAGAGCTGGGGCGGCTATCGACGAGGACAGGGGAGATAAGAACGCGAACGATGATATGATCAAAGATGTCTAGGATTTCTGTGAGCTTGTGCTTGATATTTTAGGGTTTGCCAGAGTGATACTGACTGTCCATTTCTGTCTTCGGTCCCAGTTCTTGGGATTTTCTGGGTCTTCCGGCCCATCCCAAGTCACCTACAACAGTGTATTATCGTCAATCCAAGGCAGCTAATGTGTATCGATCCACAGAGGCTTACAGGTGAATATGTAGAGATGCTTCCGTCACTGCTTTCTTGTAGTCTAGGTTCCGATGTTGAGGGCGTGCCTTTGGCATCGCTGCCATGTTTGTTTATGGTTTCGTCTTCGCATAAGGTCGTCAAAGAGTTGAAAGAGAAGAGAGCTGGTCCTAGGGCTTGTTCAGTATCCTCGTTGGAGTCTTGTCGAGGATCCATGGCAAAAGTAGCAAGGAACAGAAAAGTGCCATCAAAGATAAGGTGCACGAGGGATCACTGTCGAAATGACCTGGCCAAGACTTTTATCACCGAGATTGATCTGCCACTCGAGCACTCCGGACTCCTTATACCACCATGCCACTGACTTCCGTGGCTTGATGTTCACCATGGGTCATAGCATATTTACCATCTTTGCCATGGATCAATAATACGGGCCGCAATTTGCAACTTCCCCAACCACATCTAGGGCTGAGCTAGACACTTGAGCGTATCTCAGCTCTATGGAGCCCTTCGTAAAGCTGCCCATTCGGGCCTTTCGGAAGCTGTCGAGCTCAAACCATCGTACAAAGAAGAAGCTTAGCGCAAGGTTCCGTTCCCCGGAAAGACGGTGTAGGCCGAGCAATGGAGGGACCTGCTTCTTCCCCAGACAACCTTCGAGCGCGCTACGATTTGAACTGGCGCGAACTATCTCACGCCACGGCCCGAATGGCACAAAACAAAAGCCACAAGCGCAATTCCCCGTGTTTTACCCCTGTCCTGGACTCGGACCATGAATAATCGTATTGTTCAAATTTCGATGCCCGATTTATGCCATGAGGTTTATGGAACCCAAAAAGTTCGCGCAACGCAATGCACCGTCACCAGGGACAAAAGAAAGGTCCATCCAGGATTCGAACCTGGGCTTACGGAAGGAACTGATTTTTGGATCAGAATCCGACGTCCTAACCAACTAGACTAATAGACCAATCATGATTGAGAACTGCTTCTCGCTGAGTTGATCGCGAGGTTGCGACGTTCATGTTGCGTGTGGTTGGGGGCTGAAGCCCTCACTGTGGACACATCGTGAAGTGGATCTTGGAATCGTAGCAACCTCAGAGGTGCAAGGTGGGCATCTTAGCTCGAATTGTGGATTTGAACATTCGACATCGAAAATTGGAATGAAAACCTCTACTGGATCAAAGGAGCTGGCATGGAGTCGTTCAGTTCCGAGTACCCGGGTTTAGTTGAATAGCAAATCCTAAACAACGCCATAAAGCAGGAATAAGATGTCTCTCTCCACATTGCAGAGGCGTTTAGCTGTCAGCTGTACTACCTACATGCGTAGCGCTGAGCATAGAATTTCAGCTTGACGCCACAATTCCGGGGTGACAGCAATATCCCATAAGGGGAATTTGGTCACGCGACGCAGCTGTGCTTTCCATGTCTGATGGTGTGCTCTGAAGATAGGATTAACATCATTTGTGTAGGGTCAATCCATGGACTCAACAGTTATGAAATCTGCACTGCCTTGCACAAGGCTAGTGCAATTTACGTCGACCATGCCTACTTGATCCAATACTAACAACAGAGTAAATCTGGCCGCATCCAAGCTCTGCATCTTAATCGATGCAACGTAGCAGAGCAGTTACGCTCCTCGTCCGTCTCAGCTTGCGGTAATGCTTTGTTACAGCGACGATCACGGTAGGTGCTTTAGGAAGCTCCGTGGGTCCTGAGCTATTTTCAAAAGCTTGGGCTAGGTCAAACTTGCATCAGAAGAGCGACTAATAAACAGAGCCGGAATTAACGACCCTCTTAAAATAGTCGTTACAGACGGGAAAAACTTTGTTGTTCGCCTTGGCTCTTCAGATAGTAAGAAGCATTGAGGCTACAGGTCTTGGGATCACTCAAAACCTGCAGCTTTAACACCCACTGGGCGATTGGTTTAGTGGTATAATGACCGCTTAGCATGCGGTAGGTCCTGGGTTCGATTCCCAGATCGTCCATTGCTTTTTGCAAGTTCCATCATCTTGCTGTCGCCGTCTGTTGGGTGTAATTTTTTGTGCCAATTTAAGCACCTTTATCAAAAGGAAGTACGGCACGGAAGAAAGCATATCTGCAGATACCTTGGGATGATTGGGGTCGCACCCGGAAGGTTAAATGCAGTGTGTGGGGTAAACCGGCCGGATGCCGATCCCCCTCCCACCCGCGCTTGGAGACATCTCGAAAGGGACGTGTTCCCATGATCCTCCGAGATTCAAGGGGCACGGTTCAGACTAAATTACTTTATTTTCTTATTTAGAAACCAAGGTACTTTTGTTTAGCTTGCACGATCACACTTCAGCCGGACAGCCGCCGCTGACTTAACCTTGAAAGCTTGGCGATCGACCAGATTCATTAATATGGTGCAATATCCCGGTTAGATGCTACACCGTTCGAACTTCTGGCTCTGCACCTTTGTCTACTATCGTGTCCCGTCGTTACAGCAACTTGATCTCGATATGGCCGGAACCATTGCTGCTCCCCAGCCTTCGCGGAGCTTAGTGATGTGTCCCGAGAATCTTTTCCTTGCGAGTGCAGGCTGATGCCTCCGATGCTTTGTTTATATGATCAATTCGACTTGCCCTTGCACCTCCAGGTAACTGTCTCGTGAGGTAGGCTAGATAACGGTGTCACCGCCCACGCAGACCCAGCGAAATCGAAAAAAATAAACCTGATCATGTTTCCCTCCCTAGCGATCCTGTTTGTATTTGTCTCTCTAGCATCCGCTCACAGCCGAGTGACGAATTTCGTAATCGACGGTGCATCCTACCAAGGCTTCAACACACGATCCTCGAACCCCGACATCCTCGCGGCATGGAGCACGACAGTTGTGAATGACGGTTGGATCAGCACCGAGAGCTACGGCAAACCTGACATTGTCTGTCATATCAATGCGACCAACGCTCAGGGCCATGCACCCATTGCTGCTGGTGACACCATTGACTTTCAATGGCAAGGTTGGCCCGAGTCACATCACGGCCCCGTCATCACGTACCTTGCGTTTTGCGGCATTGCCAGAGGGTCCTGCGAGTCCATCGACAAGACAAAGTTGAGCTTTTTTGCGATTGACAAGGTCGGACTGGTTGATCCGAGTGCCAATGCCACGAGTTTTGCAACGGCGTGGGGAATTTGGGCCAGCGACATCCTCATCAGCAATAATGCGACCTGGGCGGTGCAGATCCCGCCCAATATCCAACCGGGTTACTATGTGCTTCGACATGAGATCATTGCACTCCATTTTGCTAGGTATCCAGGGCAGGGCGCGCAGCACTATCCTCAGTGTGTCAACATTGAAGTTACTGGCGGCGGGAGCGACGGACCCGCTGGGACGCCGGCCGTGGATTTGTATCAAGCGGCGGAGGATGGGTTGATCTATGACATCTCCCAATCGCCTACTGGGACGTACAACATCCCGGGGCCGACGATGTACACTGGCGCAACGGCTTTCGTCTCTCAGACTGGGGTGCTGGTCCGTTCATCAACGACTGCGATACCCGGCCGACCGATTGCAACTCAGAGTTGATAAAATCGAGCATAGGAATCGTCGCTAGGTCAGAGGCTTGACTGACTGATGAGTACTAGTACCTGAAAAGCTCGTTCTACTGCCGTTCTTGGAAGAAATGGGGCTGATGGAGACGAGCCGGCCGGATGCTGTCGGTGTGTCACAATAGGGCGGTAGCTAGCCCATGACAAGTTGCGTAGAGTTTGACTCAAAATGACACAAGTCGTCCAGTTTATTTATCCTAGATCCATATATGCTGTCGTGAAGGGCGTTCAAGGCGTAAAAATATGACAAGCGATGCATGTAAACGACGGCTAATCGACAGGACAACCATAGCTGCTGATTGCTTCCATCCACGGCTGACGCTGCGCCGGTGCGATACCCCCGGTTTCGGGCGCATTTGCCGGAGACAAGGTCCGGGGCCAATGCCTTTGCCTATCGCTCTTCACTCTCCTACTTCAACCCAACTGCATCTGCCATTTGCAATTGACTGAGACCCATTGGCTCCCTCGAACAAGTTATTCCGTTACTCTTGTTTCCAATCTCCTAACAGCAGTCATTCTCACCATGATTGCCCGCCTAAGGCCAGTAATTCTGTCCGTTCCCCGCCGGGTGAGGTCCCTCTCAACCGCGCGGGGTTCCTTATCTGGACTCAAGATCAACACCGACCGCCTTCAAGAGACGATTCATCATACGTGTCAATGGGGTGCAGCGCATCGATACGGAAAGTAAGTTTTTGTATCTTTTGCTCCTTTCAACGACTGAGCCGGCCTCAACGCTTACCAGCATGACGGCAGGGGTGCGACACAGACAGGCATGGCCAGACTGGCGCTGTCCGACGACGATGCTCGCGTGAGAAAATGGTTCGCCGATGAGGTGGCAAGCCTTGACTGTGAACTGGCAATCGACGAGATGGGAAACATGTTTGCGAAACGTCAAGGAGCGCTCAAATCTTCTGCTCCGATGACAGCCATGGGGAGCCATCTTGATACCCAACCCCGCGGTGGCAGATATGACGGCATTCTGGGCGTTCTAGCCGCCATAGAGGTGATGAGAACACTAAAAGACAATAACTTCAAGACGCAATTCGATGTTGGTATCGTTAATTGGACCAAGTAAGTGTGATAATCACCTCCAAAAAGGCCGCATAATGGCTGACAGAAAACAGCGAAGAAGGCGCCCGTTTCCCGAGATCAATGATGTCCTCCGGCGTCTGGGCAGGTGAAACCCCGCGGGAAAAGGCCTGGGACTTAGGCGATATCTTCGACCCTTCTGTGACCGTCAAGTCCGAGCTGGAGCGACACGGCTACATCGGTCCGCTCGCCTGTTCAAGCGACGCATCAACTGGTTACCCTCTGGGTGCACACTTTGAGTTGCACATCGAGCAGGGCCCCATCCTCGAGGAGAACGGCAGGAAGATCGGCGTCGTGCAGGGCGCGCAGGCGTATCGCTGGTTCACCTTCACCATCACAGGCCGCGATGCACACACGGGCACCACGCCGTTGAAGTCTCGCAGGGACCCGTTGCTCGCGGCGTCCAAGATGATTGTTTCCTCCAACGCCATCGCGAAGGAGCTCGGGGCGCTGGCGTCGACAGGTGTTCTCAAGATCCCACCCAGCTCGTCGACCAACACCATCGTCTCGGAGGTTACCTTCACGCTTGATATTCGCCATCCCGAAGACGCAGTTGTCGAAGAGGTACAAAGGCGCTGCATCGAGTCGTTTGAGAAGATCGCCGGGGAGGATGGCCGCGGGGTCGAGGTGCAGTGGACGCTCGATACCGATTCGCCCGCGGTCAAGTTTGACAAGGAGTGCATCCAAGCCGTGGAGAATGCAGCGATTGGTCTTTTTGGGCCGGACGGCTGGCTGCCGTTGACGAGCGGCGCGGGGCATGACAGCGTTTACACGAGCAAGCGGTGCCCGACGACGATGATTTTCGTCCCTTGCAAGGACGGCGTGAGCCATCACCCGGAGGAATATTGCAGTCCGGAAGATTGGTCAGTGGATGAGCCCATGGTTTCGTTAAAATTGTGAGCTAACTTTGCTGCAGCGCGAATGGCACTCAAGCCCTGCTCGAAGCCGTTGTAAGCTACGACCATCTGAGAGCTAGCAAAAAGTGAAGTTGTATGAGAGCTTGTGAGAAGGAGGAATTGACAGAAAGCCGTTGGAATCATTTTCTATCAGTACCATGTCATTTCGCCCATGCAAATGAAGTGTTCTTCATTGAGAGTATGGTTGAGGTGAGCATCCGTGAATGAGCACTCAGTGAGTGAGTAAGTCCGAGCACATGCGTTCACTCCTGCATCGAACTCATCGCATGAATGTCCTGGACTGGCCTAAACAAATACCAACAGGCGTCATTTGTAAGAAAGCTTTAATTTATCAGCACGCCCTTATGTTGATTGTCATTATCGCGCCTTTGCGACGCGACGATCTCACTTCAGGCCAACCAGGCTCACCCATGATGTCAGACCCTCAAAGACCACCGGCGAGTGAGTTTGGGACTTTGGTGCTTTTAGCGCTGTAGAAACAACCGTGCTGGACCTCGGAGACCCCCCACGCTCACTCCCGATGCCACAAGACAGCCACACATCATCTAAGGGGCGCCGAAACAGCGAACATGGATTAGTAAGACTGTAGCATGTTATGACCACCCAATTGTGACGCCATATGCACATCCGGATCGTCCAAATAAGGGCGTGTTTGTTGACCATCGGGATAAAACATCGTCGATGAACCAGCCTGTCCAGTCTCGTCGGAGCAGCCAACGAAGCAATTGAATCAGGCACATCTCCAGACACTATCTACAGTTGGCAATAATTCACGCCGCAATTCCGAGTAGAAGCTTCACAGGGTCAAAAATACACAAAACTACACCATCACCATGGCATCCGGAATCAAGCCGTACAAGATCGAGGTTCCACAATCAAAGATTGAGGAGCTCCACGCCAAGCTCGATCTCGCAAAGTTCCCACCAGAGTCTGCGCTCACCGAAAGCTGGGACTATGGCGCCCCGGTCTCGGAAGTGAAGAGGTTGGCCGAGCGCTGGCGCAACGGCTTCGATTGGCGCGCTGCAGAGGCCAAGCTGAATGAGTTGCCGCAATTCACGACAACCATCTCAGTGGATGGCTTCGGCGACCTCGAGATCCACTTCATTCACCAGAAGAGCAAGCAACCTGGAGCTGTGCCGCTGCTATTCTCTCACGGCTGTAGGTTTCACCCCGTCCACTCTTCACACGTATGTCGCCCATGACTGACTTGAGATCAGGGCCTGGTAGCTTCCTTGAGGTCCTCAAGATTCTCCCGCTGTTGACGACGGAGAAGAATGGTCTTTCTTTCGATGTTGTGGCACCGTCTCTTCCTAACTTTGGGTTCTCGGAGGGCCCGGACAAACCAGGCTTCCGCCTACCTCAGTACGCCGAAGTCATGCACAAGGTGATGCTAAAGCTCGGCTACGAGCAGTATGGTGAGTATTCACATTTGAGCAGTCATTGAAACGTGAGCTTACAACCGGGTAGTCACTCAAGGAGGCGATTGGGGCTTTGGAATCACCAGATTCATGGGCCTACTCTACCCAGACCACGTCCTTGCATCTCACATCAACATGGTCTCTGCGAGCCCACCGTCCTTCTTCAAGAACCCGCTACAGTACATTAAGAATCTTTTCCCTTACTCTGAGAAGGAGAAGAAAGGCATTGAGCGAAGCCAGTGGTTCCAGAGAGAGGGTCGCGGATACAACCTTGAGCAGAGCACCAAGCCCGCGACCTTGGGCCTCGCGTGGGCCGACTCGCCCGTGGCGCTGCTATCCTGGATCCTTGAGAAGCTGCATGACTGGACTGATTCATATCCATGGACCGACGACGAGCTTCTGACTTGGATTTCCATCTACCAGTTCTCTACGGCTGGACCCGAGGCCAGCGCGCGGATTTACTACGAGGTTGCGCACCCTAAGCCGCACACGGAGCACATTACATGGGTTCCGCGGGTGAAGCTTGGGTTATCCATCTTCCCCATGGACCTAATCGTTCCGCCGATGAGCCATGCCAAGACGCTGGGTCCCGTTGTATTTGCTGTCACGCATGGTGATGGTGGGCATTTTGCTGCCCATGAGAGGCCTGAGATATTGGTTAAGGATTTGAGGGAAATGTTCAGCAAGGGTGGTGGTGCGCACGATGTTGCGGAGGTGCTGTCGAAACAAAGTCTTCGATCAAAGTTGTAAAGCAGCTTGGCAATGTCACTATGATGTTCACTTCTGAAATTGATATTCAAAATCTTGATTTCATGTTCTTCTCAAGATGGCCAGCTGTTAACCCTGTGGAATACCAGCCTCGTACTAATTTACGTCCCTTATACCCATTAATTAATTATGTTTTCCAACGCCAGATAAGAATGTGCCATGCTCGCATCACAGAATCAACATCTATACATGGAGGTAATGGTCGTCAGACTTCATGACGATGGGGTATTAAACTGTGAGGTAAGTCAAACCCCCCACTTCCTGGCACCCCCCTGTTTCTGGCACCCACAAAAACGATGGGATCACAACCCAACCTCCTCATTACTATTAACTATTGATCCTCAACCACACCCACTACAATACAACTGCCAGCCTCACTAGGGCATTCAGAGTCGCTGGATTCAGCCGTAATAACCTCCTTTTCACCCGCTTCGATTTGAGCCCGATGGATATCCCTGATGTTCGCAAACTTCGTGTTGGGATCGATCTGAACAGTCTTCCTCTTCCTAACTGCAGCGTTGGTAACTTGAGCCCTCAGGTGAGCCAGCTGCTGCTGGGCAGCTGCCAGTTGCCAGGCCTGCTCTGTGAAGCCTTTTCACCTTCCTGAACAGCAGCCGTTGAGTGCTGGTATCATTGTCGAGTTGGGTGTATAAGTGCAGTTGACCGCTGAGCTCTGCCAGCTTCCTGGGTGTCGACCAGACCACTGCAGAGGAAGCAGAATCCCATGGCTCAACAGGGGTAGTTTGTTGACCATTATGGCATCGCTTTTGCCCCGACTGGTTGGTTTGGGTGTGGTGGGCAGCAGAAGGCTCAGGTAATACCATAGGGTTCATCAGGGGCTTAACCATCGCTACAGGGTGTAGACCAGTCCACTTCCAACCACTTCTGATGTTCGAGACTGATAGACCAGCAAGTCGAGCCTTCTGGTAACAGTCCAGGAAGTTCCTTTTTACCTATAATGGTAGAGTCGTTCCATTGAGACAAGTAACCGAGCTCCTTCCGATAGGCTGACTTAACAGGGCTGAAGACAGACTGGTCAAGTGGCTGGAGGACATGAGAGGAGTGTGGTGGTAAGAACAGTAAATGGATATTGTTAATATAGCAATTCCACATGAAGTCTGTCGTCGTGACTCCCATGCCCATCCACAATCAACAGTCGAGCCTCGCCCTCAGCCTCGGGCATAGTCTGTGGATAAACACCTTCTCTAACCATTCAATGGCAGTTAAGTCTGTAGTCCAGCCATTATCTGTTGCTGTAAACTCCCACCCATCGTATGGAACCAGATGTAATGGAAACCACTGTTGTTGGACCGTCTCCCTTGAAAATGATAAGAGGACGAAGTGCCCTACCCAAGGCTGAGATACACTCAATGATAGAGACCCATGCCCTCGACCCAGGTTGTTTCTTGCGAACAGACGTCGTCTCAGCCATGCCCAGCACTAACCCATTAGCCCCTGACCCTCGAGGATGCCAGTCTCATCCATATTATATCTGTTGGCTGGTTTGATGTCCTTGATCTCAGGGATAGCAAGGAACTTAAACCAGTTCCTAATGACCTCAGTAGATGCCCCATTAACGCGTCTAGAATCGATGGAACGACTTCTCTGAACCTTAATGATAGGGTTCCTTCTCACGAAGGCATAGATCCAGCCTTTTCCTAATGGTTTGGTATCCCCAGCAGCAGCCAGAACTCGCTCTGCGAATTCCTTCACCTGTTGGTGCGTTGGTGCGAGGCCCAGCGAAGCCTGAATGCGAACCCATTGTGCCAGCTTACTCTCTGGTCAGGAGACAGCCTCTGCCAGTCAGCAAAAGCCACTTTCCTAGTCTGACCACCTTGGAGACGTAGTTGGAGGGTTGATCGTGGTATCCCATACTCCAATGAGGCTCTCTTTTGACTCTTGCCGTTTGAGATGTCCTCGAGAGCCTGACGAAGCTGATCTTCGGTATATTGAGGCATTAGATATAGAAGAAGGTATGTGCAAAAAATGAGCCCATTTGGACTCGAATTGAAAATGTTGTGATAAAAGGAGGTTGGGGGTGGGCATTGCGTTGTGGTGGATTTTCGCGTTTTTGTGGGTGCCAGAAACAGGGGGGTGCCGGGAAGTGGGGGGTTTGACTTAGCCCATGGCTTCCCGGGTTGGCCGCAGCTAAATCTTTCGGGTCTGCTGGTAGATCCTGGCCAGGGTTGGCCTCTTCATAGTGTGCCCATTTCACAAACCGGTAGTACGCAGCTGCAAGAGCAGCTCCCATGCATGGCCCAAGCCAGTAGATCCAGTGATAGTTTGGGAACGACCTGCCTGCAACGGCGCACCCAAAGCTGCGGGCGGGGTTGAGGGAGCCACCAGTAACCCAGACACCTATTCGATTATCAGAAACTCGTTTGATGAGATTGAAGTAGAAAGTCTTCTTACCTGGAATGAGAATCATAAATAAAGCCAGCCCGACACCGATTGGTGCGAGGAAGGTATCACGAGACTTCTCCACGGCCAACATGAAAACAACGATGACGAGCTGTGCGGTGAAGAACATCTCAAGGAAGAGTCCCTGGGCAACAGATGTCCCAATGCCAAGCAGCGAGTTTGCCTGCGAAACTTGGCCCGGAAACATGGCTTCAACCAGTCCGCCGGCGCACATCGCGGCCAGCATCTGAGCCGGCACGAGGAAAGCGGACCGCATCCACGGCAACTGACCACCGAGGGAAAGGCCGAGAGTGACCTAGTCTCGTTCATCAGCATGCGACTCAACAAGTGTGGCAGGCTGTGTGTTGTTCCCCTGAAATCATATGCACTTACCGCAGGATTGAAGAGACCACCGCTGATGCGGTAAAAGGTCCAAACATTGACAAGCAGAGAGAGACCGTACGACAGAGCGATGAAGACGACGCCCTCGCTGCTCAACGTGCCATCGCCGGCCGAGGAAACCCCCTGCTTGATCACCATGATGTTGCCGGCGTACGCAAAGTACAGGAAGAAAAAAGTGCCGACGAACTCGCCCGAGGCGGCAACGAGGTGGCCTCCCATGGCGCTGAGATGTGTTTGGGGAATTTCGTGGTGCTGCCCGTTGGCATGATCATGGTGGCGGTCTTGGGGTTTCGACATCTTTAAACTCTCCTTTCTCTATCTCCCTTCTGTTTCTGTTTCTCTCTGGCCTCTGAATCAGTTGCTTGCGTCGATGCTGGTAGCGCTATCACCATCAAGGGACATGGGTGGAAGGGAGAAACATCCGAGTGCAAGGGAGGGGACCCTTTTGAACATGTATGATGGCGACATTGTACCTACTTTAGGTATGGGGGAATAACAGCCATAGGGGGTAAACACAAAGGAATATCACAAAACGCCGTGCCAGAAATTCTCCGTTGGGGGTTTAGCTCAACGGGTGTGGCTTGGAACGTGGATAACTGCAAGCGGCTCTAATGACTCTTCGTGATGCGGTGCGCACGTCAGTGGTACCCCCATGGTGAGACATTTAGCCTGGCGCCCCCAATCATCGGTGCATTCGTTGAAGCTGCCGTAAGCCGCAGACGTGCTGGAATCTCTTAATCTGCCGCGCCGCCGTTCACTATCGAGGCTCGATACGATGGCAAGCGACCAGGCCGCGCGCCCGCCTCCACTGCTCCATCATCCCGCGTTTGATTTGTTGACAAAGAGTGAAATTCCTACGCCTCGCGCCTGGGTCGTCTCCCCTTTCTGCGTGGCTTTCTCCGCGTCTGGGACATTCCCCACGCCATCCACATACGTGTGGCCCAGAACTCCCCCCATCTCTGGAAATCCGAAATAGAAAGTCTAGCGTCCGTCCGTCAGTTTGTTAGTGCTGGAGCTAGGGGTCCCGAAAGCCTCCGTGCCGTCAACCGGTCAACGGAAACAGGCAGTAGGCAGGTCCGAGAAATTGTTTTGATGTTCGACAGAGTGTTGTGTTTGGACTTGTACCTGTTGAACACACTCTCACTTACATCAGATTGGTGCAACTTGGTTTGAATTGCCTTGTGTAGGTAGAATTCACCATTGAAGTTGAGGCTGGCTGCGCCGGTTAACAGCTTTGTATCACTTTGAAGTGTCACGCCGAATACGAGATAGTCAACATTCAAACATGCGCTAGGGAAGCAGTTGCCGAAGTGCTGTGGGCCGGTGTTAAATCACTCACTCTCTTGTTTGCGTCATAGAAATCATGAGTACGGAAGAGATGACTTCCGTTATACAATAGCGCTAGCAATTTAGTGAATAGTAATGTTAGCTCGGTTCTCAAATAGATGGTATGGGATCTCCAGTTGCTTTTTCCAATAACCAGATTCATTGCTAGATGTAGATAGGAAGCGTTGTCCAGGTCCAGGAAATGATCGCAAGCCTTTATCATGAAATACCTAACGGATATCATTCATTGTGTAATGCAACGGTGTGGTTCAAATGTACCGAAACATGCAGCAGTCCACAAGTACGACCGTTGTAGCAAGTGCGACTTCCATTTGGTGTCCTATGTCGCACATCCGGGCGAATGATGTTGTTGCCGCGCAATTTAGCTTTTCGGTTCTCTTTTGGCGGCGACATCGATGAGGTCGAAAATGGGCTCAAGCATGCCCTTGCTTTGCTCACAACACCAGTGCAGGATGAAAAGATGAGCTTACGTCAAAGTGCCGACAAAGGGGTTGATCAAGTTCTAGCTTGCGGCTGACAGAAATGCAGTCTTAATTCCGTGTCAGCCGCAATTCAAAAACATGCCAAAATGAGATGAAACTATTGGGAAAACAGATGCTATATGGCTACATGTGCTCTCACCATGCCGCGAGCCTGCTCTTTGACAGGAATAGCAATGGAACGTAACAGGGCCGGCCTTTTCGTCACTACAGTTACTAGCCAACTCATTCGAAGAATACCTGAGCTAAGGGATCCGATTATGAAGGCCGTACAAAAGGAGCTTGATATACGTGGGAAAAACTCCGAACAAGGTTTGATGGACTGATCTCGAGACTGCTGAAAGAACTGAAGTTTGATGGACTCTTAATCCCAACGCTTGTCTTCGTCATCGACCCGCTAGATGAATGTTACACCGGGAAAATTCAATCCCCTGGACAGGATAGAAGCCGGACGCTCCTGCGGAAGCTTACCAAGTTAGCGGTCATTACGGAAGTGAGAGTCCGAATTTTCTTTACCAGTCGGCCAGAGGTTCCGATTCGGTTTGGGTTCCGGGGAATGTATCTGAGGGCTTGGATCAAGACGTGGCGCTTCACGGAATGCCACGCCCCGTTATCGATTACGATATTGGAGTCTTTATCAAGATTCAGCTTGAAGATATACGAAATTCCTACCAGATTTCGCAGGACTGGCCAGGAGAAAGTATCGTCAAACACCTTGTTGACACTTCTACTCCTCTCTTCATTTACGCTGCAACTATCCGCAAATTGGTCAACGATCCAAGGCGAAGATTCAGCCCTCGAATTCAAGTAGAGAACTTTTTGTCCCAAGGCCAAAGCGCCAAGACAACGCGCGGTATTGCAACCACCTATCAGCCTATTCTGGAACAACCTTCGGCTGATCTAGACGATTTTGAACAGCAAGACCTGCTTGATCAGTTTGTATTGATCGTTGGCTCTGTTGTTCTTCTGGCAGAACCTCTGTCGATCCCGTCTCTCTCTCCCGACTACTTCACTCTGATCAAGATGAAGCTGATCATGATCTGGACAGCCTACAATCGGTTTTGAGCATTCCAGAAGATTTTGATTTCAATAAACCTATCCGAATCTTCCGTACACATGCTTGGTATCAAGTTGTGGTTTACATCGTCGTGCCTTGCTTCATCTTGTGCCCTCGTGGTTTTCGCTGTGACTCAACTCAGCTTCATACCGCTCTCTGTATATCTTGTCGGTGATCTAGAAGGTCTGGAGGATAACCTTTAGCTTGCGACTCGAGAATGATCGACATCTCCTTAGCCATCCTCGAGACCGAGGACCCGGTTGCCATAATCCGCGAGGCTTCTTTATACAAACGAGGTACGCTGCGGCCGCTATGCAGGAGACCGACCCCGGCAATGTGAGGTCTTTTATGATTTCTAACATCCAACCAGCCGTTTAAAAGATCCATGTCAACGACTTGGTCGAGTCGGATGATCTCTATACTGGACGTTCCGGTGCTGGTCCCACTTCCGGCGGAATTAGGATCTTGGTGCTCAAAAATATCTGCGTACACCACCATGTAGAGCACGCAGATCAAGACGCTAAGGATGTCGAGTACTGTTGCGACTCTCGTAGTGCGAAAGTATTGAAGGACTTGCGCTGCGTAGTACAAGCAGTGCCTTGCTCTGCCGACATTCTGCGGTATGATGTCCAGCAGTTCGGACCGGGCTTTGCTGTGACCTGCATCTGTCGTCTGCCATTTGCCGTAGAGGTTGAGTAGCCGCAACGGTGTGACTGAGCAAATGGAAAGAACTCGGGAGAGCAAGGCGAAGTCATTCGAGTTGGTGGCGGCGTCTGTTACGCGCAACATTTGAGAGCATCCTACTTGGGACAAAGCATCGAAGGCTTTCTGGGAGAGCATCGTCCCTACTCCTGGAGCTAGACTTGGTTGACTAGCAGTACTGCCGACAGAGCCGAGTCCCATAGCTCGAAGCAGATCGCTCTCGGCAGCTTGCTGCACGATGGCCGAGAGCAGTATTGTAGACTTAGCCGGTTGTTCTAGACTCGCCGGCACTACATCGCCAAGACCAACGCGTGCAAGTAGAGCACAAAGAGTGGATGAAGGCTGCGGTGGCGGGAGAACGTGCCACTGCTCGTAACTCGAAGACCAGTACGCATCAGCTGTGGGCATCGAATTTTGCAGCTCAGCAATTGAGAGCAGAGGAGGAAGCATGAAGAATGTCGCCTGGAGACACTCTGACACTTTTTGTGTGTGAGTTTCGTAGCACGAGGGTTGTTCAGCGAAGATGACTTACTCCAAGTGAAGTGTATGACCCGGCGCTTGGCTTCGGCTTGTATCCACTGGGACCATGCGTGGTTCGCGTCTTCAGCGGAGGTGTGCGTGTGCATCAAAGTGCCCTCTCGAGACAGCAATTGGCGACAAAGGGTGACGAGGATATTCCGGTAGAATTGCACCTCGATGACAATGCTCCGCTTTCCTGAGAGCCACTGGTTTTGATGAATTAACAATAGGGATTGCGCACAGGTCAAAACGTCATTGCTCGATAGCTCTCGAATCTGCAATTGATTGAATTGCCACATCAGTACCATGTCAGGAGAAAAGCTTCAATGATGGGTCTTACATCTCTTTTCAGCATGTGCTGGGCAATTCGCTGCAGTAGGAGAACATGATCGTCATGGTGGTGCGCTAGGGAATACCGACTGCCAAGACACACCACACTGAGTACTAGCTGCCACGTCTCGGGTAACGCCTGAAATGTGGGTTTATGTAGCAAAGGCATTCGCGGATGAAAGTGCTCAAAATACAATTGCATGTATGCATCAAGGTGCCGCAAAGATGGGAAGTTGGCGTCAAGTCCTTGGGCTTCATGCTGTGGCAGTCGGGTTTTGATGGCTTGGAGCATGTGTGCTCGCGTTTCTGCTGTCATGGGAGGTACATGAGGAATGTACTCAGCGATCAGGATGTCTTCCTCCTCCGCTGTCAGGTTGCCTGGCCCAGTAAAGACCTCAACGGCCTCCGCACCTACTCTTGGTGTTGCTTTTGCACCGAAGCTATTCGGCACGCTCTGGTCATCCACAGGTTCACCGACGGCAGCCAAAGCGGTGTCTCCGAAGCAGAAATCTGTTGATGTCCCAACTCCGAGAGAAGGAACTGGTGAGAAAGGGAACAGAAATTGGGCAGGGGTCAAGAGGGCGTCCCATAGGAGGTCTGGCTCGAGCGGAGGTTGGTCCGAGACGCAAGATTGCGAAGCAATAGGCTGCAAGTGCTGACGAGGCGGAGTAAGGGCAGAGGATACGTCGCCGTCGGCTACAGGCTGCGCAACGAGGATGGTCTCGTCGTCGCCGGAACTTGGTTGGTATGAGCAGCGACGACCCTTGTTTATGCAGTTGGTACAAGGTGCTGGCCTGCAACCATCACAGCGTTGTTTCGCTTTGGCGCAGGCTTCGCACGCACGACGTTGGTCTCGTGAGAGATGGTCATCGTTGTTTTGCGTCCATTCAGCGAGGACTGCAGTACCATGTGTGCGGACATGCCGTTTCAACGTGTCCCTTTTCCCCGCTAAAAGTCAGTCACAGACGTTACTGGAGAAAACTTGAACACAGCCTATCCAAGACACGGAGGATACACACCTTCGAGAGAAGGCTCTCTTACAGATTCTGCATGTGTGAGAACGACGGCCGGAGTGGCGGTCTAGATGCCGACTTAGATGCTCGCGCCGACGAAAGGTCTGCCCGCATTCGGGACACAGCAGTGATGCGGAGGCGGAGGAGGAAGACGGGGAGGATGAGGGGCCGTTGCCGTCACCGACACCGTCGGCAGCGCCATCGTTACCAGCATTGCTACCTAGATTGGCAACTGCGGAGGTACGCGACCGCATTTTGAACAATACAGTGAGGTGTGAAATCGCGGTATGTCTGCGGAGCAAAGATGGGGAATGTTGGGGTTCCGAAATATCGCGGCGGCGGCGGCGGGGGTGGGGGATCCCGAAATATGTGGAGAATTGCGGCGGGGCCGCGGGGCCGCGGGGCCGCGGGGGTGGAGGGATGCCGATGAGTAACTCCCCACGCTCACGTCTCGCACTCTACCAACCGCCACGGCAACTGGCGAATGTCACAGTGGGCGGGACTCGGTTCGCCTACTCAATTAAGCTCGGTCCCGTTCACACCAATAGATCGAACTGCCTCAAGCATGTCAAGAAGTCGTCAGAGCTGAGACGTTATGATAGGCATTGTAATGCAAACCGCTCTAACGCCGCCATCTGACTTCTTTGTGTTACTTTCATTTTGCAATTTTCAGAAAAGCACATCCGATGTACCCGGTTGCAATGCAGTCACCTTGGAACCCGTCTCCTTCTCGACCGCTTGCGTAGCTGGGCTTACATCCACCGTCCACGGCTTGATCGGCGCCTCATCGTGCAAACACCAGATCACCTTCTTCGGCTCTCCCAGAAGCTTCGATACTTGCACCGCGAACTGCGCCGCAGATCCATCAAACGGTCGTCCGTTCAAGTTCGCCCGCCCAGCAATTGCTTGAATGAGCACGTCTGGCTGCGGCTGCACCGTCTTCAGTATTCCATCGTACCCGCCCAGATGTCCGTTCCATAGCAGTACCTTGCCCTCCCCGAACAGGAAGTTGTACATTAGCTGCCCTCCGTCAAAGTGAGACATGCATTCCCTCGCCGGGCCGTTGACGTAGTCGACGAAAGAGCGCATGGCCGAGTCCATAGCATTGTGAGGCATGTGGTCGCCGATCTTGAGAAGGCCGTATTTCATACCGAATGTGATATCCAGTGTGCAAGCGTACTGGTTTGCTCCTCCAATGTACTCCTTGCCTGTATCCATGATCGCAGGCACATCGGCATGCGAGCCACCAGGCATGAGACAGTGCAGTGAAGGCCAGACATGGACGGAGGCCGCGGCCAAATTAGCATCCGGAGCCTGAGGAGCGCCTGGTGGCCCAGGAGCGATATCAACTTCACCACGAGCTGCAGCTTGACGGCAATTGAAAGGGAAAAGAGGGATGCGCTCGCCACCAGATACCGGGATCAGCTGGTTCTCGGGCACTCCAGCTGACCGAAGGACGTTGATAGCTTCGCCATTAGCAATAACATGCGCTCCGGTTTTGATTGCGATCTTATCGGCTCCAGGAAGACTGAAGGACGCCTAGTGAGTCGGGTCTGTGGACAAATCTAGATGACTGTAATGCGAATGAGTGTGAAACATACTGGTCAAAATGTGCGTGGGAGATGAAGATGTAATCCGCTTCATCCACATCGTCGATAGCCAACACTTTGGGCAGAACAGTCGGACGCTCCAGCCATGTATCCAAGAAGATGACGAGACCGTTGGCTTTCACGCGAAATGTGGTAGCACCTGGGTAATTAATGAGCCTCACGAACCTCGGCAGCAATCAAGAGACACTGAATGTCGCGGCAACTTACCGAACCACTCGATTGTAGCATCCATGCTGAAGCTTTTGCCTGTCAACGCCGCGAAGTGGAGAAGAAAGCAAGTTATAGTTCAGATTGACTTCTGGATTGAAAGATATAGCCAGGTTGGAGCCACAGACCCTCTGATGACCAAGCCCGGCGACCCCCGCAACTCCGCACCGCAAGGCGAACTTATCCTACACTCCAAGCTTTGCACAAACTATCGAATCCCATTCAACGCCGCCCTTGTAACTACCTATGCAACTTTCAGGATCCTGTCGACAAGCCGTGTCCAGCCTTCGTCTCTGGCTTGTGCTCGCTTTCAGGATATACATCACAAAGGGGAGTCGGTAAAGCAAATCCATCGTCACGCTACATTCATAGTATTCTTTGCCATTATCGGCACATCGGCTCAGTTCATAGATACAGATCTCCTACATGCACTACTTCTCATGCGATACATAGTCTACCTTCACTTCGGCTTTCAAGCCAATAGTCTCTAAGGCAGAAACAAACCACCCCATCGCGGTCATAGCCATTCCGACGAAGGATATCATCATCTTACCCGATAACGTCGTCAAATCTAGCGAAGTTACGGCTTCACTGGCCTTCACCATCTTGAACGCGCGCGTGTACATCTCTGCGTCGAATCTGCGCGCTAAAACAGCAAGTTCCTCATCAGACGGCACGTCCTGCTCAAATGTTGCTTGCTGGAAAAGTTCAACAAGGTTGGCGGCATCAGTCAGCGCCTGGTTTGCACCCATGCCTCGGCCAGGCGTCATGGGGTGCACGGCGTCGCCGAGGAGAACCACTCGCGAATTCTTGTCAATACCATTTCGCCAATCCGTCTTCGGCTTGACGGAGCTGGTCAAAAGGCCCGTCCGGACAGCCTCAGTCGCTGATCGCATGATGAGTTCTAAAGGTTTGCCATAGCCAAGGTCGTTTCGGAAGTAATCTATAAGGTGAGGAATGATCTTCTGAGGGTTCGAGCCGGCCTTCGCTATCAGCTCGTCTCCCCGGGCTCTCGGTATACCGACCGACCAGAACAAGGTGTATGACTCTGCGCCGCTGGTACTTGGGTCCTTCTGGGGGTCATAGACGGATGCAAATCCAGCAACATCTTTGCCGCCCAAGAACATTACCGAGCCAGATTCGACGAGCGACTCGGGCAGCTCATCTCGTACAGGTCGTGAAATGATGCCGCGAGACTGGATCAAAGTCATGCTGTCTAGCTTGATCTTGTTGTTAAGGCCAACCTGTCGGTTGACCTGGCTGTTGCTGCCGTCTGATGCGATAAGAATGTCGGCCTCCTGTGAAGCCTGGCCATCGAAGTGTAGCTGCACGCCGCATCGTTCACCCGGCATCAGCTCAAAGCGTGCGAAGGTGTGGTCGAAGTGAACCCGCCTTTGAACTAGCAATGGCTGTAGAAGAGCACCACGTAGTCCCTTTCTAGGTATGGCTTGACTCTTGGGATACAACTTGAGATCGCCTAGGCGCAGACGAACTGCGAAAGTATCGGGATCAACAATGGTAGGCGCTTCCGCCTGATCACCGGCCCAAACCTCGCGGATCGATGACCAGAGCTCGAGGTCGGAGACTGTCTTCAGAGCGTTAAGGCCATTGGCGCTGATGCGGAGCTGATACCCGCCACGCTCTGAGTTGAATGCAATTGTGTCGCGTTCGAAGACCTGGACATCGAATCTCCCAGCTGGGTCCTTAAGCAAGCCGTTGGCGACGGCAAGTCCAGAGATTCCTGCGCCAATGATGGCGACTCGAATTTTGCGATGCTTGCCCTCGTGAGGAAGAAACTTAGACGAAGCCATAGTGGCTTATTTGGTTAAAGTGAATGAAAGACTCATATACGTAACAACCAACCGCGGTAGTTTGAATGATGAGAAACGTTTCTTCCTATCTAGGAAGCCATGAGGTCTGTTTTGAAATAATTATCGCCTGTGCCAAGAGGTCCGTATTGTGACTTTGTAAGATGGCTCTAGAGCGACGGCACAACACCACATCGGAATACCCCACAATGCGGAGGCGTCCGTGTGAAGCAAGGAACCTTGAACGGCGTCATGTTCTCCTCCTCACCGTAAAAGCGCCCACCCGCCGGACGTGGGCTTGTTGTGTGCCGCCAACATCCAACGCATCTGGCTTCTTCAGAAACAGAATAGCCATGTCAACAATCAGCTTTTCAGGAATAGCCATACCCCGCCTATGCTTCGGAGTGGGAACCCTCATGAAGTGGGCACCTGGCCACACTCATCCACTTCCTACGGACAGCAGCGTCGAAATTCAACAAGCGATCGACGCGGGGTTCCGTCACTTCAACACTGGTGATATCTACACCAACAATGACAGCTTTGCCGAAGTCCTCCGCCACAGCAATCTCAAACGCTCCGAGATCTTCCTATCCCTTAAGATCAACACCTACGCATCCCTAGGATGTCGAGGCCGCGATCACATGATCCAGGCCGTAGAGCAGGAGATTGAGCGGTTTGGGATACTAGAGGGCTATGTCGACATCCTGCAGCTGCACTTCCCGCCCCGCGGTTATGATGGGAACATGACCAATCGCGATGCATGGCGTGTGCTGGAAGATCTCAAGGATCAGGGAGTTGCTCGCATTATTGGTGTGTCGAATTGGTATGTCGTCAATAACACAACGGTGGGGTGTAACCCGATCAAAGCTCACGAGCGCGACTTTGTAGGACTTTGCCCGATTACCATGACATCTTCAACGCCAGCGACCTCAAGCACCCTCCACAGCTCAACGAATACGAGTTCAATCCGTTCTTGCTGTCTGATCCCAAGGTCCGGCAACTCCGCGAGTTCGAAGTCGAGCACAACATTGTCCCAATGAGTATGCACACCATTAACCAAGTCTCTGGGGACTAAATCTCCCAAGCTGACAGCCGCGCAGACTATGGCCTTTTGACAGCCGTCAGCGGCCGCTTGCCCACTAAAGACAGCACAGCGCTGTTGCAGAAGTTGGAAGAGCAATCAAAGCAAACGAGGCTGTCGACGGCTGATCTGCTGCTCAGCTGGGCATACTACCGGCTTGATGGCATTGTCGTGACATCTACATCGAAGGCAGACCGAGCTAGAAAGACCTTCGAGCTCCTTTCTGCTAAGCAAGCGCCTGTTAACGGTCAGATCTACGTGGAGATGGAGAAGGCGGCAACGCTAGATGGTCCTGAAGGTAAGGTATTCTATGGCCATCCTCACATGGAGAAAGCTCGCCAGCAAAATATGAATGCTCAGAAAAAGGATCTGTAGCAAGTAGCAATTACCATTATCTATGTCTATCAACTAAAGAGGGCAGCTAGGACTCCCCAACCAATATAGTCATTGAAACCCAAGTGAACCTCCAAAACATGGACTACTAATAGACAGGCTTCGTTAGATTTGCGTCTTGTACTATTTTGATGTATGCTGTAGAACTCTCACGACATAGCTTCAACCCCGCGTTTACATTATCTTCTACAAGAGAGTTCAACTACCCCACCGCCACTTACCATGAGAGTTTCGGCACCCCACCACATCCTGCAACGTCACTAGTGTTTCCCCAGGCCCTCATTCCCCAAGAGCCGTACATTATAAGCTTTGTCCACACTACGAATTTCCAAACAAAGCATCTCCAGGCGAAAATTGTCATGTCTCTTCTTGTGCTCTTTGGTTCTCTCGCACTCCTTGCCATCGGCTGGCTGCTCAGCCACATCCTGGCGTGTCTTTCACTCCCTGGAGCGTACGGGCCTGCCCTTGCCAGATGGACTGATGCATGGTACATCTGGAAAATATGGCAGGGCAAGTATGAGGCGTACGACATTGAAGCACATAAGAATGGCTGTAAGTGGCTACTATTCTTTCGCTCTCATCACTTCCTGGCCCATTGCTGATGATCACCAAAGCCAGGAAAGTCGTTCGCATCGGGCCTCGCATGTACAGCATTGACGACCCGGCCATGGCTCGCGTAATCTATGGCATCGCATCTCCCTTGCCAAAAAGCGGATGGTACGATGCCTGGGGAGATCCTCGCATCCCGAACCACAATCTCTTCAGCGCGCGCGATCGCGCCGTGCATGGCCTCATGCGCCGCAAAGTCGCCAGCATGTACTCCATGTCGACAATCAAGTCCTACGAGCCCTATGTTGACAGCTGTGTTGCGCTTCTTCTGAAGCGTTTCGACGAGTTCGCCGAAAGCGGAGAGGCGTTTGACTTGCAGCAGTGGATGCAGTGCTATGCATTTGATGTGATTGGTGAGATCACGGTGAGTTCGGTGGTCCGCTTACCTACCCGATTGCATCAATTATCTAACTCTTATAACAGTTCGGCAGACGAGTAGGTTTCTTGGAATCTGGCGGACAAGATATTGACGGCATTATGAGAGGTCTAGAAGACGCCAACGCGTTCTCGACGTTCTCGGGCGTCAACGCCGTCTTGTTGCCCATACTTCTCGTCCTTTATGGTAACCCTGTTCGTGGTATCGCAAGTTTTGCGCGAGAGCTCCAATCCGAGAGCGATGATGTTGACATCAAGGAAAGGCATGGCGGAGAGACCTTCCTGACAAAAGTTCAACGACTGCAGAAGGAAGACCCGGAGCAATACGAAAGATTTCGTGTTCGAACGCTTACTTTGACAGGAAACGTTGCAGCTGGAAGTGATAAGTCAAACCCCCCACTTCCTGGCACCCCCCTGTTTCTGGCACCCACAAAAACGATGGGATCACAACCCAACCTCCTCATTACTATTAACTATTGATCCTCAACCACACCCACTACAATACAACTGCCAGCCTCACTAGGGCATTCAGAGTCGCTGGATTCAGCCGTAATAACCTCCTTTTCACCCGCTTCGATTTGAGCCCGATGGATATCCCTGATGTTCGCAAACTTCGTGTTGGGATCGATCTGAACAGTCTTCCTCTTCCTAACTGCAGCGTTGGTAACTTGAGCCCTCAGGTGAGCCAGCTGCTGCTGGGCAGCTGCCAGTTGCCAGGCCTGCTCTGTGAAGCCTTTTTTCACCTTCCTGAACAGCAGCCGTTGAGTGCTGGTATCATTGTCGAGTTGGGTGTATAAGTGCAGTTGACCGCTGAGCTCTGCCAGCTTCCTGGGTGTCGACCAGACCACTGCAGAGGAAGCAGAATCCATGGCTCAACAGGGGTAGTTTGTTGACTTATGGCATCGCTTTTGCCCCGACTGGTTGGTTTGGGTGTGGTGGGCTTAGCAGAAGGCTCAGGTAATACCATAGGGTTCATCAGGGGCTTAACCATCGCTACAGGGTGTAGACCAGTCCACTTCCAACCACTTCTGATGTTCGAGACTGATAGACCAGCAAGTCGAGCCTTCTGGTAACAGTCCAGGAAGTTCCTTTTACCTATAATGGTAGAGTCGTTCCATTGAGACAAGTAACCGAGCTCCTTCCGATAGGCTGACTTAACAGGGCTGAAGACAGACTGGTCAAGTGGCTGGAGGACATGAGAGGAGTGTGGTGGTAAGAACAGTAAATGGATATTGTTAATATAGCAATTCCACATGAAGTCTGTCGTCGTATGACTCCATGCCCATCCACAATCAACAGTCGAGCCTCGCCCTCAGCCTCGGGCATAGTCTGTGGGATAAACACCTTCTCTAACCATTCAATGGCAGTTAAGTCTGTAGTCCAGCCATTATCTGTTGCTGTAAACTCCCACCCATCGTATGGAACCAGATGTAATGGAAACCACTGTTGTTGGACCGTCTTCCCTTGAAAATGATAAGAGGACGAAGTGCCCTACCCAAGGCTGAGATACACTCAATGATAGAGACCCATGCCCTCGACCCAGGTTGTTTCTTGCGAACAGACGTCGTCTCAGCCATGCCCAGCACTAACCCATTAGCTCCTGACCCTCGAGGATGCCAGTCTCATCCATATTATATCTGTTGGCTGGTTTGATGTCCTTGATCTCAGGGATAGCAAGGAACTTAAACCAGTTCCTAATGACCTCAGTAGATGCCCCATTAACGCGTCTAGAATCGATGGAACGACTTCTCTGAACCTTAATGATAGGGTTCCTTCTCACGAAGGCATAGATCCAGCCTTTTCCTAATGGTTTGGTATCCCCAGCAGCAGCCAGAACTCGCTCTGCGAATTCCTTCACCTGTTGGTGCGTTGGTGCGAGGCCCAGCGAAGCCTGAATGCGAACCCATTGTGCCAGCTTACTCTCCTGGTCAGGAGACAGCCTCTGCCAGTCAGCAAAAGCCACTTTCCTAGTCTGACCACCTTGGAGACGTAGTTGGAGGGTTGATCGTGGTATCCCATACTCCAATGAGGCTCTCTTTTGACTCTTGCCGTTTGAGATGTCCTCGAGAGCCTGACGAAGCTGATCTTCGGTATATTGAGGCATTAGATATAGAAGAAGGTATGTGCAAAAAATGAGCCCATTTGGACTCGAATTGAAAATGTTGTGATAAAAGGAGGTTGGGGGTGGGCATTGCGTTGTGGTGGATTTTCGCGTTTTTGTGGGTGCCAGAAACAGGGGGGTGCCGGGAAGTGGGGGGTTTGACTTACCACGAGTATTTCTCTAACCAGTGCGATGTACCATCTTCTCACCACAAATGGTGTCGTAAAGAGCATGTACGAAGAGCTCGATTCCCAAGGCTTCTGCTCTAGCCTCGATGAACACGTCACTTTTGACCAAGCCCAGCAACTTCCGTACCTCCAGATGGTCATCAAAGAAGCCCTGCGACTCCATCCAGCCGTCGGCTTGCCCATGTGGCGCGAGGTCGTAGGGTCTGGTCTGGACATCGATGGAACCCATTTTCCGCCTGGGGTAAGTGTTTAAAGCTTTATTCAACATGGCACAGCCGCATAGAACTGTTCTGAATGCTTTGGACAGACACTAGTCGGTATCAATCCCTGGGTAGCGCACCGGAACGCAAAAGTCTTTGGCGCAAACGCCGCAGACTTCATACCAGAACGGTGGGATCCCCAACACGCCTCCTCGGAGAAGTTAGCGGCCATGGAACAGTACTACCTGCCTTTCGGAGCGGGCGCGAGAACCTGCATAGGGAAGCATATATCAAGCCTGGAGATAGTGAAGTTGATCCCAGAGCTAGTCAGGCGGTATGATTTTAAGTGTCTCAGTAGGGAATTGAAGACTGTTAAGTCGACCCACCCCCTTTTGGCCACCCCCCCCATTTAGCCACCCCATTTCTCCATCCCAGCCACCGCATTAAAACCCTACCCTTAATTTACAAACCACCACAACAATTACAAAAATCGTCCAAATACAATTCTTTTTTACACACTTATTTATCAATATATCATAATCTCATATACCAAAAATAAAATTAATCAGGCTCTTATAGCCATTAAAAACGGTCTCTCAGTCAACAGGGCCTCGATTAAATTCAGAGTTCCAAAATCAACACTTCGCAATCATAAAAGAGGTCACCAGACGAGGGCAACAGCATTCGCAAACCTCCAAAAGCTTCTCCCATAACAAAAAGACCAGCTAGCTCAATAAGTTCGCATTCAGCATAATCTAAGTATTACACCAACCCATAAACAAGTCAAAGAATTCGCTAAGCAAGTTCTAAGATCCCAAGGGGACACAAATCCTCTTAAAAAAAGATAAATAAACGCTTTCTTAAAAAAGAACCCATCAATTAAGGTCCAAAAAAGTCGTACCATTAATTCGCAGCGTCTAAATAAAGCTACCACTAATATAATTAAATCATAATTTAAATTACTCAACATACCAAAAATCAGCAGCATCAAACAAGCCAACAAATACAACATAAATAAAACTAACATCCTAAAGAGCAAGGGGTTTAATAACCTAGTTTTAAACATAACTAAGACCACAGCAATACAAAAAAAAAAGCCTAGTTCGCGTACTTAAATATCTATAATCAAATATATCTCTACTAATAATCGAGCTATCAAACCACTAGTCATATACAAAAAAAAATCAGTACAGCAGCAATAATTTCCACTTAAACTTAACCCATATACTAATTAAAAATTCACAGCAACAGAAAATAACTAGACCACCAACAACACTACCCTTAAATAATTAAAAACAGTATTCTTACCACAGACTAAGACCCCCCCCCCTTAGGGAGCTCAACCTACTCAATAAACCTCAACTATTAGTTCTAAATAAACATAAAAATCATACAACAACTAGATTTATATAAGAGTACTATAAAAACAACATCTACTTACTATTCTTACCTCCACACACTTCCCATATCCTCCAGCCATTAAATATAACTATCTTTAGACCTATCAAATCTAAGTACAAAAAAGAGCTCAGCAAAAAAGAAATAGTAAATAATTCTACTATCGTTAAAAAGCAATACTTCTTAAGCTATTACCTAAAGGCTCGTTTAAGTAATCTAACGTCGTCAAACATACAAAATAAATAAAAAGCAACTAAATTATATCCTCCTAATATAACCAAACCACTTACCAATCCCATAATCCTACCAACACCAGTCACACCAACCAAAAAAACTACAAATACTAAACAAATAACTAGCAATACTAAAAAAGCAGTTAACTAAGCATCAGCAGCATCTATTATTAACTAATCAACTCCCAAAAAGGCCAGCGAGCTCTATAATCAGTTAAAATTATTCACAAAGCTCAGTCCAGACCACAACACTCAACGCCTACTATTCAAAAAAGTAAAAAAAACATTCAGCAAGCAAGCCTACCACTTAGCCGCATCTCAGCGCCAGATTCGAGTTCTAAAAGCCAAAGTTAACCAATTAAAGCCCAAAAAAAAAAAGAATATACCAACAAACCCAAACACCAAGTTCGCCAACATCTAAAACATACAAAGAGCTCAAGAGGACTCTAGCAACCGTCTCGTTAGTCCCAGTCGACTCGCAGGGGTCGAATTACCTAAGGAAAATAATAACTATATTATTATAGCAGTAGAAGGCAGTTAATTAATTAAGTATAGTTAGTAGCGATGTTTTGATGCCATGTTTTGTTAGGGTAGCCAAATGGGGGGGGTGGCCAAAAGGGGGTGGGTCGACTTAATAGGTGGTTTGTAAAGCCACAGAAAGTACTCTTTAGTGTCAGGCGGAGAGGACTTAGATCTTGAAATTGAACAGCAGAGGATTTGTGTTTTGCCTTATAGGGAAAAGAAATTGAAGTCCCTGTCCATTTGTGCGGCAACCTTGGTACAATGATACATGTAAGGTCGCCATGGCCGGGAACTCGTTGCTTGCGACAACGCAGTGGTTCATCGCTGCCGAACAACCTCCTCATCTGACTTGCATAGCACCTTGTGAAGGGCTTGGAAACTACTATAGGGAGTTTATCTGTCGCGGTCGCATTCCTGACTGTGCTTTCTGGAACGTGTTGATGGGGGTGAGCATGCAGTAAGCGTTGTGTGCTCCTCATGTGGGTGTTGTTTGTAAACAATGGCTGGGAAACTACGCCCAGGCTCCGATACTCGCTGCTGAGTTACAACCGTCCAAGCGTAGTCAATCAGCCTGCTGCTCGGTTTCCGCCAGCGAAGTTCAGGCACGAAACCTTGTTCCTTGATGCGACGAATGGATATTTGGGGCACCGAAAACCCTCGTATGAGAGCGTGGTTGAGTATCAAGCGGATTCGCCTTCTTCTCTTGTGGGGTGCTTGCAGCCCCAGACCTCGGCCGCTAGTCTCATAGATCAAAGCCAGGGCCAGGACCAGGGTCTCGAGTCTTTCCCCTTCGGCCAGATCCCCATGTGGTTCAGAAGGGAGTCAAAGCATCGTGGTCTGGGGTAGTTGTGCGGGGTGAAGCGAACGGAGCGGAGCTATTCCCAGCGACAAGATCGAACTTCAATGCTTGCGTCGAATTTCATTTCAAAGTGGCAACATGGTTCGTGGTCATATCGCGCCGAATCGCTTGGGAGAATCATGATTCTGGTTGCTAAACGAAACCGCATCGGTGGTCCTAGTTTCTGTGGATCTTGCAAAATTTTGCTTTAAGTCGCGGCATCTAGAGTCGGCAGTCATGCATCTCCACCAATTCCGACTTTCGGAACCACTTAGACTGGAAGTTGCCGGTGGAGGCTTTAGTATGCACTCTCTGTACTGTGACCTAACCTCATGACTTCGTGACAACAACTCCTCGTTTCTCGGTCTATTCGACGACAACACAATTGGTTTCTTCACGACTGCCATTCAAGAGCCCGCAAAATGCCATTTCTCAACCCTCAGCCCAAGATCATCATCGCCGGTGCAGGCATTGGTGGCCTCACGGCAGCACTGTCCCTCCACGCCGCTGGGTTCACAGACATCCACATCTTCGAAGCAGCGTCACAACTCACAACCCTTGGCGTCGGGATCAACGTGCAACCCTCCGCGATTCTCATTCTCCGTAATCTCGGACTCCTGGAAGCTTTCGAGAAGACCGGCGTCAAGACGCAAGAACTGAACTTTTACAACCGTCACGGCCATGCCATTCTCAGCGAGCCACGAGGTCTCAAGGCAGGCTATGCGGTGCCGCAATTCAGCGTCCATCGCGGCGAATGCCAAATGCTGCTTTTGAGTGCCGTCAAGGAGCGTTTGGGCGAAGGGGCGGTCAACCTCAATCACGCCCTGACAGGGTTCTCACAGGATGAGAAGAGTATCACAGCAGAGTTTTCGCAACGGCGAGATGGTGCGCCGGCAGGACAGTCTAGCGTCACTGGCCATATTCTTATAGCCGCTGACGGAATCAATTCGACCGCGAGAAAGGTTCTCTACCCCAACGAAGGCCCGCCACGATTCTCGGGCCGTATGCTTTGGCGCGGCTGTATCGAGCGTGAGCCGTATCTCACAGGAGCATCAATGGTTTGGGCTGGTCACGCCGATCAAAAGTTCATCGCCTATCCTATTAGCCAGCGTTCCGCAGATAAGGGCAAGAGCCTTGTGAACTGGATCGCCGAACTCAGAATAAGAGACAAGGATGATGAGGATCTCACACCGCCAAAGACGGACTGGACAAAAGCGGTCGACAAGTCTGTATTTGAGGGACCGTTTCAAGATTGGCGATGCGGCGGGCTCGAGATGAAGGATCTCATTGACGCAACCGAGAAGGTTTTTGAGTTTCCTATGAGCGATCGGGACCCTGTTGAACGTTGGAGCTTCGGCCGCTTAACTTTGCTTGGTGATGCTGCGCATGCCATGTATCCGATTGGCTCCAACGGCGCATCGCAGGCTATTATCGACGCGGAGACTCTTGCGAAGCAACTTGTTGAGAACCAAGACGATGTGGTAGCAGCGCTGAAGGCATATGAGTCGGAGCGGCTGCCAGCCACGTCCAAGATTATCATGGCGAACCGTGGAAATGGACCGGATCACGTCTTGCAAATATGCGAAGAAAGAGCACCCGATGGTTTCGAGAATGTCCACGATGTCGTCCCGAAGAACGAATTAGAAGACATTGGCCGGGTCTACAAGAAGGTGGCTGGCTTCGAAATGGAAAGTGTAAACAAGAAAGCACAAAGAACAGAGGGCAATAGTGAGAAGTTAGGGTTAAAGAGCCCAACTGAGTGGATTTAGGCCTCAGCGCAAATCAAGCGTTGATGTTTAGCACCTCCTAAAGAAATCTCAGTTGATATTGACAGAAATGACAGCGAGTTGAGAAAAGCATAAGATGTCACTGGCCGCTCTAGAATCCCATTCCAAAGCTATCCGAGGTGCATTGCAATTCAAAAACCTTCTTGGAGTAATGCGGGCTTCTACTCGGTGCCGTTTGAGACGACGAGTACTAGTAGTCAGGAACATGCAGTAGATAGTTCCGGGTAGAAGCGGACCGGAGGCAAGTTCCCAGAGGCTGAACATGACTTGTCAATGTCTCTGGTGCCCGGCGTGCATCCCCGACCGTTAAGGTATGATGGCGCAAGTCCAGACTGCCGCACCTGAAATCAACGTGATGCTGCGGAGTGTCTTAGACCATGGCTGAGATGTGCAGGCGCCACTGTGTCATTAATTTCGGTCTAGTCTCTCCCTGCGCGGCAGCTGCATCCAATCTCCTCTTGTAACCCAGAACATTCACAATCCTTAGCATCTTGGCCGTTGTCGCTGCAGCCTGAGCTACAGGTAAGGAGTCCGGCAGTCAAGTGACTTTGAACCCCGGCTTGTGCCACCATTTGGCCTGCGCACATTCTGTCGCGGCATCTCAAGCGGCCAACTTTGATTCGGTGGCCCTGAACAGGCCACTAGGTGGTGCATGAACGCATGCCGCGGAAGGCTTACCTGTTTCTTCTAAACTTCTAGGTACCCTTCAATGTCCCTCTCGATGTGACGTATCTTAAATGCACTGCACCTACGACATGCATAATAACATCTTGGTACAGCATCATATCAATTGAAGGACATACGCGAGAGGACTTTCCAAGCCCTGTTCGCTAAAGCTTGGACAGAAAAGAAGTCAAGATAGAGTAGAGAGTGGGATTTAACCTTCAGACTTTCTGCCCAGGCTTGAAACCACAAGGCGCTCGATATCACATGTATCAACATTCAATCCGAGTCAAAATTGTTCAGGCTTCACTAAAGGGGTGGGTACAAAGGATCCAGCCAACTACCGGGATGTCTTTTCCGGTAGACATAGTCACTACCTATAATTCACTGGCCAAGAGAAAGCCAAAGATGAATTTGGGATCTATCATATGCAACATTTTGCTTTTTCCCCTGCCTCCCTTTCGCAGAGAATCACGCGAGTGACGAAATGGTCCAAGCTTGGAGATTGGCCCCTTCTAGTGGCCCGTGACTGAATATGTTTCTTTTCCGCTCTCGCCGTCTTTCCGAAATCCGACCAACCCTTCTTGGTGTTTCATCTTCTCAATGCCCCATGAATTTACCACGGCTACTACCTCTCTGTCAGAATGGCGTCGTGAAAGGACACCATGGATAATACATTGCCGTCGTCAACTGTACGAGCAATCGCGTCCTTGGTCGTCCTCTTTGTTCTCGCGACGACCTTTCTCGCTCTCAGGATTTACGCCAGAGTCTCGGCGTTGAGAAGCTGGCGGCTGGGGACGGACGACTATCTCATACTTTCGGCGTGGGTGAGTACGGATCTCTGCATAATCAATCCCGCGATTCTCTTCTGGTCTTCTAATGCTATGGCTAGCTTATGTTCACATGCATGATATATCTTCGGGTCGCGCTTCTAAGTGCGTCCATGTTTGCGGGGATATTGAACGTCCCCAAGTACAGCAAGATCAGTAAGGCAGCCGGGGTAATGTCAAACGTAGCGTGGGCGCTAAGCAAGACATCGTTCGTCTTCACGCTCATGCGTTTGATGACGGGGAAGCTTCGATGGATGCTTTGGTTCATCATCTTCTCTATGAACCTCTTCATCGCGCTGTGGCTCCCACTCTTTCTCAACCCATGCAGCCCTGGCGGACCAGAGCCATGCTGGCCGCGAGAAATGTCGGTTCCGTTTGGGATATTTGTCAATGGTGATTACACTCATGTTGCCTTTGTCATATGGTTCTTCCCAGGATTAAACTGGCTAACTTTCCTCTCTTTAGCATACTCGGCTTTCTTGGACATTTTTCTTTCCTTGCTACCATGGAAAATTATATGGCCTCTTCATCTTAGCACGCACGAACGGATCGGCATTTGTGTGGCTATGAGCATGGGTATCTTGTAAGTTCAAGTTCCGCATCCGGTGCATCAATTCTTTTATCTTGGATTTTGTCGATTGACGTCTTTTGCAGCGCTGGAGCTACCGGGATAGTCAAGGTTTTATATCTATTCGGACCACAGTCACGTAGCATATTCGACTCCGGAAGTATATGTAAGTGTTTACATGTCTGGTTATGAATCCTTCAGATTGAACACGAAGGTCATTTAAGACTGACGCTTTTTTTTTCACTCAGACACATTAAGCACCCTCTTCATCTGGGAAAGCGCTGAGATCTCAGCCACAATCATGGCAACATCAATACCCATGTTGCGAAAACTCGCCGTGATCGTCACAACCAGATACTCCTCTCGAGGAAGTAGCGAAAACACAATGCTATCCGTTTTCCAGCGCCAGTTACGTATAGCTGGCCTCAGCAATGATGCTGAGAACCAATACGCTGATCAACCAACAAATTATACTGGCGCTTCTTCTACGAACTACTCACGGCCTTGAGGAACGCATCCTTGAGTATTATTACGTCATAATCTGGTTGGATAGCAAACACTTCCTGTAAACTGAGGAGGACTGATGTTAGTAGCCGCAGACCCTATCAAACCTTATACCTCAATCTCTCTCAAATAGCCTTCCAATGGGCTAATTCAGATTAGCTGCAGTCGAAAATGAAGAAATTAGACATGTAATATCCAATGTACGAAGCATCCCCTCGTCAACCTGTCACATACTCTCAAAGATCGAAAGGTGCCGCAATAGGGACGTGCCCTCAACGCGGCTTTTGGATGCGTGTTGGCTTTTTCGTTAATTAAGTTTTGACTGTTTCGACAGATTTGCATCAAATTTTGAAATAGAATATAGAAGAGCCGTTCAATTGTTGCAGAGACGCAACATGTTTCCTGATGTGATCTTGAATCCCATAGTACGCGCAGTAGCTCGTAATCGTTCTGGAGGCCCCTGATTTTAACTGCTTGCTTCATGGGAGCGCAAACCCGCGTCAATTGCAACAGCCAAGACGGATTGCACCTCGCGTTATGTGTTGATGAGCAGATGTCTGCGGAACAGTGAATAGAATATTGGGGTTCATCCCAAATTTTGAAGTGCCTTTCGAGACGCGATTTGAGGACACTTTTCAGCTCGATGAATCATAAAGCCGCAATCCCCCGAAAGCACGACGATCGCATATTGATGGTGGGACTCTTATGGGCAAAATTGCACCCAAGTACATATAGTTATCTTTCCCGGAACGACTGTATATGTTGCGCTGTTGCATAATATCATGACTCGGAGGGATCCCGGATGTCCGGACCATTCACTAGGAATATCAGCTGTTGGCTTAGACGCTGATGTGGTACGCCGGAGACTCCGTCGCCAAGGCAGACGAAGATTGTACCCACTGAAGGAATCTGGTCTAAGCGGTATTTGCGCTCTGGGAATGGAGAAGATCTGACGACACAGCCTTACTCATGACTTCCTACACGACATGCTCTGTTGGTCAAATATAACAGCGATGTCGGAAGGACCTCAACCTGTTGATGGCGCTCTATTGCTCTGAGCCAAGTCCCCGAACCATGTTGATGTCTGCAATACCAACCCCATAAGCATTTGTCGTATTCGTGACTCATTCATTGGCCAATCCTATGTTGTCCTTCTCATCGAGTCATGCTCGAGCTGCATCGGATAGGTCGGCGGTGCGGTGAACGACCACGTCTTAATCGCCAGGACTTTTCTCCATACAACAAAACTGGGGTCTTCCTTCGCTCTCTGGATGTAGATGTTTGAGTAATGCGCGTGGATACTGAAGCTTTCGCTTGTTACGAGTATACATAGTGCCGGTAGTTGCATGACTTGTACGGAGTATCCCACCGGGAAATGTTGCTGCCCCCATTTTACGGCAGATTAGCCCAGACTGAACAATTAGCAGATAAGCCAGCCACTTGTTATGCAGCCACCTGCTATACACGTGGTTGAAGACTTGTTGAATATGACTTAAGTCTGTAACTAGCTGTGTAGAACTAGAGCTCGGCTATTATGGCCCAAAGAGGCACCTTTCACATCATATCACATCATACCACATCATACCGCTAGATCATATTTTACAACTGGCTTGGGTTCCTAGCAGCTAGCCCGGTAAGCCAGAAAAATAGACTTTGGTTCCCAAGCTCAATCTAATAAGCTTTCATGGATAATCTCAACTATGTAAGGAAGAACAACCTAAGGAAGCGGAACTAACAATCTCGGGCTCCGACAGCTGGGGCTTTACGAGAATCGGAGAGATAGATGCTGGTGCTATTAATACTGCATGTAGCAAGCTCCCCAGTCCAACTTGGATGAGTAGATCGCACCTTCCACGAACTATAAGTTGGATCCTTCTTTCTTGAACCTCTTGCAGCCCACGCCTTTACTACCATTACCGTCTTTACATAAACCACAAAATGAAGTTCCTCACACTCGTCATCGCCCTTACAGCGCCCTTGGCCGCACACGCCTGGACGGGACACGTCTACGGCACGCGGGCTGAATGCATCGGTGGCTGCCCGGCCAAGGTAAACTTCCTTTGAAGCTAGTTCACAGGCTCCCGGATACTGATTCTCGAAAACAGTGCAAGGCGGGGGGCGGCACCTACGATGGTTGCTCCGGCGGAGAAGGCTCCACTGCACAAGATTTGTAAGTTCCTGCCATGAGAAAGTCTGTACGGCTTGCTAATCTTCTATCCAAGTGTCTACTGCAACTGCAAATAGATACGACGATATTTAAACTACCATAGACTATCACTTTCCGTGCACAAAAGACATTACCATTTCAACCGGTCTATCTTGGTTTCTAAACGATCTTCACATGACTCAAATTGTCTCGTTGATCGAAAACTGCGTTCGCATCAGGTTTCTGTTGAAATTTCTTATGCTTTAGTTTACCTGTTGCTGCCTAGTGACAATCGAGGTGTTCACGCCTTGAGGAGGAAGAGCACACCAGCGTCACGGCCATTGCAACCTACAATTGCCATCGTGCTTGAGTGACAACTTGCCACCTGGATTCCTCTGCAGGAGTGCGTAAACTTTACGCGTTTCAAAGTTTCCCGTAATACCATCAGGGTTCGATACATTCATTGTTCAAGACCTAGTCTCCAAGTTATTGCTGCATTGATTAACTTATCTGCTGGATGAAAACTGAGCGCCACCTTTTGAGCCCAAAGTGCTCTGAATTTATGGTAAATTAGGAACTAAGAAAACATATAAATACACTCTGAATACGTCTTCTATCTGACAATGATAGATCCTCTCGGATACTTGACACGATCATAGATAAGACCAGCCGCCGCGGTCTCGCGATTCTCTTCACCGGCGTCATACACTGTATGATGACCTTTTTCACGGAGCGCACTAATGAATGGCACTTTGGTGCTCAGGAGGAAGGCAGAGAGCATATTGGTGTCCTGGGAAGTAGGTGGAAGTCTTCTCCCTCCTTCTGTCGTATTGTTCGAAGGATGCTTGGGTCGTTCCACACTTGAAAATAACTACAAGAGGATCGATATTAGAAGTTCCCCTTTAGCCGCCCGGTACAAGTGCATTCTCGGGCGTACCAACAGCTTCCGTGGAAAACAGTGATGAAGATTGATGTCTTGCGAGCAGCGCCGTTTTCAGAGGTTGTGTAAGACTCTAGGCTCAAATTTCTGAGTTTACGAGGTCGATTGCAGAAATTATACAGGACAGCCGACAGGCATTGGGGAGAGGGGTTGTGATATGAATCGACTCAAGTCCCTCCTATTCTAGTACCTGTCTACTGACATACACTGCTTGCTTACTAGTACATTACACTGGCCAACATCTCATCACTCCCCAAACTTTCAGAGCCGCATGTGAGCTACCTCTCGCTGATGCTCACGCCACGCAGCGACAGGGTCCCAGCCCTCATCAGCCGCAGTCTTCACACTCTTATCCTTGACGCCATACAGATACGGCTTCTCGTTGGCATAGCACTTCGTCTCCGCTTCATCCGGCAACGTGCCCTCGAGGATATACCGCTTCGCAATCCCTTCCGTACAATCAGACGTATCCCTTGACGAGTGCCCATACCCATGATGCGCAATCAATCTCGCGTTCCGCCCCATCTCGTTCAACAGCCTACGCCCGTTACGCAGCGGTGTGGCCGGGTCATACGTCTCCGCAATTAACAGGATCGGGTTCTTGAGCGTGTGGTTTAGGTCCCCGCGGTAGACGTCCACCGGCTCAGGCCAGTACTTGTGGACCTGCTGGCAGGGGAAGACGTCAAAGAAACGCGAGTTGCCCGCGACCCAGGACTGAGACGACATGTTGGCCCAGAGAGGCTCCCACCAGGCGAGACCGTCGGGAGGCAACGGCGCGTCGTAGGAGTCTGCGCAGATGACGATGAAGGCGAGTTCATCAGAGGCAGGCCGCTTGTTGGGCGTCGCGGGGAGCGTCGGGTCGTATTGCCAGGCCCGCTCCTCCAGGTACGCAGCGGCCAGGGTCGAGTTGCCCTGATCGAGCTCGTATAGCATTTGAGCGAGGGCCGGCCAGCTCTGGGCGTTGTAGAGGGCCGAGTAGATTGCGGCGACGAGGACGGAGTACGTGACGAGAGACGGGCCGCTTTCTTCGGTGTACCCGATGGCAGGGCGGTCAATGAGTGACGTGAGGAGGGACATTATGCGCTTATCCAGATCCTTCAGCACGAGGGGCTCGCCACTGCTGCTCTTGAGCTTTGCCAGCGCGCAATGGTCCGGTCCGGCGTTGATGCATTCACCGAGGAACCCATCGTACCAGGCGTGGGTGCCGTTGTCGAGCGCGGTCCACCCGAAGCCGCCTAGTTCGCGGTGGTCGCGGACGTATTCCGTACCATCGAGGATCATTCGCCCGACGCTGGCCGGGAACATGTTGGCGTACGTCTGTCCGATACCCGTGCCGTAGCTGACGAGGTATCCCGTCAACTCATCCTCGTTCAGAGCCTTGCGAATCTCCTCCAAGTCGCGCGCGACGATGGATGTGCCCATGAAGCGGCCGAGGTCGCCGTGGACTTCCCAGCAGGCCTTGAAGGTGGCGTCGTTCATCGCGTCGGCGATCTGCAGCTGGCGCTTCGGGTCGGCGGAGACCTCGATGTACTGGCCCGTCAGAATGGACCAGCGGTCTCTGTCGACGTCGTAGGGGAAGCAGGAGATGGAGGGGCGGGTGATGTTGACGCCTCGCGGGTCCCAGCCCAGCACGTCGAATTTGCCGTCGCTGAAGCGCTTGGTAACCTGCTCCGCGACTCTCCAGCCGTACGAGGTTCCGCTGCCACCTGGGCCACCGGGTTCGATGACGAGGGTGCGCTCGCTTCTGCCGCCGGGAGGTGGATTTCTGGTGCCGTTGTCGGGTTCGCCTACGCGAGCTAGGCCCGAGACCTGGTATTTGATGATTGCGAGTCGGACGATCCTGTCGTCTGACTTGTTGGTGTAATCTAGTGGCACCTCCAGATACCCGCAGAGGTAGATGCCTCGGCCGGAGAAGGGGTCACTATCGTCGCCATCAACGGAGACGGTCTTGTTTCCCCAGCTCCAATTGGACGGGTCTGGGTCAAAGGTGCTCGCCCACGTCTCCTCAGGATGAGCGTCATCGAGGACCGGCGGAACGGTAGCATTGGTACAAGGGATGAGCTTGAAAGGATCCTTGGGCAGAGGGAACCGACCAAACGGGGATTCTTGTACTGGGATCGGGTTTGGCACGAGGATCCCTCTGTGGTCCTGGTCTAGACGGAGTTTTCTTGTGAGGTGAATGTTGAACAAACCGACAGCCAAGAGAACACCGGCGAACATGAGCCGTTGACGTAGTCCCGGCTTCCGAGATGGGGGCGGGGGTGCCGGCCGCGTCTGGGTCTCTGCGAGCTGTCTCTTCTCCATGGTCGCTTTCGTTGTGACGGACGCAGTCAGGCACAGACACCTCCAGGAAGACGCATTGAGTGATTTATAGTTGGGGAGAAGAAGTGAAACGAAATGTGCTGATGACGATGATGACGAAGAGCACGCGTTCGCGAAGACGTTGCCCTGTGAGGGGTCCCGATCCTTCAGGTGACAATCGTCTTCTCACCTTCCCGTCTTGGCGGGCTTACCTATCGGCCGAGATGGTCCCACATTTGCCGATTTCGGCTCCGGACATTCGGCCGGGAAGTTCGGCGGGCAGAGAATCAGCACCAACCGACGAGGACCCAACAAAGTGACAACCAGTTTGAACAGTGAAAATGAATTTGTACAATTGGTATCTGGTGATCATTAAAAGAAACATACAGACTCATAAATATGAACTCAGAAAGCATCCCGGCCCCAACTCAGACGTCCGTCTTCCGGTCATGCGCAAAAGGGGCTTCTTTTGATTCCTTGCCCGATGAGTCCCCTCTGCCGAAAGGCTTCGTCTCGCTCGAATCCAAATCCACACTCGCCCTCCATCCCATCCACCACCGACCGCTGAACAGCTCTTCCATCCTCTCCATGGGGATGCCCTTCGTCTCCGGCGCCCACAGGCCGAGGACCACAAGACCGACGCCACAGACGACCGCCCAGAAGACGTACGCGCCCCATACATCGAGGCTGACGAACATGTTGGGCGTGACGCGCACCACGGCGAACTGGAAGAACCAGTGCAGGGCCATGTTACTGGCATAGCAGACGCTGCGGATGCGGGTCGGGTAGATTTCTGTACCGTATAGGTATTGTACCGTGCACAAGCCGATGGACCAGCCGACAGCGTAGACAAAGACGGAGGCGATGGCGGCGTCGGAGGCCGGCTTGTTCGTGCCGTCGATCCAGATGGCCATGTAGATGGCCATGTATACGTGCGTGATGCACTGCAGGAACAAACCCGTAATGAAACACCGGCGACGACCGAAGACGTCAACGAGACCCCACGTGAAGACCATTGTGAACACAAGCTTGACAGCGCCGTATGCGCCACTAGTGATGAGAGAGGTGTTATCTCCAACAACACCGGCGTACCGGAAGATCTCGGGGATGTAGTACGTGATGCCATTTCCGCCGGACCATTGCGCGACAGTCTGCATGACGGCGCCGAGGAGGAAGCGCGTGCGGTAGGTGGGGATCGTGGCAATGTCCTTGATGATGGCCCAGGTGGAGGAGTCGGCGAGAATCTGCTGCCGTGTGCGAATCTGTTCGTGGATCTCGTCGTATTCGTGGGCGAGGGCTTGGTCGCTCGGGTCGGCGTGCCGGAGCTTCGCGAGCACGGCGAGCGCTTCGTCGCCGCGGTCTCGGGAGGCGAGCCAGCGCGGGGTGTCGTCGAGGAAGAAGGAGGCGATGAAGGCCAAGCCTACGGGGATGAGGGGGATGGCGATGACGAGGCGGTACTGCAGCCTCGTCGCAGCTAGGGTCGCGTTCGCTGCGTAGTTGATGAAGAAGCCTGGATCACGGGAGATCAGTACATCGCGTCGACGGGACCGCAGAATGTGTTCCCAGGGGTAGCCTTACCAATGGTGAGGAATGACAGTAACACGACCATGTATATACTGACGACCATACCGCGCGACCTCGCGGGCGCAATCTCGGAGAGGTATAGCGGCGCAACGACCGTAAGTCCTCCGGCGCCGAGTCCGCCCCATATCCGGGCGAATAGCATCAACCCCAGGATGCCGGACGAGAAGACCTGCATCAGGCAGCCCGTCATCCAGACGGCGATGAAGAGCTGCCATGCCCTCAGTCGTCCGAGGCGGTCATTTACGGCGAGCGCAATGATGGAACCGAAGGCGGCGCCTAGGACACCAAAGGACGAGATGTTGGCCTTGCGGTCAGCCAAACCGGACTCGTTGCCCTTCCAGAGGCTCGAGACGAGGCCGAAATCCTCCTTGAAGGACGCCAGGCCCGTTGACGCGCTGAACCCGCCTTCATCGTAGCCTACGTGGGGAGCTAGTCAGCGCACCGTGGGTTTTGGTGTTGATTTTTGGTGTGTGTGGACGGTGGAGTAAAAAAAAGGGACGGATCGCCTGTCAAGGTCGGACGGATGTTGACCGCAAGATCTAACGGGAACTGATTACTTACCCTTGGGAATAGACCCGCACGAGATAACGATGATGGTAAGGAGATAATACGTGTTGAATTGGACCATCTTTAAAGACCCCCTGCGACGCCCTTTCTTTGCGTCGATATCGAAAGGGGTTTGGGGACGGATTTGGAACGAGAGGTTTTGGTTGCAGGCGCAAACCAAGAAAAGAGTGTATGCGGTTTTGAAATGCAAAAAAAAGAAGAATTTTCAGTCTCTTTCGTTCCAGTCGTAATTTTTTGCCCCCTATTTTCCGACACGCAATCTCAGACGGGACGAGCTCGCACCACTTCCCCCTCCGATCCCTCGCCTCACTTATGTGTTTTCTCGGGTTCGCTCCTTTCGTAGACACTTTGCGCCCTCGAAGCTCGTTCCCGTGTGACGGAAAACCGTCGTCGTTTGCTCCAAGACAAGAAAACGCGGGGTGTGGGTGAGGGGGTAAACTCGATCCTATCCCACGGGGTAAAAGACGGCTGCGTGGCCAGGGCCTCCCTTTCGATGAGAAAATGGCCCAACGGGTAACCCTCTCTCGACGTTCTCCGGATTTTTGGATGGGCCCCTGGTGTGTTGCCCTGGTTCAACTGGTCTCGAACCCCACGATTTCGTTCGGCGGGCGATCGCGCGGCGCAAGGAAAGGAGACGCGAGAGGAGATCTCGTGCAGCAAAGAGAGTGGGGGTGAACGGTATGGGTTCAGTACTCGGTAGAACTTCAGACCTCTTCGCAGAAGCACATCGGACGTTGACCGAACGAAAAAGGTCGCAGGAGTGGGAGGCCGGCGAAGGGTGAAAGAAGAGCCTGGAGGAGAGACTACAGATGATGGAGGGGGGCAACAATCTTAGTAATGTCACTCCACAATCGGCCGGGAGTTGCGTTCATCCAGTTCCCAAACTCTCAGACTTTCTGCTGAAGTCTCCTCCAAGAGTCTGCTAGAGTCTCCAAGAGTCCAATCCCTTCCCTCCCGCTGCGCCGTACAAGTGCCGGACTTGGGCTAAGGCAAGGGACCAATGTACTCCCCAACGTCATGTTCGCAGTAGAGCTACATGACTTAGCCTACTCTGTACATTGGCGTCGAGACGGTATTCCCGGGGGGCTTCCGGCCGGGTTCCAGGCCACTCGTCCATCACATCTCTCTCTTGCCAGTAGCCTACCGCTGATCTCTCTCTGCTACCGGCACTCTCTGTCAGAGTCTCTCGCAACTCTCGGTCAACTTCCGACGGCCCTCGCAGCCGTACGTCGGTGGTCCGCGCCCTGACTCGTGGCGAACAGCGAGCAAAGTGACGCTGCCACGCTGCTGGTTTGCTTGCTCGCTTGCTCTCTCTTCCACTACCTAGCACGACCAAGGGCACCTAGCCACGGCGAGTATCCGTAGGCTCTGCAGGCTTTCTCTCTCCACGTCCGTGGTAAGTTTAAGGCGCCGCTGTCCAATAACCCGAGGGCTTGGAGGCCAATCATCCCTCCACTTTGTGACTTGACACCGCTGCATGGCCGTCTGTCGGTCAGGTTCCATGGCTGCATGTGTGTGCTGAAAATAGGTGAAATAATGTATGCGTAAAGGCAGTTTGGAGTTACACGGTGACATCTACGGGAAAGGCCGTAGTAGGAAAAGACACCGCGCACATCGCCGTCCCGTCCGCAACTACACCCCATCACGCAAAGCCGCATCTGCGCTACCTTGTGGTATCGGTCATCCTCCGAGCCCAACGCACCACCAAAAACTCAACCACCAAAAAACACCACACAGCAAAGGCCTGCCATCTTTTCTTGTTCTCTTTCTGTTTTCCCAGTCCGGTCTCCTCTTCCCTCAAACTCTCTCCAGCTACGGGTCAACAATCTCCACTATCGTTCCTACTACTTGCTATCTCTTGCATGCTCCTCCTGCTGGAGAACGGAGGCGGGCGCGGACTGGAGAACCACATCTCCTCTTTCTATTATACGGCCGGCCATCTTCCTGAGGATGCTGCAACTCAATGATCCACACAACGACGTGCCGGGCCTTCGGCGGAATCTCACCAAGCGCAATGGGCCGACGTCCATATGTGCAGGCGCACCGCCGCCGTCATCGCACACCTGTTGCTGCTGCTGCTACTCCTCCTCCTATGCCGTTGCCGCTCCCCATCGTGGTAACAGTTGCGGATGACAGAAACCCCGTGTCGTCGGTCCCGTCGTCAGTTTGTTCACGCGAGGAGAAGGATTCATCCCTTCCATACCATTCTCAGCCCTCAACCACCCCTGGTCCTCTGGAGTCTCATCAACTCCTCATCAGCAGTAGCAGCAACGCCCGCAATATCAGCAGCCTCTCTCACCTCTTCGCCTCCACCCGGGCCTTCTCATCTCTTACACATAGGGTCGCCCTCACCATGCTACAAACCAAGCCCATCCTCCAGGCCCGTTCCACTCTCCTCCATCACATCAAATCCATCATGGCCCTCCTCCAGCCCATCATGGCACCAACTACACGGCACAACGACGACAAGTTAATATCCAGAGTCGTCGCCGCCAGCACCACTCCCGCACGGCGGAGGCTGACTCTCCCCGAGCGGATCCCCCGTGGAGCGTGGGACTCACACATGCACGTCGTCGACCCGGCCGCCTACCCCTTGGCAAAGGACGCAGTCTACTGCCCCAAAACGCACCGCCTCGACCGCGCCCTCGCCTTCGAGTCCTCCGTCGGCATCGACAATATCGTCCTCGTACAGCCATCCATCTACGGCAACGACAACACCTGCCTCCTCGACGCTCTTCGTGCCCTCGGCCCCCGCCGCGGCAGGGCGGTGGTGGCTTTCGAGCCAGGTAGCCTGTCTCAGAGCACCCTGGCAGAGTGGCACAGGCTCGGTGTAAGAGGCGTTCGGATCAACCTCTCCTCGGTGGGCAAATCGCTCAACGCAACGGAGCTCGACTCGTTACTGCGGCGATATGCCCACGACTGCAAGCCTTTGGACTGGGTGATACAGGTGTACATGCCCATGTCCATGATCGATCTGCTCGAGCCTATCGTCCCGAATCTCGGCGTGAGAGTTTGTATCGATCACCTCGGCCATCCCAATATCAAGGACATGCCATCATATAATCCGTACGACATGAAGGGCTTCAAGTCCCTGGCCAAGCTGCTCCGAGCCGGAAACACTTACGTAAAATTATCGGCGCCGTACCGGCTGAGTTCCAAGGCCGATCATAGCGATCTGGAGCCCATTGCGCGAGAGGTGCTTCACCTGCGAGGCAAGGACAGAGTTATCTTTGCGACGGACTGGCCGCATACCCGGTTCGAGGGGCTGGACATCCGACCCTGGATGGAGACGGTGCTCGATTGGTGCGGGAAGGACGATGTTCTGGTTGACAGGTTATTCAGAGGCAACGCGGAGGATCTATGGAATGCCCGTCACAACAGATGATGCATCACATAAGCGATATGTTTTGCTCGGCTTACACGTTGGAGGAGCCTGCATTTTCTTTTACTAGCATAGCGTTGTTGCATGAGTTGCGTGGCTTTCTGAGCGGTTCACTGCAGAGCAACAATTACGTCGGCTTCCGACGCGACACGATTTTATGACCATGAAGAAATAGGATACTTTGTAATGATGGCCTTGGCCAAAATCAACTTTTTGCCCTGTCACATAATCCGCATGATCTGGTGATATGGTGATTTACGGTGTGGTTGTTGAAGCTCCATGTTCGGTGTAAGTCCGCGACTACAACAGACTAACTAACACGGAAAACGCCGCAACTCTAGGATGAGGTTTTCCGTTGGCTACTTGATTCACACTCCCGTAACTCCCTCTCTATCCCTGCAAGTCTATCTGTAGCAGCGCCTGTGTAAGATACCTTGAACTAACTAAACGCTGAGGCAACGAGGGAACTGACCCTACCCATATCACAGAGGTCGGAGGGCTAGCTCGACAGTTCACCACCAGTAGCCCCAGTTTCTAAGAACGAAATGACAACATGAGGCTACTTGGCAGCACCTCCAAACCCTGAACTTGGAAAGAGACGGCCCGATAGTTCGGTGTTGTGCCCGCTCCTCTCGGCCGCGGGGCTAGTGGGGCCGCATCCCCAATTCTGAAATACGGCGTTGAAGGTCAAAGGGGAGACAATGAGCCAAAGAATCTCAAAAATGCAGCGTCTTCGAGAATTTGGCAATCTGGTGATATGTCCATCTAAGGTACTTGTGTTTCCTAGCAGAAGACCGCGAGATCGACAATCCCACGCACGTTTCAAAGTGTCCAGGTCGTCGGTTGACAAATCTCGATATGCAATTCTCGCATCTCAGCAACTGGCGGCCTTTGCACCTACTTTCATAAACCGGGGTTTGACACTGCATGCCCGCTTGCCGTCACCGCCGGCGAAACACAACGCCACTTCGGCGGAACGCATCTCTCGGACTGCAAGGTCAACGAAACAGCCCGTCCTGGAGGGGTTCTGGGTCGGTGACGACTGTGGTAGGGCCGGGGGCGGCTCCACTCGCGGACGTGGGACCGATTCTGGTACAAGTCCGATTCTCCAGCTTACTAGAGGTGGAAAGGGCATGGTGGCTGGAACTTTTGCCAGTGGTCCTTCGTGAAAGCACGTCTTTTCTCTCGTGGCAAGGTCTTATCATGGGCCATGGGCCAGCAGAACTACGGATATGTATCACTGAGTAGAGGTTGTCACGGTGGGTGACCGACGTGAGCTGTTTTGCGATATCTGGGCGGGATGATTCAGACCGAGGACTTGTAGCTGCGGATAGCACGGCTCGCAGTGGACATGTAGGATGGGGGTAATGTCATCAGTCGCATTCGAGATAAGCTAGCTTGATCGCACCTTCATTGACGGCTTCTTACTTGGTGCGAAACCGAACTCGGTTGAGGAGAAATGTTGCTCGTGTGCTCTAAGATATCCAAGACTCTCATAGCAATCTCATAGCACTGATCATCTCAAAACAATTATGTAGATTCGTACAAAGATAAAGGAAAAATACGGATAAAGAAAACCGTCCTCTTCCAACCCCACACAATGCCCATGGGGGACTCTCAAGAAAACAAGAACCCCGGATTTCCCAAGCAGCCGGTCAAAATTGCCGGATATGTACCAATTTTAGTATGTATAACGAATCCTACTGTAACGTCCCCCAGCTTTCAACAAACTTGGCTCGCCACCAACGGTCAACTTCCGCAGGTTGTCTGACAAGGATTTTGCGTGCTCCGTCCTCTTGTAAACTCTTGTGAAGAGGCGAACTAGTGTTTATTTTGCTGAGACAGATCGGGTAAATATAATCTCTATGTAGGATACAAATGCAACACACCCTATCTTGATAGACCGATCCCCAGCCGGGGGACGGGGAAAAGGCTTGCTCTTGGCCGTTTTGACTCGTGTGTCTTCAAAACCCTCAACATGATCCCCTGAGAAAGTATGAGCTTTGCGGGGACGGAATCGTTTCACACTCGAACCTAGAGATAGCGACGAAAGACTCCTATCGAGGACTCCATCATGCCTATTGATACAGCGCGAAAATAGCACAAGAGAAATATTCTTCCTTGACTTCAAGTCCTATACTCGTACCCTACCTTTGCGGTTGAACTTTCACCCTTCTGCCCATCTTACACCTTTTTTGAAAATTACTAGATACCCCTCCTCCCCGTGTCCCACAACGATTCGACCAGGGCCCCCATAAGATGTCCCCCCTCCTCCCCACAACCCTCTTGCAGATCCCCTCCATCCGAGGCAAGAACGAATCGCTGATACATTGTACCCCAGGACTTGCAGCCGCCCATCGCCGAGAGGCCATATGCAAGTGCGGGCTGGGACTGCACGTGGGCACAGCTGATCACATTATCAGGCAGGGCTGTAGAGAATTCATTGCCATCGTTGTCTGAGAGGCTTGGCCTCACTCAGTGTGTGGCCTCTGTGATACATACAGCCAACCAAGCCTACAAGTTACTAACGGCTCTAGACAACTTATTGACAGTTATCAATACATATGATAAGTATATACTAAGCTTTGCAAAGCAACCAAAAGAGACGAGTTGTTAGCAGTATGCGTTTTTGCCTGGTCTGTGTCTCTAAATGGTTGTCATTGGCGATTCTCGGATAAGGTTGTACCCACAGACGTGACAATAGAGTACCTACCGTGAGCAGCTTAAAGCTTGATCTTTAACTCAGAACACCTTCCTTAATGTTGACAACTCAAAAATCGAAGATTTCTATCGCTTGCCCATTTCTCTCTGCATTATTTGCGCGATTGGCAAAAGGAAATGCCCCCTCACGGGATTGAACCGTGGACCTTCGCATGAAGTGCCGAAGTACGAGTGCGACGCTCTACCACTGAGCCAAAGGGGCTTTTTCAAGCTGACATAACGGAGCCTGAAGTTGAACTATGACAATAGTGGCCATCGCTAGCGACTTCTCAGTTGCGTGCTTCAATGCAGTCAGTTCCAAGAGTCATTCAACGTCGTAGTTTACAACGGTAAGACAGACAGCCCATCACAACATCAAGCGCCGGCCTCACCGTCCCCTCGGTAAACTTCCAGCCATCCTGGCCCCGGACCATCACCGACATGAACTCCCCAGAGAACAAGCTTTCCTCCGTCTCTTCTATCCGCACGAATACCCTTAGTCTCTCGGTCCACGTCCGCGATAACAACCTCGGCCATCCCCCGTTGGCGTTGCCGGTAAACCGGAGGTATCCACCATGCACCATGGAGTATCGACACATGGCGCGCACATCCAAATCTCCATAATCCCATCCGCCCACGGGCGTCTCGGCCAGAAAGAAAAGAAGTTGCGCAGAAGAGAGTCCACTTTTGCGGTCCTCTTTCTAGACTCGTCACTCACCGTCCAACCTCGTGCAAAGTTACGATACACTCGGCCTTTGGACTTTACAGCGAGACTAACAGCGAGCATTTCCTGAAAATCTGCTGCTCTTCGGGCCCTTTTCTCTTCTCTACCATGGAACTACCCGTAAAGCGTCGTCCCCCCTGGCCCCGTGCGCAAAATCTTGTTTCTCACTAGCCCTGGACGAATCTTAACCAAACTGAGCATTAGAGGCAAGAAAAAACCATTTCCATTTTTATCCTGTCATCGCAGCCCACGAAACTTGGCAAAGTCGCTCACGCATCTCCCATATGTTCAAACCAGCCGGGACCCCGAAACAACACCCTCGGTAAATGTCCCGTAAAACCCCCCTCTCTATGGAGTATCAAACGCCCACAACGTCGGAACGTCGTTCCGACTTATTCAACCTCGGACCCTGGCCGTTTATTCGTACGGGTTATGGGAACCGTCTGATCCATTCATCCAGAGAACACCGCACCACAGTTTCGGTACGACTGGTTCTCTATTCACCCTCACTATCCAGGTCCAAACGCGTCAGAGTATCCTAAAAATGGAATCACGACTTACAGCTGAAGGTATGGGTAAGTGAGCACGAAAGATGAGAAACAGGTGCGAGAGAAAAGGACACACCGGTATCTGCGCCTAGGACCCCGGCACTTCGGCCCTCCGGCTCTGATGATACCCCGAACGACACACGCTCGCCTAATGAATCCAACATCCCATACCGCCATGCCGCGAATGCCACATGTCAAATCTCTTCCCTTGGTCCCTAGGCTGCTCGGTTCACAAGCTGGCTGACCCCATGTAACCTCCGGACGCATCTTGCATATACGCGCTAGTCCCCCCAGATTTTCCCATGAACGGAAATCCAGAACCCATCCATAACCATTTCCCTCCCTCCCCATCCCACTTCCTCCGCTCGCTCGCTTGCTCACTCACTCCTCTGTACTCACACACCCCTCGAGAAACTTTGAACTGCAGTCCGGCATCATAGGGACCTCTGTACGCGATCACTCATCGTCACACAGCTCGGAAGTTGACCGAGAAGCACTTGCGAACCTTGAGAACCTTCGTCAAGCAGAATGAGGGGCAGATCTGTATGCGTATCATCAGATCACCGCCCTCGTCACGGTCAAACCCCCGTCCAAACCCGCCGAGCCTAACCGCACCGATGATCAAACGCCGGTGATCATGTCGACGTGGCGGAGGACGCGCCGAGCCGGGCCCAGCTTACACAGCCCTCCCGACTCCAGTTCCTGACCCCAGTTCGCCAGGTGCTCTAAAGAATCACCCTCTCAAGAGAAGAAGTGTTCACGGAAAAGTGACCCATCGACACCCATCTCCACGGATACTGTCTGCTAGCCATCCTGCTTATCCATACACCATCGATAAGACCACCAAGAAAACAAGATTCCAAGACGTCGACTCTACCCGTCTCACCTTAGCTCAACCCGGACGATGCCCGAGATGCTCAGACACCAATTCCAAAAAAGCATCGCCGTCACAACCAGATGAGAGACGAGATAAACACCCCCACGTGAAAACGGTAAACCGCTCTGAGCTCCCTCCCTCCGGCCACCTCAAAAACCGACCCAGCTCGGAACATGTCCGAGTGGAGCCCCCTCTCATCGCCCATCGTTCAGGGCCCGGGTGACCGTGCAGCTTCCTCAACCACTTTTTCCAACCGGTCACTCTCCGGGCCTCCGGGGGAAAGAATGGGGTATCGCGCGCAGGAAATGGGCCGATGGGGACCGGTTTACGATGGGGGAGAAGCGAAAGAGGGTCCGATCAGTTGTCATTGCTCGTTATATCATGACGGCATTCCGGGCTAGGAGGGACAATGGAGCGACGAGTGACGACGAACACGAGACGCCAAACGCGAACGAGATTGGCGACATTCACCGAGGTCTCTTTGCTTCGGTGTTGAGGGAAGGTCTAGCTCTGAACCAGACTAGATCAGATCAGATCAGATCATTGCCCACACAATGGAGCAGTCTGGCGTATTGACCAAGATCGTGGCGGGTGGTGTTGCGGGGGTTTCAGAAACGCTGGTTACTGTGAGTGGAAGGTCTCATCATCCATGTTCCCCGAGGACTAAACATAGAACACATGTTGCGTCGACGCACTCACATTCTCACTTACATGCTCACTCTCACTCACACTCACTTACTCTCACCTCATACACAAACGTACAAACATGTTGGGCACACTTGAGCGGTCACGCGTACATGAGATGAACAAGGATACAGAAAAGAGTCTAACACCAAATCTCTCGGCACAATGTAGTACCCAGCCGAATACGTAAAAACACGCCGCCAACTACACTTCAAATCCACCACCAACGCAACAACCTCAAACCCCAACCCACCGCCCAGCTCCCTCGCCATCATCCGCGACACGATCCGCACCACGGGCGTGAGGGGCATCTACTTCGGCGTCCAAGCCCTCGCCGCCTCCAACGCCGCGAAATCCGGCATCCGGTTCCTCGCCTTCGAAACGACGCGCTCGAAACTAGATGCCGTCTCCGGCTCGGAATCCCCGGCATCAGGACCGGGAAAGAAGCCCCGCGCGGCGTGGATCAACGTCGTAAGCGGTCTCAGCGCCGGCGTAGCAGAGTCCATCGCCGTCGTGACGCCAGGCGAAGCCGTAAAGACCAAAATGATCCACGCCGCCGCCACCTCTTCCTCTTCCTCGTCCGCAGGCAGCCGCTTCGCAAGCCGCGGCCTCGTCAGCGCCGTCAGGACCCTCCTCCGCGAAGAAGGCATCCGAGGCCTATGGAGCGGCCTCACGCCCGTGCTCTGCAAACAAGGCACCAACAGCGCAGTCCGCTTCACGACTTTTGCGATGCTCCAGGAGCGCGTGGCGGCGCGGTGGCCTCAGCTCGAGGGCGGCGTCGGGAGTAGCCTCGTCCTGGGCGGGGTCAGCGGTGTGTTTACGGTGTATGCGTCGATGCCGATTGATAACATCAAGACGAGGATGCAGAGCGTGCAGAGTGCTGAGGCGCGGTATACCGGTATGGTGGACTGCGCTGCGAGGATTCTGAAGAGTGATGGGGTTTTTGCGTTTTGGAGGGGCACGTCGCCTAGGTTGGTCCGGTTGACTGTAAGTTTGATGCCATGGCTGGGGATGACGGTGAGAGTGGATTTGGCTAATGTGGGTATGTACAGCTTTCGAGCGGCATCACGTTCACGGTCTATGATCAGGTGGTGCGTCTGATGAAGTCGGCGCAGGCAGACCGCAAAGCAAGCGACCTGCAGCGCCTGTAAAGAAGGCCAGGCCGTCGCGAAAACATGGATGGCGGAGATCTTTCTTTTTGCTCTTTTCGTTTGTTCGTTTAATCTTGGTGAGTGATTCCTGATGCATAAATAGACTGGCTTTCTGCTTGCTTTATTTTTGTTTGTGCTATTCATCTATCGCGCCGACTCTGACGCTCAACGGTTCTATAGAAGACATGGTCTGGAAGACCTGCGGATCAATGGCAAATGCCTCGGGGCCGAGGGTGTCGACAAAGGGGAAGTTGTAAATCTGCTCTGGGGAGCTGGTGGCCTCCGGGCCGGGCGGCACGGACGCCGGGGGCATGTTGTTCTCGGCGCCGGCGCCGTTGCGGCTCTGCTGCGGGATGCCGTATGTGGCCATCGGCGGCGTCGCGGCCGTCTTGGGGAGGCCGAGGGCGCCGATGTCGATGCCTAGGCCGACGAGCTCGCGGGTGATGAGGTTGAGGGCGCTGCTGATGACTAGGGGCGGGGTGTGGTCAGTCAGAGTTCAGGGCTCAACGTTGCATCTTGCCCGCCTCCGACTGGAATATGTCGAAGGGGGTTGAGGGGATACTTCAAAGTCTTGACTCACCTGGGTTGATGCGCTTCACGGACGCCAGGATACGGACGCAGTACTCCAGCCTGCGCAGCGCTTGCGTATCCTCGACGCTGGACTGCACCTGGAGCAGGAAGATGGACGCGGCAATGTACACGCTATACGAAAGGGAGAGCACGCAGTGGCTGATGCCGAAGGAGCGGCAGAAGAGGTCGAAGATGGCGATGATTCCCGTCGCCGAGGTCACGCACTCGCCGAGGTACCGCTGCACCGGCTGCAAGTTATCGCCCACCCTTCCTCGCTGAGATAGCATGGGACGGTAGAGGAGGATCTTGAAAGTGCGGTAAAGCACGCTAAGGGCAGGGTCCAGATGTCAGTATCTTTCACTTCCAAAGGGAGACGACGGGACGTACTTCAACGTGATGATGTGCGACGGCGGCGCCAGGGCCGGGAGGGCCGTAGGTTCGATCTTTAGGTGCGGAGGGAGCTCATCCCACCACTGCCGCAGGGCGACTTCTTGCTTGGCGAGACAGTCCTGCATCTCGGCCTGGCTGTTGGGCCGCACGGGGTCGTACATGTGGACGAGGATCTCGTTGAAGGTTATCGAGAGGCGGCACATTTGCATGAAGCACGAGGTGGAGTGCGCCGCCGCGGGGGGATACTTCCACCCGCCTTCCGGTACGACACCAAAGGGCGTCCACGACTCGTTCTCGGCCGAGTCGTCAACTATCATCTCGCCAGTCAGCATACTCCCTTGTGCAGAAAGTATCAACGAAGAAAACATACACATAATCTGCGGTGGCGACACAGACGTCTGCTGTAACGAAGGCGAGCGCCCGAGGTACAGACTAATCATCTTGTCCCAGAAATAGCAACTCCAGAACAACCGATGACGGATCTCGACGTCCTCGTCCGCGAGCTGCACGGAACCGGGGTACCGCTGCCCGTCGACGCAGATGCCGAGGTGGTCGATGATGCGGAACGCGAGGCCGCTGTACGTCCATGCCTGGGCGCTGTTGCCGACGCTGCACTCCTGCGCGCTGAGGAGCAGGAGGGTCTGGACGGTGGGGATGGAGCAGACGCCCTGGCTGAGCTCCTCAAAGACCATGCTGCGCGCGTGCTTGCCGAAGAGGGCGCCGCCGTCGTAGAACTCGTCGAGCTTGTCTTTTGTGGCCGGGTCGCTTCGGCCCCAGCGGATGGAGTGGGAGAGGACTGCGTTCATGAGGGTGTGGGAGTAGTACGGCCCTAATGTCTGCATGTCACCTGGAAGATGGTCAGTTTAGGGATGCGAGGAGGAGAGTAAAGGGGTGTCCTCACGAGTAAATGCAGGTCTGTAGATGAAGTTGAAGAGAGGTTGGATCCAGCACCAGTGGACATTTAGCAGGTATTGGAACGGTTCCTAGACGAGGACCAGATCAGCTCACACGCCACTTTTCCGCGGGCAGTTGACCGAAGTTTGAGGAGGAAAAGCTTACCGGGATATCGGACATGTTCTCGAGCGCCCTCTGCTGCCAGGCGTTAGCGACGAGCCTCTCACGCCTTTGCATGGCCTGATCAGATGTCGACTGTTGGTCCCTTGAGCCAGACGGCCTATCACTCGGCAGCTGGAAGAAGCTCGTCGAGCCATGATACGTAATGGCGCCCTTGTCATCGACCTTGAGGCCCTTGAAGCTCTCGCTCACAGACTCTTCATCCTGCGACTCAAAGTGGTGAGGATCCGTCATGGGCGACTGACCCGCTGACGGCCCGATGCTGGGCGATGATGTCCGGGAGGGTTCCGAGGGTCCTGCTCCCGCTCCCGCTCCTGATGGTGCATGAGCCCTCGCGGCGGCAAGCTGTGCTTCTAGTTCCTTTATGCGATGCTCCAGCCGTGACGTGTATGACAACGTCGGGTTACTTTTTGGTCCGACATGGTCAGTATGTTACACAAGAATCGCCGGGATATAGGGGGCACACGAGGGATTCAGGCTGCAGGTGAGATCAGGGGCTGAGCAAAACGGAAAACTCACAGTTTATAGACGCACTCATCCGCGCGGGCAGCGCACCGATTACACGTCGGCTGCTCTCCGCCACATTTTACCTGCCGTCAATCACCGGGTCAGCATCAACTCAGGCCGTCATACTCGGATCCGTTCGCGATGCCGCCGTGCCGGAAGTTGTGCATGATGTCCGTCACCCGGATTCGCTCTTCCCCCGCCCTTCCGTGCCGTGATGCCGCCGTTCCACACCCATTCGCCCCCAACCCCGTCCTCTTGGGAGTCGATTAACCCCCGGCCGTGTAGTGTATCCCCAAGCCTTGATTACCTCAGGCAGGATCATCAAACACTGCCTGAGCCTCCGCTACCCTCCGCGGATCCGAGTGGTGGGCAGGGGTACGGGTTGTGGCGCGGAATGCGGGAAATGAGGCGCACCACGGCGGAGGGGTGATGGTGGTGCGGCACGCCGAAAGAGAGACAGACAAGGTGGGGGATAAGAGAAAGGACTCAAAAGAGCGCGCAAGAAGAGTACAGAAACACAAAGAAAACAAAACGGAAACAAACGTACCTTGCGACGACGACATGGTTCGCACGAAAAGGCGCTCTTCTTGATGGCCCTCGTGGAGGACATGGCGATGTTCCATGGGCTAATTTTCTGCCTTGCCCTCAAAGGTCTGCTGTTTGCGCCTGGTCTGTCTGAGGTGGTTCCCTCCCCGAAGTTGATGCGGGACGGAAGAAAGTTGAACTTTGGGCCCTTGTTGTGGAGAAGGGGGAATAGCGAAATCGGGCTGGACCTACTGTGGTCTGCTTGATGTTCCCAACGGATATGTGCGCTTGCAATTGACCATTTCGACTGCGACGGGACCGTAAGGTGACTTGGGGGGGCGCTTCGGCCGGGTCGGGAAAGTCGGGAATCGCGGGACCGGGCCCCACTCTTCAGCACCTTCTCTGCTAATTTTCCGCCCTAAGGCCAACTGTGACGCGCCTGAGACGTCCCATGAGCGAATCAGGATCCACCGCGATAGTCTTTTAGCCAATCGATAGCCTCAGCCTTGTTGAATGGGGCCCACTACTTCCTCGTGGTCAGCGGCTTTCCCCGATACGTCTCTCCGATAATCGCCCCGCTACGAAAGAGTGGATCTTCTTCACCGAGCCTCGGTCTCACTGTCTCCACCTTGCAAGGTGTAGATGCCGCTCACCGACACACCGAGATACCAAGAAACTTCCAACGCGCCCTCCTCGCATTCTCAACCTCTAAATACATTTCCCACTTTCCACTCCAGTCCCTAAGTCCCGTGAGATGCGCAAACACTCCAAGTGAGGCCCCCCATCTTCGCAGACATGGCAAAGGCTGGATCCAGACAGCCGGGCACGCCAAGCCCTTGCTGCGCCGTAAGATTGCAGCAGAGACTTGACCTCAATCGGGACGGGTCTCCGGACCTCTCTCCTTCTTGATCGAGACTCGGCTGAAAAAAACATGAGCTTTATATAAATACAAACCTCACAGCCCGGTATCAAACATGAGCTGAAGTCAATCGTCATCTTCCAAGGATACCTTCGACCGCTGCACGAAACCACCGTAGACCACATCATCGCCAGCCCTTGATCCAGTTTCGAGCCCCCTGTAAACGCATCACAGTCTCGTAATGGCCACCCCGACGATAACCTCGTCTCCCACGCGCTCTCCACCCTGGCAAGCCACTCCGGCCCGCGAATGCCTCATTCCCCGCGAGACAATCAGTTGGAACTACTACTGCAATTTCTACGCGACTTCATGGGGCGGGTGTCCCTCTGGCTACGCGCCGGCTTGCAGTACGGCCGTGGACATAGCCAACCCCTATGTATCGAAGCGGACGGTCACCGACGGAGGCAAGGCCACCTTGACATACGAGTGGTGGCTGACGAGCCACTCCCAAGTGATATGCTGTCCAGGGTAAGAGAGGCGCACCCTTTTGCAAAGGATGGAGATACTCAAGCACGCATAATCCACGATTTTTCTTTTTAACGCAAAAAACGCACCTACTAGCACACTGCCTTGGTCATGTACGGGAGGAGCAAACTGCATCCTCACCACGACGGCCGGCTTCCTCGCCTCCGACCCAGCCCAGACCTCGCCGTCTCCGATCTACGCCTACGGCATCACCTACTCCGTGGAAGTACGCGAGTCCGTGGCATCCACCAAGAGATTCGCCAATTACGAAACGTCGTACTACGGAGACGGGAAACCCATCAGCGAGGCCTGCGATTACACTTCCTGCCTCGGGGCGTTCACGGCGCCAGAGTCGAGGAATATCTATCCCTGGGCGTCCCCGACGACCACGCCCGGCGATGCGGCGGCGACGGACGGGCCGTTCGTCTTGCAGCCGCCGGAGAAGATGGGACAGCTCGGCCCGCTGGCCATTGTCGCGATTACGGGATTGTTGGGGGCCGTGCTGCTGACGATTGCGCTCTTGTCTCCGTTCATGGGTGAGTATTTTCGACACAGGGAGGGGCAGAAGCGGTCGCGAGCAATAAATACCCAGTAGAAATATTTGTTTCTAAAGTCGCATAATGAACATGATGAAGAGCGGGGCATTCGGTGGATAAAGTGGTTGTGGAATTCTTAATTAATGGTATCTTCTCTTTCGCTGGTGGGTATCTCTTCATGTGGTTTTTCTCAAGCAAAAAAATGCAATGGGCTCCCAATGTCAGTACCTCTGTACCCTGTCCCGGAAATGCAAATCCAGTAATCCAGTCCCGGTGCTCTTAACGCCTCGCCAAAAAAAAGACCGCTCAAAAGCGTTTAAAAAAAAAACAAATCGCCGGACGATGCTTTGATGCATTACACCTGCATCATCTCACTTTCATGCCGTGTCCTGTCGTTGGTGAATTCGAACCAGGCTCGCGCAAGCAGACCAAACTCGGACATCCTGGTGGAGAGGTTAGCATCAATGAACGGTATGATTAAAAGAAATGAAATGACGGTAGGGCAAGTGAAGTGAGAGTGAAGATGAGATGAGGCTAGGGTGAGAATGAGGGTTGGAGTGAGATGGGGAATGAGTGTGAAAGTGAGAGTGAAGAATTCGCATGAAGGTGGCTCGACTTACATGATGAGTCCCAGCAGAAACGCCAGAGCGGCCTCGTACTGAATGTACGGATACGCGTAGTACCCGTTGGACTTCTTCGACTCGATCTGGATAACGAGCAGAATCCAGCAAATGGTGGTGCCCAGCGTGAAACACAACTCCATGCCAAAGTGAAAATGCTTCGGGATGCCGCTCCGGTAAGCGTCCCTCTTGCGCCAGATGACCGTGATAAGTGACCAAATGAGAAGAATACATGACTGTGAGATGGTTAGCTACTATATTCGACATCTCCATGTGTTGACGGTGTCTACACATGCTTCAAGAACATTAACTTACAATCGGTACAGACAACCACAAGCTGTAAAAGATAGGATCCGCTGGACTCGTCGAATCATTCAGATACTTGCCCCTCCGCGAGCAGTAAATGTTGATATTCAAAAAGATGACGACCAAGGGAACGATGATGGCGAGCTGGCGAAGGACGTAGTACATGTACGTGCACCGCCTCCTCTTGCGGTTGAAGCGCTCGTTCTCGGGCGATTTGGCGCTGCCGCTGGATCGACAACTTCGGCCACCGCCGGGTTGCTGACCGTACCAGTACTGCTGTTGATGTTGCGAGATGCTCCGCGACGATATCGATGCGGCGTCGTCGTTGTTGTAGTAGTATACTTGCGTGACCTGCTCGTCGTTGGCGTACATTTGGCCTCCTGGCGGTTGGTTGTATCCCTGGCTGTAGGGCGGCGCTGAGTAGCCTTGGTGTGTGTAGGCGCCGTTTTGGAGTGACATGATGGGCGAACTGTGTGTCGGTGTTGGCGGATGGATGGCTCTGTAGGTTTTCCCCTTTCCCTCTAATCCCTTTCTTTTACTCCGTCTCTAATCTCGTCGTCGATGTTGCTGATAAGTCGTCTTTTGATGTCTTCTTCAATATGTGTGGACCTCCAAGCGCAGAATCAACACCACATGCGACAGCGTGTTGGCGCAGGCATGAGTGGACTTTTATGGGGTCAAGAGTGAGTGAGTGAGTTGTGTGTGAGTGAGCGGCTGGATGGACGTCTGGAAAAGGCTCCGAGTGGACACGGAAGGAAAGGCGAAAAGGCTGAAGAACCGGATACCGAAAAGAGCTCACACGCCGGAATATGTACGGGCGGGCTTCAGCGACCCTTTTAGTCTTTGCAAGGGCGTGGGTGTGTGAGAAGAGTTAAGGAAGGATATGAGAGGGAAAAAAGCCCAGAGACCGCCGAGATGCTCTAATTGCGCCTGACCCTCTCCCAAGAAAAGACCGAGAAAAACTCAAAACAGGAGGGCGCGGAAATAAAGAGTCAAGACTTCAAGGAGGAAGGGAAATGGGGGCCAGCAGAAAAGAAAAAGGTGCTGTGTGGCCTGGCGAAAGGCCTGGGCATTCGGCCTGGGCAGCAGCAGAAGCAGAGAGGAACAAGGAGAATTAGAATTTACTCCTGTACGAAAAATACACACACCCAAGCACACATGAGAGTCTTGGCATTCTGGCACTCTGTACTCTGTGAGAGACTGGAGTGGTCTCAAATGTGCTGCTCGCCAAGTCGCGCTATCAGCTCACTGACTCCAGAATTGGCCACAGAGGCCGTCTTGGCCCGCCTAGGCTCGTAGGGGGGGGAGAATTACCCATTCACATTTCACGATGATGTTGTCTTGGCGGTCTTGGCCCCTGGGCGACTGTTCCTTGGAGCTTGGGGGGGAGGCCTTGGAGGGGCGTGTCCCAGCTTGAGATTCACTTCGTCCAGTTCCATCCCTTGGCACGCACAGCCGTGGCAGCGAAGGGGAACTTTGCCAAGACACTGCCAGCAGAACAGAGCGGCGAGCCAGATGTTGGAGCGCCTTGGGGGCGGGCACCTTGGGTCCTGGGACGAAGCAGCAGCGCCTGTCAGCCTGCCACAGGCTGTTTGTTCGGTTATAATGATCGGGATAAGGGGGGCTGTTGTGCTCTTGGGAGATGTTACAGCCAAACCCGCCAAGAAGGCTGCGGCCTGCCGCTCTCCTACCAAACAGAACTCTCAGACTGGCAGGGCAGACTCTAGCTAGGGCCCCCCAAGACTCTTAGGTCCGCAGGCGCCGAGAGGCAACGGTGAAGGAGTGACATGCGCTGGCCTAGCCACCTAGCCTCCTGGGCAGCTCGCTGAGCCGGCGCTATAGGTCTTGTGGTGTCTTGGTAGTTGAGGTTATCAGTATTCCGTAATTCGGGAGCACAGCAGCACAGGCCCCCAAGTTATCCAGTCTGGTGCTGCTGAGCACTGCAGGCAGAGAGAGCTCTCGCTGCCAAGAGACTTGGGAATTCTTGTCTCGGACGCGATAGTCTGACTTGTCGTACAGTGATAAGGTGGCAGTCGAGTGGTGAGATTTCGCCATGCCTTTTGGCGCGCCTGTCCGCCTCGGCATACCTCAGCAGCGGCCGTGACCGGTCCAATTTCCCATCCCGCCGTGCCAATTGCCATAAAAGTCTCCTGTCCTCCACCAAGCTCCTGGGCAGCGCGGGAAGAAAGTCTCAAGAAACATCAAGACTTCGTCACTTCGTGATGTGGGAGATTGGCGTTTAGTCATGGATCGCAAGGGTTTGGTGGTACAGAAAGGATCATCAGGGTTCTGGGCGGGCACTTTTGGCGGCGCAAACGGCCCTGGGCCCTTGGAAGAAGGACAGTGACACACAACAAGCATCCATCTCGTCCCATGTGTGTTGGCCGTCATCGATGGACAATGCGCCCTGCAACCGTCGTGCAGCTTTACTCCATCTCAGCGCGTACGAGTACCGAGACATTTGCTTTTTCGCCTGTTTGCAGCAACGGTTCACTCAAAAGACGCGGGCGTTCGAGACTGAGCTGTCAAAAGTGAGACCGAGACCGAAAGGCTCATCGCTGTGTCTTTCCCGCTTCTCATCTTCATTCCTGGAATGGCAAGATAGCGGGGGGTTGTGAAATGCCAAAGTAAAGAAGTTGACGAAAAGCAACCATCACGCAGTTGAGTTTCTATCTATCGATACCAAGTCGCTGCCAAGTCGAGAAAAGTAAAAAGATGAAATCAACAAAAAAGCAAAGAGCAAAGGTTCCCCAGAAACTCTCGTCTAGATTTCCAGGGTTCAATTCAGGGGGGGTTTGGGGAGGATGATTGGCACTGGGCATCCACGCAATCCCTCATTTCCTTTCCCGTAACCTGGCAAAGTTGCCCCGAATTGCTGCTGAAAAGGTTGGCTCAATGATCTATCGCGCCGGCCAACAGTGACTGTGCACGACCCAGACACCAAGGAAACGTGAGGGATGACTGTCTTGGCATGCCAAGCCATCACGGCAAACCGCGACTCAGGTCAACTCACTTTCACTCACTGAGTCTGATTCCTCATTCACTCACTCACTCAGACCAGTTCGCCTCATTCAGACTTCAATGTCGCCTTTGCCCGTGCCAGCGCTGATCTTCTTGACCGCTTGGCACGGCACGGCAAGCAGGCCACGCCAGGAAAATGACGAGCTTGAAGCCAATCCCCCAGAAGGTGGTATGAGATTGAGGATCATCTCGATAAACTTCCACCGCCATGCCCGCGGGCGCGCTCACCTGATCATTTTCATAGTCTGCGATACCCCACGAGTAAGACACAGTGACTCAGCTCTTCTCCAGGTGATGCTCCGGGGGATCGTCGTCGGTTGCTCGACCGTCAACGTCGTTCAAGGACTAGAACGACCAAATGTCCAATACTGAGAGCGATCTGCGGCTGGGCCCGTACGACGGTGCCCAGTAGCTCCGACGAACCTTGAAAGCGTGAAAGCGGTCTCGAACTCTCGAGCGGTACCGTGTAGTCTTGGTGTTTTGCTATGCAGGTATACTATTTGATGCCACGGCTGGGCTTCTTCTTGACCGAACCACAATCAGTCATGCATAGACCTTGACACTTTCATCAATGGCGCGGGCGGCCTGCCTTGGTGTCTTCCCGGTACCAAAACCGCCCTCATCGGGATCGCATACTACCGGGTACGCAGCGCTACGTCGTTTGCCTTGCCCAGAGCATTGGCGGTGCTTCGGCCAAGGCTGCTCGTCCCACGCAAGGGGATGTGAAAAGGGCGATGGAACAAATGGAAATACCAATGCTGGGCACGCACGCACGCACGCACGCAGTAATCGTCGCGGCCGAGTCGGCCAGATTGGCGGCTTGGCATTTCTGTGGAGGGGCAGCGCAAGCCCTTTTTCACTTTTCACTTTTTTCTGATTTATTTATTCTCTTGGCGGTCCTCATGTCTTGGCATTGCAGTGAACGTGCCGAGTCGGAGAGTTCCGTACCTCATTGCCGGTACTTACCCAGGTCCGTATGTGATTTATTCTTCAGCCTTTTGATACAATGCATTTGCGGCTCAATTGCCGATAGTGAAAATCTTGGAAACGGCATCGATATCCGGTCTGCAAACTTACTTACAGTATGGTCAATGGTACCGGTCTGGGCGGGATATCTCACTCTGAAATCTCCAAGAATCTTTTCCCCAGGTTTTTCCGGTTCCACCACTCCTTGGGTGTTTGGAGGTCACGCGGTTAGCAACGGCATTGGCTGCAAATTGCTCTCTGACTTCACATTGCCTCAATAAGATAGCAAATGATGGGTTACATGAGTGATAAATCATAAGTCGTGATATAACGCGAATACGTACACTTTCTCCCAAAAGTCACAACCGAAACACTATTTCCCGTCTGTACGGGGAATGCGTCGGGTAACAAGGAATATTGTAGGAAGATAAACCAGAACCTTCCGTCAATGTGTAGGGTTCTGGAAGATCTGTGAGACCTGGAATATCGTGTTGAGCCATTCAATTGTTTTCTAGCTATATGTGCATCATTATGGCAGTTCTTCCATCGACACGACGCATCTGTGATCTTGCCTAGTGAACCCTCTCGACGACGTCTCCAGAAGCCCTACCGAGACCGGGTTCCGAGTGCAACCTCGCCTGTCCATCACGCCGTCTGAGAATGAAGACTCGGAAGAACTGTCGGATGCTAGGCGCGCAGGCCGTAAAAATGCCCACGCCTATCTCAATTATCGACCACGTACAGATTGGTAGCGAGTTCACTAACGTAACACGGTCGTATGAGCGAGGGCAAGCAGGTAGGCATTAGACTCGACAAGGCCTTACCTGTGAAGTTGTATGTCCCTTGAAGGTCTTCGGTGAGGAGTCTCAGTCGGACTGAGCTGGTGGCCGTAAGACTAGAATGAGAGATAAAGTCATTAGAAAATCCAAGACATTTGCCGAGGGTCAACCTTGCAGACGACTTACAAGAGACCCAGACTGAACATAGCCATCAAGCTAGTTTTCTTCTCCCATTTGAGATTCAGGCTCTGTATCTGCATCAGAGGCAGCGCGAGCACCCAGATATCCAGTCCAACCTGGATAGCTCCATGAGCTATTCCGATATCGACAATGTTCATGCATGTTCCCTGGCTTCGAGCGTCTTGTCTCCAAAGCGTCCAAGCGAGGTGAACCGGGTTACATTGAAAGATGCCGAGGAAAAGAAACATCACACCAATGATCAAATTGAATGCTTGCGTTGCCCAAAGTGCGTTTCTCAGCCGTTCAAAAGGGAATATTCGCTGATATAGGAAGAGGACGGATGCTTTCAACAGAGTTATCGTGCAATGGTAAAGGGCTTGCATAACGTAATATCCCTGTAAATAACTTTTAGGCATCCCACTAAGAATGGTAGATGTCATCATGGAGAAACTCACTTTGAAGTAGTTGGTGATTTGATCAGCGGTCAATGACCACATATTTTGACCAGCGCCGTTCCTGCCCTCTGTGGTGAAGGATCAGCCATCAGCAACACTCCTGTAATCTGAAGAAAGTTTCCAATCAAGCAACAACCTACCATACACATTCATCGGCACAAATGCTATGAGAAATGCCTATGTTCCGTCAGTTAGATGCTGTTGAAATGAGTTGATCAAGTGCACACTAACATAGGTGCCCATGATCATCCAATCGTCAGGTCCCCACGCAGAGACACCTGCAACCTTGACTGCCACTCGCATGAAGATTGACAGGGAAGCCAGCACAAAGAAGACCGCTAATGTAGGGACTTGTATTGAAACATAATCATTGACTTCTGGAAGCCCACATACTGTCCAAGTATAGTTCTGCGTGGCTATTGAGACCTGGTTAACTCGTAGCTCGCACCACCGCATGGAACATGAAGTCTTCCGCACTTACCTAAGGCATCAGCTGGTAAGCAGTTACTCGTGACGCAAGCATCCATGAAACTCATGTATGCCGTGTCATCACATAGACATGGGTGATTTGCCGTGGGACATGATGAGATGCTCAAGCCTTGAACGAGGCATGATTGCTGCCGTTGGGTACCCTATTAGTCACAAAGGAAGGGGTCTCAAGTTTAGGTGGTTCGACATACAGCGCATGATGGAAGTTTGTCAATCGACGGTGCCTGAGCTGCTACCACTCCTAGAAGGAGGAGGAGATGCCACGGTAGCATGCGAAGTGAATGCATCGCGATCAAAGATACAGTCCCTTGGAGTCGAAGCTCCTGATGCCGGTTAGTGAACCCCGTCCGCTAAGCGAGAGACAAGAACCCAACGGATCGTTCGCAGGTTTAAGCGGCCATGAATGTTGTGTTTGGTCGGGTTGAGATACGGCTTGCAATATTAGGATTGTAATTGATGGGCGAGGTGGCTTGGAGTTGATGACCATGGTCGGGTTGTCGCGATTAGCAACAACTTGGTTGACGCGCCGATCGCTCACAGTTCCTGGCCAGACCATTGGCATATCTCATGAAGCCGGCATGTGAGGTGGCTTACACTCGCATTGTTCTCTGAAAGAAATCATTTTTGAGAAACCGGAGAAGGTCTAGCGTTGTTGATTTGGAGTATCATACCGTGTTTTCTGTTTTCAGTGGGTATGTTTTCATTGTACTTTGGGCATAGACTCGTTCGGATTAGCGATGTGCCGGTGTACTTGTTGTCTTGACTTTCTTGATCAAAGAGGACCCGAAAGTGCGGTTCAAGTAGGGCTCAAATTACAGACTCATACTAAGCATCCAACTCATCACCAAGTTGCAGATTGTCCTTGTCGTCTTCAAAGTTCCGTCTCGGATTGCTCCGGGCCGTGGCCCACTTTCATCGACTTCGTCCATCGGACCCGATCCCCAATCTCCGGCCGAATCAGACTCAGAATGGGTTCTCCGACTGCGCCGTTTGGGAACATCCTATCCCAGCAGCTGAAAAGTCAAATTCCCGAACGACTTTGCTTGAGGCGACTTAGGTCCTTCGTTCCGTGGTCAAAAACGAAGAAGGCCATTCCCAAGGCTCCAGCCCAGCCGCCTTTGTCAACCCAATTCGCAACGGTCATCTAAGGGCATTGTTGACCAAGACTGTACGGATATCCTGCGTTCACTTTCCAACGAAGGCCCTGCCCATCTTCAACAATTGCCATGCCTCAGCCAACATTGATCGCTTTCATGTCTCCATTCGCTGGCCTACTCTATTCCTCATCACATCATCGCCGCGGAACAAGGCCCAGAGAAACATTGACGTCAGCCAACCGGCCCAGCTGCCGTAAAGTCTTGGTAGGGAAGCAGAGCTGACGCACGCAGTGGAGTCGCGCGGTCCAGCACTGCCGCAAGGCCCAACGATGGACCCCTGAGAGTTGTCTTGTCAGCAACTGACAACAAACTCCGGGGCCCTGTTTTCTCCAACTTTAACGCTTCCCGTCCCGTCCGTTGAGCTAAAGACGCGCCGTCTCCAACTACCCCTCACACCATCTTCTCAGTTTATCTCATCTCGTCCCATCTCATCAGCGGATATATTCATAGGATTTACGAGGTTTTCTCAAGGTCTTGTCAAGGCTCAAGATCTACAGAGAAGCCATTCACTCGCCTCTCATGGGATCCTGCTGTTCGACATCCGACGACTCGTCACAGCACGAACTCCAACAAGCACGCCCCGCCCCGCCGCCTCAAAACCAGAACAACATGCCGCCGCCGCGCGACCACATCGTCACGCTCGAGAAGAAATGGGGCTACCACGCCATTGACGGGTATGAGCTCAACAACAACACCTGGGGCCTCGAGAGCGCGACGTCGGGCTCACAGCGCACGCACTACGACGGTCCCAGCCCGCCCGGTGCGTCGGGGGCCCAAGGTATCTCGTGGTCGACGGACTGGGAGTGGCAGGGCGGCGAGCACAACGTCAAGTCGTACGTCTACGGCGCGAGGCAGTTCCAGCGGCGGCTCTTAAGTGAGATCCAGGCGCTGCCGACGGAGGCCGAGTGGCATTACAGCACGTGGGATGTAAGGGCCAATGTGGCGTATGACATCTTCACGGATCCCGATAAAGACCACGCCAACAGCAGCGGAGAATTCGAAGTCATGATTTGGTGAGTTTGATGTTTGGCATATGAATGAGATCCATCGGCTCACAAGGGTTTCGTCTAGGCTGGCAAAGTTGGGTGGTGTGTGGCCCATCAGTGAGTCCAAGGCGCCCATCGCGCATGTCGAGATCTGCGGGCATCAGTGGGAGGTTCACTTTGGTTACAACCACGGCGGCGCGATGAAGGTGTACAGCTTCCTGCCCGTCAACGGCCCCATTCAGCACTTCAACGCCGACGTGAAGCAGTTTTTCAACTTCCTGAGCCACCAGTTCCAGTTCCCCCAACACAACCAGTACATGCTCGGTAAGTCTCTTCCCCGTCCTGCCTGTCGGGCCACTAGAACTCCAGGCTAACAGAATGGCCAGTCTACCAGCTCGGTACCGAGGCCTTCACCGGCGGTCCTGCACAATTCGTTGTGCCCAAGTTCATCGCCGATGTCATCTAGGTATAGGCACTAAGATGCGGCCAATGATACTTGCTGCTTCATGATACCAAAAGAATCCGTCATTAGACACGTATGCCTTGAAAGGAGGCACTCGTTGCTTCTATAGTCTATAGTAGTAATACAAATACAACACAGTTTGAGGGAAGATGGTTCAGCACCGCCTTCAAGGGTATCACGCAACACAGTGGTCAGCACCGGCAGTTACCAACAGCTTAGCGTACTGCTGATGCAAAAAGACTGCGGGCCCTGGTAGTGGGGCATCTTTACCGTCGCTCACTCCATTGAGGAGTATTGACTTGAGCTTGAAGCTGACGACTCGGGCCTGTCGGTCGAGGTCCGCGTCTAGGGTTATAATACTATCCAACTCGCGTGGGCCATCGGGCGCCACCCTGGGAGAGAGCCCGCCCCGCAGCAGGATGCTGCTTGGAGACTTTTCGATGACAATGAAGTCATCAGCAAAAGTCGTGCCTGGTCAAGTCAGCGAGGGGAACATTGGAGTATGGGCAACACGCATGACCAATGTCGGGAATGAAACCTACCGACTGGGTAAGTGCTCTTCAACAGCTCCTCTTTCTCCCAGAGGTCCCCTGCGTTTGACTCGTCTTTACGGGCCATCTCCATGATTTTGCGTTGAATGTTGAATGCTTGTGTATAAAAGTCAGCTTCTCGTCGTATCGCCCTCACCGCACAAGGCAACATGCTCACCATATCGTCCCCAGACACCAGCAGAATACGTTTCCACAAGCTTTGAGCCTCCACTAAGCGCGTCCTCAACAAGATCCGGCCGCAACTTGTCAAAAGGAACTGTGCGGTAACAGCAGTCGTGAAAGTCGGGATTGTTCTTTGGATTGACCTTTTTGAGAAGAGAGTGCTGGAAGAGGGAGTCGTTGGCCGGGGTGAAGTTGTCGTCGAACGCGCACTGACGCGTCCAGAGGTGAAAACCGGCGGCACCTGTGATTGTGGCACCTGCGGCGAACTTGGAAAAGGTCGCTAACCTGGCTTTTGAGAAGAAGTAAGCCATCACGACGCGATTCAATCAGGAGTTGAAATGAATGAAGTTGATTGGACAATGCGAAACATGCAAGATGATCAAGATGGATGGGAGGGGAGGCTACAAATTGGGGATCGTGACATTAAAGTCAATTCCTACGATCTAGGTACGCGGTAGAAATCCAGAACCCTTTCTCCGGGTCGATCCGTCCCATAACCCCGGAGGATAATTCTCTTCAGGTTTGGATCGGACTTCTTACCTCATTTCCAAGGGGTCTCGCGCCTTCGGCTTTCGGATTTCGGATCTGCCCCAGGGGAACACTTTTCTCTCACTGTTCACTAAACCAGAAGAGCGCCACTCTGCCGACGGGAGACCCACTCGGGCTCCGAGTCCGCCGGGGTTTCCGAGGGCGCCGAATGTTACCGGCGGATGTCGAATGACGCCGAACGATCGGGCCCGTCAAATAATCAGATCTACCGCCTTATAGTATGGAGGCTTCACAACAGAAGAGCCGAATTCTCTATAATTCAAAGTTGTCAGGTGTGGGTCACTGACTTCAGTTGTCGCAATTCTTCCACAGTCGTACAAACAGTCTTGCTAACGACAAGTAACCACACAATGTCCCTTACTCGAAAGTTCGGGGGCTCAAGGGCGAGTCACGTCCTGACGAGCGTTTACAATAAAGACTCAACATGCATCCAGAGCTTTGTCTAACTTGGCTACGATCACAACTCTTGCGCCGACGGTTTCCGTTCGTTGAATGTGCATGTCTGAGTCTGATTACCAAGGCTGTTTGCCAACCGATTAGCAACCAGTCACATGTGCTCCTGTGGCTCACACCTCAGTCTCAATTTCGGAATCAATCGACTCAGTATGAGTATGCAAAGATGACATCTCCTGTGAAATGGTGAGATCAGCTATTTAAGCAAGGACCGTCAACAACATTCACGGCGCCTGTATATTGCTATCTTGTCATCAAACCAACAAACGATTTCAACTTAACTGCTATCAAAATTCATAAAAACCAATTCAACTTCAGTACGGAACTAAAACATTTCGAAGATTCTCACAAATTGACTAAAAAGCAGTCTGCCCAGGATGCCTGGCTACGCGACGATCTGCCCGAGATGTGGCAGTCCCTCATTCAAGCGGGGCATCTGCGAGCATTGTGGCAAGACTGGACCACCAGATAACTTACCAAGTAGCGAAGGTTCAAGTCCATGGTTCCTTTCAATGATACTTCTGATCGCTTTCGTCAGGATATCATATATGATGGGACTAGGATAGGCTTGCCGTGACGGCGAGTCGCTGTACATTCTGATCGCAGTAGAGAGTGATCAGAGGAAGGTCGTCTACTACGAAGGATGTCCCGGAAACCCTAGTTATCGCAGTCAGTATTAGATCCAATAGAGCAACGAGTTCTTACTATTAGTGATGAGCAACTGTATTTTTCGTGTTTGATCAGAGTGACAGAGATTGAGCTATCGAGACTTGAACATCAAGCGTTAAGACCTCCCAGGAGGCACGGCTATGCAGATTGGCCCGATGAGTATACAAGCCGTGGACAACCATGAACATATGATTTCGATGATGGTCTAGGCTGGCGAAGATGTATACTTTGTATTTTTGATATCAGGCGTTGACCAAATGATTCCCACTTTTCATTCCTGGACCGCCATACCTTTGCATGTTCTCAACATACCTGCATGGTACTTTTTCAAAGGCTGTGAATCTGCATGCTGACATGCAATGCTGCCCAGCACAAGCGGGGATGCACCACGTGATGCATGCACCGTCACGAGACGGTCAGCCGTGGGAGAGACTTTTCGCGTCACCAAAATCGTAGGAAAGCTGTCGGAAAGCATGAGCCTCCGGACCAAGTCAAAACAACTGTTATTGCGAACCTACATGTACTAGACAGCATACTTCGTGAAGGTGGACAAGACCCTCGTCTGGCAGCTTGATACAAGATGGAGGCCGACCAGTTGGCCGTCAGACTCGACGATTTGAAGGCCATCGCCGATGCCACCTTTCGATTGACCTTTAGCTTCACCAAACGCGACGGCAAGTTGAAATCAGAGATCCGGGCCGTTGCCAACGAAATACAAGACATCGCGGGCTTGTTGCATCGACTTTCTTTGTTAGCATCAGGACTTGAAGATACTAAGGACCATGATTCGGACATCAATGCTGCCCCGCCCCCACTGATATCATGTCGCACCACTTTGGAACAACTAGGGGGATCGCTAAGGAGACGAACGACTAGATCGGACGACGACGGATGCGAACAGAAACGGGGCGCCGCTGTCAAGTGGCCATTTACAAGGGCCTGGACAACAGATCTATTGATTGAGCTGAGTGAGCAAAAGAAGACAATTTCAGAGGGATTGGATGGAGAATCAATCGCACATCTGCTACAGCTACTATCAAGAGGGAAGTCTGTGGCAACCATACGTGACGAAGACTGGATATCCGAAGTTTTTACCGACTTTCTCCAATCCTCTGGCTATTTTCAAGGCATCTATGTGGTCCTTGATACTTTTCTACACGTCCGAGAAGAGTCATACATCAAGATACAAGATCGGTATAAACACTTGCCAATACAGTCGAGCTTTTTCCAAGAAGACGAGTTCGAAAATTGGCTTGATAAGGGAGGATCACACCTTCTCTTCACAGCTCCTCCGGGCGGGGGGAGGACCGCCTTCACCGGCGCACTAGCACGGGAAACCTTTCGGCGACGCCGTGCACGAACTGTTGTTGTACCCATCTACTTTGAGCTTCTAAGTATAAGGGCTAGATGGAATAGATGGACCACGGATATGAACATACTTAGCACCATCGTTGCTCTGATCGCGCGCCAGAATCAGGGCGCGTTTGAAGTCTTACGCCGATATCGTCGCAACCTAAATATCCAACCGAGATGGGCAACAAACGGAGCGAGCATGGAAGGACTGAAAGGTGTTCTTTGGCAAATGTCAACTTTCTTTGAACATGTCTTGGTCATTGTAGACTGCTCAAAGTCTGGCGGAGATGGCATCGTACCGATGATCGCCTCTTTGATAAAGACTTCCAAAGAATCCGCACCGAACTTCAGTTTGGCAGTGGTTTGTCAAGACCTCGAGTCTATTCGGGAGTCCTTGGGTGATTCCGTCCTTAAATGCGACATTGCACCATCCATAGCCATCTTGCAGGCTTTCGCTGCCACCGAGGTAGAAAGGCGAGTCAGGACGGGGGCTCTGCGGTTCGAACGGACAGCAATGAAGGATGCTACGATCCGCAAACTCAGCGTTGGTGGCGACTACATGTAAGCCAACGAAGCTCTCGCGAACCGTGTAAGGCTAACAATCAAGACAGCTTCTGGAAGATCGCATATCAACTTGACCACCTCTGCTCCTTGCAGTTCCACTCTGAGCAGGTTGAGTTTCTGGAGAAGCTCCCATGCTCGCTGTACGACACATACCGTTTAACGCTGGAAGAGTTTCAAAAGCGGACGCCAGCATCTCGAAGCTTGATTCTAAAGGCTTTGCAACTGACGAAAAGTTGGCGCCGCGAACTGAGTGTCCAAGAGTTCTGCCAAGCCCTTTCAGTTTCAGGCATTTCCGGGCTAGATCCTGAGATGTTGGAGTATCCGGAGGTGGACGAATCAGAGGTTCTGCGACAATGCAGTCCTATGATCAAAAGATCGCTGGATGGCGACAAGTTTGTGTTTGCGCACGACTCAATTGAAATGTTCCTTAGTTATATCGACCAATCCAGCGATTTGGCCGCATACCGTATCACGACTTCCGAAACGAATCGGCTTCTTGCTACCTGTGCACTCAAGTTCCTGACTTTAGGTCATTTCGCTCGACTTCCAAGCTTATCGTTGTCAGAAGCGGATTACATCCGGACCAGGAACGAGAGATACCCCTTTTATAAGTTTGCTGCACTGACTTGGCACAAAATTGCTGTCAGTAATTGGGGGGACCCAGAATTTGTCGTGGAAGCCATGGCGCTTTTTGATCCCAAACAGACAACAAATTTCAAGGCTTGGTGTCTTGAGATCTGCCGCCAATACAGAGTAAATGGTGGCTGTAGCAATTGGAGAGGACGGAAAGACAGAGGCACACTCAAGAGGCCCCCATCTATTTGCTCTGAAACTACGGAAGTCAACTCTTCCGCCGCAACATGGTCGAACAAAGATTCAGGAGATAGCACTTCAGATACTCCGCCTCATCTGGAATCATCATCCTCCGCAAGTCCTCCTGTGAGGAAGAAGATGTCCAAACGATCTTGGGCAGCAGGTCAGACAAGGCGCCTTGCACGTGTGCTAAGGCGTGGCGACTTTACTCCTTTACACATGGCTGCTCTTCTGGGCATCGATGCTGTCTGCTTGGAGTTAATTCGAATCGGAGAAAATTACAATCGACCGAGCAAGATAGGGACCCCTTTGCAGTGTGCGATTGGAGGTACTTTACTCATAGGTGACCACGACATCCCGGCGGGCAATTCTCCTTTGCCACCCTGGCTCGACCGACCACGTAAAAGCACTATTGAGCTGCTGATCAATGCGGGAGCGGACTGTACACGAGATTTGCCTAGTCAGGCATACCCTTGGAGTACTATTGGTGCTTTAGCCCTGAAGGCCTCAGAATGGGCTAGGAACTCTAAAATCTTCGCGGTTGTCGTTAGAGGAGGTGCTCAACTGCACGATGACATTATCGCTGTGTTCAGGTCGATCTGTCGCAAGTGGTCAAAGCATAAAGATCCAGGAGCCAAGAAACATATTCAGGACATATTGGAAATCTTAAACGAAATGGTTGAGAAGAAAGAGGGCGAATCGCTGGCTTATCTCAAAGCTTTCCAGAAGGTGGTTTCGGAAACCACTGACATCGACATACCATTGCCTGTCTCGCAAGGCATCTCCGATGACATGCTTGTCCAACAGATGTGGAAATCAATCGACGATGACAACTTGAAAGCGATCGAGGATCAATATCAAAGCAACACAAGAATCAAGGACCTCCTGAAAGACGACATCTTGACGAAACTGCTCGACTTCGCTGTCACATGCTCAGCTGTCAACTGCTTGGACCACTTGCTCACAAATTACATGGCCGAAAATGGCCCACATAATTGGAAAAGCAAAGCAGTGCTTTATTGCGTCGAAGATGGAAAGCAAGAAGTCCTCTTATGCTTATTGAAGAATGGTGCCCAAACCATGAGAGCCAATGCGAGAGGAAGCACCATCTGGCATCTCGCAGCTGCTAAAGCTACCTCATCTGGGATTCTCAAAATCTTGCTCGAAAACAGCGACGAGGCAGAACGGAAAGATGCCTTGAGAATGTTGAATGAGAGTGGCCGTACCGTGCTTGCCAAAGCCCTTGTCAGCAAACAGTACTCAAACGCCTCTATGATCCTGAAATACTGTGGAAAGGATCGTGCGTGCCTCAAGATCAGACATCCATCACTCCCTCACCTTGTGGCAAGTATTCAGGATAGCGTCTTACTCAAGGAGTTGCATGACTGCGAAATGTTCGAATTTGTGGCTAAAGATACGCCTCTCAATTACTTCCATATAGAAGATTTGGCAGGTGTGGAAGCGGCTCGCCAACTTCTGGAAGTTTTTCCCTACCCTTGTTCCGGTCAGCCTCCAACGCCCTTGAGGACATACCTGTCAAGATCCGACTTGAACATCTACAAGAAAGAAATTGTAACGCTTCTTGTCCAGAAAGAGCTGTCGGCCGCACCTATCGTCAACGGTGTTCATACCTGGCAGTACTTCTGCAAAAGCGTGCGGGGTTATTTCAGAAGAGCATCAGAAGCTGAGGCCTGGGAAGTTGTCGAACTTGTGAAGCTCATGGTCCACCTCAGTTGCATGAACGCTTATGAGAAAGCTAGAGAAACATCTGGGCTGGTAGAGATCGTTTGTCTCTTTGATGTCGAATTGATGCCGAGGGCATTTACACCTGACAACGACGCTGTACTTGCGACTGAAGAGATATTCGGCATTGTCTACGATACAACAACCTTACCTCAGTACTACAAAAGTAGTGGTATGGATATAAAGGTCATCAAGTGGACTATTGCTCACAATTCCTGGCACCTGTTTCGTCGTCTTATCCACATGGATATTGATGTGCACAAGAGAGACAAGAGAGCAAACTTATTAGAGTACGTGTGCTCTCACGGTACCGAATTCAACGGTCATAGGATGCTCGCGAATCTTTTAGAACGAGCTGAGAAAGATCGTTTGAACGAGCTAAATCCCGACGAAAACCTTGGTCTCTTACATCTCCTGGGAATGCCATATGGCAAGGAGGACTTATCTTCAGATAGGAGTCCCTTGTTCGAACCTAGTTTTATCCCAATGGAAACCTTCAGTCAGTCACGAAGTCTACCTTGCCCTAGTACGCGTTTAGGGCCGGGAGGATTCGCGGCATTGAGGATACCACGCGACAACCCAAAGTTTAGCATACTCCAACGACTGCTTGACGAGCACGTGGATTGCCAGCTGCTCAGTAAAAGGGGTAATTTTTCAGCTTTGAGTACGCACATAAGATACTGTTATCTGGACACGGCACGCGTGTTACTTTTACGCGGATCACCAGAGATTCTCTCTACCTCTGACAAGTTTGGGTGGACTCCTGTAGCGTGGGCATGTGCGCATGGCTACACGGATATCATCGACCAGATGGTTGAATCCTCCTGCTCTGAATCTATTTGGGGCTTTCGGGTTGAGGTGACATTGGGTGTCGAAGGAGCCCCCTCATTAGCGAAGCCCTACCGTGGCGTCTGCGCTTTGCACCTTGCGGTACTTGCCTCGACAAAGACTGTGTCGTTTCTTCTGGATCGCGGTTTTGCCTCCGACCTTGACATCACTGATGCACATTTGCATACCCCTCTACACTTTGCAACAATGTTTGGGCAGTTGAAAACTATCCAAGAACTTGTTTCCCGGGGGTCAAATATCAACGCTAAAGACTGCGACGGATGGACCCCCTTGCACTTCGCGATCCATCTCGAGAAGAAAGACACTGTTGAGCTCCTTCTGGAGCTCGGCGCGGCCCATATGGAAACGAAGAAAGGAGAAACGCCGCTCGATCTTTCTATGTCCAAGGAAGAATACTATATCAAACGAGTTAAAAGGTCCATCCAACAAAGCCTGAAGACTGGCGCAGAAATCCACTGTCACAAGCAGTGGCTGTCCTCTCTCTCGCGGGCCATGGAAACGGCCATCATTGACGGCGATACCAAAACTTGTAGGAAACTTCTTACGGAAGGTTGCCCAGTGGACATCAAGATGAGATCTTGCCATACTTGCACAGCTCTCATTTTCGCTTTGTCACGTAATGAGGTGTCTGCGAACATCGTAGACACTCTGGTGGAACACGGAGCAAGTTTCCGTGGAACTACCTGTGCCCGCCATACGTGCGGAAATTTCAAGCGATACGGGATCCGCCATTTCAGCGACAGAACTTCAGAAAACTCCTCATCTTCCTCATCATCTGATAGTGATGATAACAAAAAGTACCGGCAGTATGGCTGGCCATCGTTTGGATCTACCAGTCTTGACATGCTCATGTGGGAGGATGATTTGTTCGAGAAAATCTCGACATGGCTATGCTCCGTTCCGGAAGAAGACATGATCTGGCTCATTGACAATTCCATAGCCGTCCATGTAGCTGTGGATCGCGGCAGCCCCAAGGCTCTACAAGTCCTTTTGTCTCACGCTGCTAAGATCGGCGATGGGTGTCACAGAAACTTGGCTTATGAGCTTGTGAACAGGACTGGATGGCATTCTGGGGCCTACGTAGCCTCGCCTCTTCAGGACGCAGTCGATGCTTGCAACCTAGAGCTTGTTCGCCTTCTCCTCGAACATGGAGCAGAAGTTGACAAGAAAACCACACTGAAGGGAACTGCCCTTCATCAAGCCGCGAATCAGGAAAACATCGAGCTCGCACAACTTCTTTTGGAGCACGGAGCCTCGCTTGTATCCAGAGATTATAACCGCGGATTCACCCCACTGGAAGAAGCAGTTCAGTCTGGCAACACTGAGATGGTAAACCTCTTTTTGGATCGTGGGGCATCTGTCAGATATCCTCAATACGCTGACACATGTTTGGTGTGTGATTCGACGGAAACTGCAGTTCTGATGTTGAAATCAGGCATCCCTCTTCAAACGATAGGAAGGTATGGCGGACCCCTCTGGGCACCGGCGTGTCTGAAAATCCGGCTTGCCACTTTTATTTTCAACTCCGATTATGGTCATGCGATAGCATCCGAGGTGAATGCCTCAAGGCTTTGGCAGATTCTATCCTACGCCTATTGCGTTGGAGAGAGGGTTCGTGTCCGGGGATTTCTTCGTCTGCTGTGTCGGCGAAGTGGACACGGATCCATACGAGGGATGACTGAGTCCGATGGAATAGGCAGCGAAAGATCATATGGCGTGTTGTGCTTCTTTGCTGACTTCGGACTTGTTGAAGAGGCCAAGTTGCTGCTAGACTTGGGTTGCAACATTGAGTTCGAGGGAGCTTCGACTGGCACTGCGCTAATGGCAGCAGCTCATGGGGGTCGGCTAGACGTAGTCAAAATGCTCGTCTATGCAGGAGCACGGATATGGTACGAGAAGGATGGATTAGGCAGGAGTGCAGTTATTGCAGCTCAGGATTTCCCAGAAATCGTAAGCTGGCTGTTGGTTGGAAGATTTACGGAGCAGGCGAAAATTGAGGTGGCCCCGCCTGGCTGGGTGACGAACCAACAAAGCGAGATTCGCCCCTGGAGCGGATATCGTCTTGGCAAGTTTTCTTTGTCAGGAAAATACGCTCGGCACTGGGGAGATTCGAGCTTGAGGTGGTTGTCGTGTTTGGAAAAGGCACGAAGGAACTTGCGGGGGAAAGTTGCCGTATCAAGGTCGTGGGACAGAGAAGATTGCTAGGAAACGAGTGACAATAGGTAAACCTAAATGAGTTTTCCAGGATAAGAAACCGTCACATGCTAGGATTCGTCTGCATTGCATCATGCAGTGCTCCCGAATCAATGTGGTAAAACACCAACAATGCATGCGGAAAAGACCTTCACTCGGATTAACCGGCTGGTAGACAGGTACGACACCGACAGCAGACAAAGGCACGTAAAATGGCGGCAAACGTTCCACGACCGTAGCCAGTGCGCGTATAGTCGTTAGACCAACCGTGACAAGACCGTAAGTCCGGTCCAGCGGACTGTAAGTCCAGACTTCCAACGACTGTCATGCAGGTCGGTAAGAAGGAACGAATCTAACCCGATCGATCCTTGCAATTTTTTCAACTGCCGTAAATACGAGCGTGATTCCGCCCTACTGAGACTGTGTTCCAATTGTGACCATCTTTCTCATTTTTGAGGTCAAGTCGTGGGTAGTCATCAAGATGGGCAGCATATTCTCGAAGACCGCGCCCAAGGCACCAGCAACAGTGGCTACAGACACGATCATCCCCTTGAACCCCAATGATGACACTGCCTTGAACAGGGGCATTGTCATGGGCTTCATGATGCGCTTTGATAACGTCTTGAACCCAGAAAGGCTGCACTCGTCACTTACGAAGTTGCTAGGCCGTGAAGGATGGCGAAAGCTTGGTGCTAGATTAAGACTGAACGTAAGTTTCGATCTCAAGTATTCGAGAATGCGCGGGGACAGCTACTCACATATACGACAGTCTCAGAAGAAGCTTGAGTACCACGTGCCTCAGCTATACAATTCGGAAAGACCAGCTATTGCATACTCGCACCAGACGCACGACTGCAGCATCAAGCATAATCCGCTTGCTTCGCAGCTACCGAAAGCAACTTCAAGGCCAGCAGTTATAGGGACTCCACCAGAAAAGTTCCAGGATTTAATGCGAAGATCAGATGGCCCCAAGTCGATGCAAGACTACATCTATCGCGATGAGCCTCAGCTGAGTCTGCATATCGTCTCCTTCGATGACGCGACGCTTGTCAGTTTGACATGGCTGCACACTTTATGGGATGGGATCGGAAGACAGGAGCTTCTGACTGCGTGGACTGCCATCCTCGAGGGTCGCGATGACGATGTCAAGGCCTTCCACGGATTTGGCACAGATCCCCTGACGGAGCTGGGAACGAATCCTACAGAGCCATTTGTTCTGGCTGACCAGCGCCTTTCAGTCTGGGGACTGGCCCGAATCGTCCTGGGGTATGTTTGGGACATCCTCCGTCATCCTTTTGAAGAATCTCGCATTGCTTGTATACCAGCAGCGTACATCGAAACACTCAAGAAAAAGGTCAACCAAGAGTTGAGTGAACAGAGCGCCGGCCCAGAAAAGTTATTCGCCAGCGAGGGAGACATCGTTACCGCCCTTGTCGGCCGCCTATGGTCGCAGCATCTGCCTGCAAATACCAATAAACCGATTGTCCTCGGAAACGTCATCAATATACGTCCTGCGCTTGCTCAGGACATTCTTCCAGAAAACACCGCATTTATATCAAACGCCACATCCCTGATCTTAACCACCATCACCGCGGAGGACCTCTGGACAAAGCCGCTGAGCTACACGGCTGCCGCGGTACGACAATCTATTCAGGAGCAAGGGACTAGGGCGCAAATTGAAGCTCGCAAAGCCCTAGAAAAGAAGCATTCTGCAACTTTCTTTGGTGACAAGAACATGCATCAGATTTTACTGTCAAACTGGGGCAAAGCCAAATTCTTCGAGACAGACTTCTCTTCCGCCGTCGTCGAGCCTCACTTAGCCTCTATTGCTCAACCGCACAAACTTGGGAGCCCCTCGCTGATTCTCAGTGCGAACTATGTCAGTGGCTTCCCACTTCGATTTGCGGGTCCGATAATTGGCAAGGACTTGGATGGCAACATTTGGTGGGGTGGCACTTTGCGGACAGGTCTTTGGGACAGAATTGCGCAAACTTTGGAAGATCAGGGTTGGTATTTGGTTACCAAGTAGTCCGCTTGATTCTATCTGCACCACGGCACCACCGCAGATCTATCTCTTGTCTATATCTGGATAGCTGGCTTGTTGAGCTCTAGTCAGGTCTGCTCGGGGATTCTCCTCGTTATGTTAGGTACCCAATTTACATGATTATTTCCCCAATAGTAGTTTCAGGCCCTTCAAGGCTTGCTCATTAGCCGTGAACAAAATGCCACCGGCCAAAACCGTTCGTCCCAGTCGCATGACTGTTCCCCTCCAAAGGCCCTTGACTCCATCCTCGGCCATGATCGCTCGAAATGACTCCATTGTGCCCACGGCTTTGGCCTGTTGAGCCTTTGTCTTGATCGTGTCAAAGGGTTGCGTCGCTACGGTCGTGACTGTGCCAGCAAGCGCGCCGTTGGCGAAGCTCATGATCGGACCCTCAGGGCTGATTCCCCTGCTACGCTCAAAGTCTTTGATGATACTGTAGCTGCCGAGGCGAAATCCCGTGGTACCGATTTGTTTCAGGGTCGTGGTTATATAGCCGCGCCAAAGAGCCTTCAGGACTCCTTGTTCTCGCGTCAGAGTTTGAATGCAATTTATTGCACCCGTGAATCGTCGCGTCGTCTTGGCATCATCGATGAGCGCTGTCTTGATGCGCTCGCTCGGTGTGACAATGATCGTGCTGCTGACGATCCCGGCTACCATTCCTGACGCGATACTTTGCATGGGTCCTAGCGTATGTGTCTTCTTGTCTTCGAATACGGAGCGAATGCTGTCAAACGCGACGAACCTCACCGCATCCTTCCCGATAGACCCCACGATCATCGTGCTGCATCCCTTGTAAAGCGCTGGCAAGCCCTCATCGCGCGCAACGCGCAGAACAATCGCGAAAGGGTTTCTTGTCCCTTTCTGGTGCCCATAGAGCTGTACTCGCGTCTTGGCGAACTCAAAAGGGTATGTGCAGGCGGCTTCTACACCGCCGGCGATACCTCCCGCGGCGAGTGAGAGTAGCGGCGATGTCTTGCCGTCCGCCGGAGCGACCATCGCGAATCCAGATCTGCCCCCGGGGCGTGTCGATTTTTGAGTTTTGTTTGAAAGCAGCGCTCTTGATCTCTACAGAATTCGAGATAAAAATAAGCCGGCTGGTCGTAATCTTTGGACTCAATGTCGGAGAAATATGTCGATGATTTATGAGGGTTGCGACGAACGGCCCGGCCCGGTGTTCGCCTCGGTTAATTGTCGGCCTCGTGGAGACGCTTATCGCCGGATGCTCTTCAAGCTACGTCAGTACCTTAGTGTGCGGTATTGGCTCGCCGCTAAAGAAAACCCCGGACTCGTTCTTCAAGTTGTCGATACACCTGATGCGCCTTACACGCCACACACTTCGTCACTCACCATGCGAGCACTACCAATAGTGGTATGTAAGGTAGTTCATCAACTTATCATGGTACTCTCCTCGTAAGCCCCGATTTCATGAGAAACGCAACTACAAGATCATCAATGTTCGCTTTTCTGCCCCCTCAAACCACGATGACTCTCCCTGGTCAAGAAAAGCACCAACGCGGTAGAACAAAGATGGAGATCTTTCCATCAATACCAGTCCCCTAAGATTCTCGCCGACTTGTTCTGGGAGCCATTCACTTCTGAGACCAAGAAAATACAAAGTTTCTTGTCTCCACAACACCTCGTGATGTTCCTGGCTGTATGGGTCGGCGTCAAGAAATAGGTACCCGACCCATTCGTCCTTATAATTAAGCCATCTAGTACCGTCGGAATCTTCACCATGACTGCCTGCATCTCTGGTAGCCAAGCATGGACCCGAAAGGGTTAGAGACCCCGAGATAACCCTCCCGTAAGGATTTCCGAGGGAGTTTAACGTGGTTTCGGCACCAATGATATCCACGAGGCTCTTTCCGGTTTGTGCAAACGCAAAGTCAACGGATCCTTGCACAGATGCCCATGACCATGACGGAGCCACCCATTTCTCTGGCCGGGATCTCTGAGATTCAGGCAGGAAAATGTCTAGTGCCCCTCCCTGCCGCCAAAGCAAACTCCTCTCCAGCTGCTTCTCCCATAGGCCCGCCAAGTAGCGACCCAGCCTATGATTCAGTAATGTGTCAAATTCCCGAGCCATCCCCTCTATTGCAGGAAGTCTGTCTGCTGGGTTGGTAAGACTTCGGGATGAATAGTTCTGCACAAGACCATCCCAAAACGAAGCAGACACTTCTTCTCTTTGGAGCCAGGCTATGTACATGGGAAAAAAAGGTTTCATCTTGATCTGATCAAGCGCAGAACGGGGACAGATGTAATGAATACTGGAGGAGGTAAAAACCAGCCGCCGGGGAGCCAGTTCCCATTCTTGGAGAGCCCATGCCCGGCGGCTGATAGGCTCGTCTTTGAACTTAACGCCGGTGTCCAGAATAACGGATGTGTTCTGGAGATTCTCGTGTGGAGGCTCGACAGGAATTTGGCATCGATGTGCAGCTACAGAAAAGAAGCCATCGCCGGAGTCTGGCGCGTTCGCTGCGACTATTGTGAGGAAAGAGTTCTTGTAGACGCTGGCCATTCTGGCCGACTCATACAACCAATCTTCTTCAGAGTCTTGAAGGATGCATAATGCGTCGATCCATATGTACTGAATATGGAGTCCTTGCGCTACTCGAAGAGCATCTTGCAGACTGAGGGGCAGTGCCGAAGGAGAGAATCCTTGCTGTCGGTAGGCTAATGTTGCCGAAGTGGTTGTGAATGTATTCGATATGCCCCAGCAGTACGATAAGGCGGCGTATTTGGTATTTCTACCAACTTCTGCTGTGTTTTTGATCGTGATAAAGTTGTTAGCGTAATTACTGAGGTCGACGAGTCGTGTTGGTAGTTCTACCTCCCCTACGGGGAAGCAAGCATGGTCCGCTTGGCATTGAAGGATCTCTGTTTGGGCCATTTGCCAGTGACTTGGGACTGATTGGTCTTCAACACAGTCAGAGATGTTTCTCAGAAGACCATATTTCCATATGACCTACCGCTACCATTAAGAAGCCTGCAGCTTATACTCTGTGGTTCTACAACTCGCGGCCCTCGATCCGAGGCATCATTGCCATGTACACACTCTTGCGGCGAGATAGTGCCTGCATCTACTCTTATAAAAAGTAGTAAATACTTCTCGTAGCCGTTAAGGATCACTTTGATTGGTGGTTTGTTGTGGAATCTTTTTTTTGCGGGTTTAGGTCGTTTTGCGAGCTTCATCATGACGCTTCCCTGGCACTCCTGGCCCCCATTGATCGCCTTAGAGCAGAAAGCTCTATGCAATATCATGCATAGACTGCAAGTTTCCCTCGAGGCTGAGATGTCAGCTAAATTGCCCACCATGCGAGACCAATCAAGGTCATCCAGATCCGAGGGTAAACTGATGGTTTGGCAACGGGCACACAACGGTTGCATGCCAGTCAACGCCGCCATTTATGAACTAGACAGATATGGTTCGGAAATACTAGGCCCCTTGTGCCGAATTTATCAATTGAAAGGTCACGTTGTAACTTGTAAAACCGGGTCGGCCAACGCCCAAAGTAAGGTAAGCAAGGATATCCAAAATAGTGGGGGAAGAGAGTTTCTAGCTGGCCTCTTCTGGTAGTTGAGCCCAAGGACCCCACGTTTCTCAGAACGTTCTGTCGTACAGCTCCTAAGGAGAGGACTTAATTTGGTAAAAGGAAATGCCGACGGAACTAACGTGCTTGAACTCAATGAGGCTCAGATGTTGTCGAAGCTTAACGACATGGAGCCTCACCCTTCCATACCCCTCCATACCCCTCACCTCATTTAGGCAGCAGTTCTCCCATCCTGTCGCCGCTCTCAATTTGCTGACATTCTTCGGACTTAGGTCACCGTAAACCCTCCACCTCAAAAATCCTATGTTCAAGCTCTCGGTGATTCAAGAAGCATGCTCCATGCTGATGATTGCGTTTTGGGTCAACTAACACAGACCGCAAGTAGACCTGCGCGTGGATCTGTAATTTTCGAGCCCATCACAGCCTCAGTTACGTACTCCCGTGTACTTTCTCGACAAACTTTTGGACCTGCGCATGATTTGATGTATCTCATTATGCGTGACTGCGTCTTTCGGACATATGATCCGTGCTCCTGCTCCTGCTACGGAAATGATACGCACACCCACAGCTGCTGTGGAGGGTTCTGCGCCTGCTTCCGCAAACTTGTCCTTCACTTCAACGTCTTCGAGTCTTGCGGCGCAGAGCGACGCCTGAATGTAGACGAAGAACCCTTCAAGGTGGCCCTGGTATCCGGATTCATCGGCATCACGTCTGATGAGTTCATCCTACACGAGGTACATCTGGACGCAGCTACTTTACGCAGCGCTTTTCAGGTAGAACTATTAGGAGCCCAAAGGAGCAAACAGTCACTGCGTGGTAAATACCGTTGGGTCCCGACGCATGCGGATCAGCCAGACGAGGAATGTCGTCCGAGAAGTGGGCCGAGCTTAATAGAGAACGTCGACTAATGTTGTTCGCTAAAGAAATAATTGGCCCCAGTCACGGTGCCGGGCCATGAGAATCTCACTCGTCTACTTTACTCACGTGTGTGATTTTTGTCGAATGGCCTGAGATTATCGGAGTCTTTTGTCTTCATGGACTATAATATCAGACCTAGATGTTGAATGATTCCTCGTCGAAAAGCTCTGCTGAGATGAGCGGGTTTAAGTTGTTGAGTTGGAGTCAAGGGAGCAAATGGCCAGGGATACGCCATCGACTCTGACTTGAGGACAAACCACCCAAACATTCCCAGTCCAAGATTCTTACTTGCCAGTCATGAGTATCAGAGTGACATGGAATCTTGTTTTCGTACGAAGCTCAATAGCATTCGAGCCCATGAGTTGGTACGGCTTAAAGGGAGGGCCTTTGATAACCCACCGGCACGCCCACGCTCCTCGTTCGGTGCGCCTCGACGTGTAAACTTTCTCTACATACCGGCTACGAGCTGAATATCTCGGCCTCAGCTAGCTGTTGATGGTGGAGCAGGTGGACCTAGACATCTTTTGGTTGCGGCACGGCCATCTACGACGGTTAGGCAGCAGCATTACAGAAATTTTCACTCTCGCATCGAAGTGGGATTACCCCTATGTTGCGTTGGCTGCCTCCGAGAAGGATACATGTAATCAAGGGATCAGAGTTCTTTACCTCTATTACTTGCCTCTTAAAGACAAGATGCAATCTTAACAATGGACTGGAGGCACGTTCGTGGACATCACTCGCGCAGTGCGCTTGGACCCCTGAACGCGGATGAGGCTATGTTGTGGGTTGTAAAGAGTCCGTCGAGCACCACTGTTCGCTTCATGCAGGTTGAAAATGTAGGATCTTATCTTATGGATCTCCTGCGTCAATGTTAGCCATATATTGCGGTTTAATGGGTAGGACGTTCTTCGCTAGAGGTAGTACAAGGCGCTCTTCAACCTTTTCTACCTTTGGTTGACACTCATCCAGGGCAGCCCCTTGCCCGACCACACAAGCGACCTAGAAAGCCTTGGATAAATGATAGTGATGTTCTACGTTTTAGGAAAATAGTCATTTGATCATACCAATTGAGCGACTACTTGGGGGTTTCTACCTGAACATGACGAAGTCTGGGTGCTTGACTGCCTGCTTCATCGTGTGATACCAGCTTCCGAAGATGTACTAACTTTGGTTGCCATGTCCACTATGTAAGGTTCTGGCAATACAAGTTGGTAATAGCTTCCAATTAATCTCAGTATTCAAGCGACGCGTCATCGCTCAGTTGCACTTTCCTGGTGCCTGGACTTGTCTACCGGCGGCGTCTTGGCGACATCTAGTTCCCGAGATCGTCAGCCCAAATCCATCTGCAGACATCATATCCACAGCAAGAGAATTGAAAATGTCATGGGAGCCAATACGAAAAACTGCGCGAATTCCAGCAGCACAGCCTCTGTGTAGTCGGACAGGGGAACTGAGACATCATGGATGCCATACCTTAGAGATAGCCAACAGATCTCGGAGCTTGATAGCACATTGAAGAGGTCGCCGGCGTGTGTCCACAAGCTTGGGGCGTGATGCGGAGTATACGGCGTACCTGAATTGGCAGTCGCTCAAGGGCGCGCAGTTTGGTTTGGCCAAAAGAGGTATTCACCCCTAAGCATGCATCTAAGTCATTGAGCAGAATGCCTCCCCGTCGTGATGAAGACTCAGGAGGTGGTCCACGTACCAAGGGAGTCTTCATGAGCAGTCAAGAGTTCTCGAGCAATTATGAACACGAGATATAAATCCACGGAAGCATCCCACCATATATCGGCCAGATCATTCAATGCCACAGCTCACTCAATACCATCGTTGAACTCTTCAGACGTTACCATGTTTTCATTCACTCTCAACAGCTCGCTCTCAGGCTCTGACCTGCCACTTCGGATAACGCTTTGCCTTCTTCACTTCGTCCTTGGATCCATCTTCTTCGATATCATACACTGGCTGGCCCACCAGTCCAACAGATCTCGCTTCCGAATACTACGGCTACTTGCCAAGGCTCACTCAATCCACCATCAATACTTTGACCGTAATCTGAGATTCAACGAGCGATTCCGCCATCGAAATATCGTCTGGCATCTATCACTTGAGGTGTCTTGTCAGATGATTGGCAGCACCATGAGCTGGCTTCTCGGGCCTTTGTTCATGCGCAAGGCTTCACTTTCCCAATTCCATGACTTGATCATCATACTCTCCGTCCAAGCCGGTAGAGCAGCCGTAGTGGCATGGAACTCTGGGAACGATTCAAACCACATTCCTTACCCGCGGCTCCCGAAAGACCCTTCCACCTTCTTCGTTGGGCCTGAGTACCATGCCCTTCACCACATCGAACCTCTTGCCTACTTTGGGTCAATGGTGCGCCTGCTCGACTGGTTTCTCGGTACCGGGGTCTCACTCAGGGGCCGGCGCGTAACGATGACGGGGTCTAGGGGAGCCCTCGGCCAGGCACTAGCAAAGCAGCTTCACCTTCAAGGTGTCCGATGCATTCATACTCCCAAATTCGGAGTCGACTGGACGTACGACGATTATTCCTACTTTGAGTCTGTCTTCGCGGACACCGATGTACTCATTCTCGCCCATGGATCCAAGAACGACGACAATGCCCACGAGGCAAACTGCAAGTCCCCCGTCGCTATCATAGAGCTGTTCAAGAAATTTTGCGAGCGGCGAAAACTTGGATTACTGCCAGAAATTTGGTACATCGGTAGCGAGGCCGAGTTTCATGGGGCATGGACGGAAGACATGGAGGCCTACACACAATCGAAACGCGCATTCGTACCGCACGCCCAAAGGTATTATGGAGACGAATTCTCCAATTATCGACACATAGTTCCGGCAGCGTTTACTTCGAGAATGGGACGCGGATTCATGTCTGCTGATTCGGCTGCTAAAGTGGCTCTATGGTGGATTCGTACAGGCGCACGTTACGTTCCAGTTACATACACCGGGTTCGCATATCTCAATTTCTTCAGGTTTAGACTGGGAGGCCTCGCCATTAGTTCGAAAAAGGGCACTACTCGAGGAGCTTCTGAGACATTGCGCATCATTGATGGAGGACGGGCCAAACTCTGGCCTTGAGAAGAGCTATCCAAGGAAGCATACCTGTAGAGACTTCACTTTGTATTCATATTAGTTCTGTAAAGCCTCGACGTAATCTCCAAGACATAGTTCGTCTTCCGTCTTCCAAAATTTCCCTTTTCAGTCATCCTGGAGTTCCCAAATGACTTTCGTAGCCTGAACCCACATCTCAGAAGTCAAGATGTCAGCTGCGGGTCGTCGGCGACCAACGTTTGCGTTTAGTATCCACACGAGGGCTTCAACCACCCACCTCGAGCCCACATGATCGTCTCGTCGCCGCGGCAGCATCAACGGAGCAATTCCGGCTCAATTGGTCTATTAGTCTAGTTGGTTAGGACGTCGGATTCTGATTCAAAATTCAAAGTCAGTTCCTTCCGTAAGCCCAGGTTCGAATCCTGGATGGACCTTTACCTTTTGCTATTCATGATAGGAGTGTAATGAGGCGTCATGTTGTTCAAGTTTTGCCTCTATGATCGTACTTCGGGACCAGTCTCCGGCGACCTACGAGCGTCACAAGGCTGGCATCCTCTAAATCTTTTGCTCTCGCTTGAATTCTACGAGCTCGCGGAGATGATGTTCACTTGCACTATAACTACAATGGTGTTGACAGTCTCATCTTGAAAAACAGCCCCAATTGCCCCGGAGCTCCGACCCTCCGATTAGCAGGCCGGGATGCGGATGTCCGTGACGCATGACGCAGAAAAGTCGGGAGCCGTATTCGGACTGGTGTGCCGTGGTGTACTCCAGACGAAACATAGCACACTAGCTACGAGCTTCAGTTGAGACTTCTATGTGACAGGTTGGTGCTACCATATGAGATGTTTCTCTCGAATCCCGCAGCTTTAGTCGAGCTAGTCATATGCAGGCAGGTTTTGAGTTTACTCGAGGATGGGGAAGTACGGCGGGAAGCACGGCACCTGCTAGGGTAAGGTTCCTAATGCTACCAACATCAGATGAATCTCGCAAAGCTTTATGAACCAAGGTAAGCCGTGGTCAACTCACAACTGGATGTATCCCGAAGTCTCTAGTAGGTAGCTTTGACCAAGATCGACACACTTAACAAACTAGTCGAAGTTGTTGCACAATGTACGCAAGCAATGTTCTTCAGTCTCCAGAAGCCTGCGGGCTCTCCTTTCTCGTCGGAGTCATTCTACATCTCTACGTCTTCCGATTCGGCGAATGGGATCTCTCGGCACAACGCATCATCACGAGCTTCACGCTCGCCTATGCAGCAATTATCGGGGTCATTATGGTGCTGCCGCCTTTCATACCCATGGTTTCCAGAACCTCAGTGGAGGCGACCAGCTTGGCTCAAGTCTCCAAAGCTGCTACTATACTCTTCTCGTCACTTACGACGGGCATCTACACAAGCATGCTAGTATACCGAGGCCTATTCCATCGCCTGCGTGAATTTCCCGGCCCCTTTCTTGCCAAGTTCACGAACCTCTACGTCACGTTCAAGATCTGGAACCGGATGCACCTCCACGAGAACGTGCGAAAGCTACATGAGAAGTACGGCGACGTGGTGAGGATTGGCCCGACCGAACTGTCGATTAACAAGCCCGGCGCCATCGACGCCGTTTTCTTGGACACGGATTGTATGAAAGGGCCATGGTATAATCTGCTTCACCCCATGGTCTCAATGCAGATGGTTCGCGACAAGGAGGCGCATTCTAGACGACGAAAAGCGTGGGAATACGGCTTCACTTCGAAATGTAAGTCATCATGGAGCCGTTGGTAGTAGTGATCAATATCAATACTAGCAGAGACTGACGAATGGCGCGACGCAGCACTTCGCGATTATGAACCCCGCGTCCTCAAGTATACCGACCACCTCCTCGCCGACATCGAAGTCAGCGCGGGCACCAAGTTCAACGTATCCCTCTGGTTCAACTTTTACAGCTTCGATGTCATGGGCGAATTCTCCCTGGGCCACGGGTTCCGCATGCTCGAAGACGGCGTCGCGCACTTTTACATGAACTCGCTGCACGACGAGACCAAGGCCGTCGGGCGCTTTACACACGCGATGTGGGCTCTGCCGCTCTATCGCAAGATGGCCATCTGGAACGCCGGCGTCAAGAAGTTCAAAACATGGATTTCGGGCCAGGTGCAACAGCGGATCCAGAATAAGCCCGAGAGCCCCGATATCTTTACGTGGGTGTTGGAGGATTATGAGGCTAAGAAGGAGCATTCCTTTCAGGATATGCTTAATTTGTACGGGGACTGTATTTTGATTACAGTTGCTGGAAGGTAATGCTTTCGCCTCAAGTGATACTATTTTCTTGTGCAACGGGTTGTTGACTCGTGATAATATTTAGCGACACTGTGGCAGCTGTCCTGTCATGCCTGTTCATGGAGCTGGCCCGACATCCGAAAGAGTACAGGAAACTGCAGGACGAAGTCGACGAGTACTTTAGAGGACATGACAAGCCTGAACATGCCGCCCTTTCAAAGCTACGATATCTTCAAGCCTGTATCGACGAATCATTGCGTCTTCATCCACCTGTACCCTCGGGTGTCCAGCGAATGACGCCGCCAGAGGGTCTTCAAGTAGACGACGTCTGGCTTCCTGGAGACACCATTGTCTTTGTACCGTCATATACACAGTATAGAGGTGAGTCACTCTCAAAACATGAGCAGCAAAGTTGCAGTTTGACCTGTCTCGGAGTACGGACGTGAATTGGTTACTGATAAACTCGCCAAATGATAGACGCCAGGTTCTTTGAAAGACCAGACGACTTCATCCCAGAACGATGGATCAATCAGCCAGAACTCGTCAAGAACGCCTCAGTCTACGTGCCATTCTCGACAGGTCAGTTTCTAACTGGCTCTATTCCCATCAAGTTAGCTGAACGACGACTTTGCTAACTTCACTCTCAAGGACACGACGTATGTATCGGGAAACAGCTCGGCCTCCTCGAGGCGCGATTTGTGACTAGCGCCATCGTGCACAAGTACAACCTGCGATATGCACAGGGGCAAACAGGGGAGATGTTCCTGGAGGGCAACAAGGACACGGGTACGCTGACCGTTGCCCCGCTCAATGTGGTATTCTCGCCGAGGAAAGCGTAAGCGTGGGGGTGATTCGGCGAAGTCGTCTCATCTCCCGTCTCTATATGCAGCTTGCAGAAATTTCCCGGCCAGGGGAGGTTGGTTGTCAACTCATCAGGGTCTCACAGTCCAGCAGGACATGCCGCTGTTGGTTGCATGGGTGCGTGGTTAGTGAGAGGTAGTATGTAGAGTGTGCTATTCTTCTCGTATATGTTCCTTGGCGTAGGTACCTACACCTACCAGTGCTACCTATGTGCAGATGTTTGCAGACTCAACTGCGAGCGTGAGGTTCGAACTTGGAATAATATGATGCGTCGAAAGAGGAATGCTCGCTGTCATGCCGTGCTTACCAACATCGCTGATGAGATAATTCCGAGAGAAAAAAATGCGTTTTAAGCCTTGCCATACGTTGCTCGTATCCGTCGCTCCAAATGCTCCCGACTTGTAACAGGCTCGGCACTTTCGTACCCCTTTCTTCTCAAAACCTCCAAAAACTCGGCATCTGCACCGCCGCCGCCGCCGCCATCCCTCCGGTCCTCCTTGATCGGCGCCAGCACGACATGGCGGTCAGGCTGTATGAACACGGGTATACTCAACCTCGCGACATTCTCGCTCGCTGACCTTGGAAAGGCGACCCTGTGCACCGTAGACCGCAGCCTCCCTGCAGTCCAGAACTCGAGGGCGTCGCCTATGTTGACGACGATGGCATTGGGGATGCAGGGGACGTCAGCCCACGCTGCGGGCTTGTTTCCTCCTCCTCCTCCTCGCAGGACTTGAAGCCCGCCCTGGTCTGAGGGCTGGCGGAAAAGCAGGGTGAGCGAGCCGTAATCGGAGTGGGCGCCCGCTCGGATATCCTCCGAGTTGGAGATTGGGGCGTCGTCTGGAGGCGAGGAGGTGGTGGTGGATGATGAGACCTCGGATACCGGGGGGTAGTTGATGAGACGCATACGACAACTTTCGCCAGTATGGGCCTTTGATAGAAAATCTCTTGGCATCTGAAGTGAAGAGTTTAGTTAAACCCACCCCTCATTTTGATGGCTCCTTCGCAGTAGGATGTCATATATAACACTTAGGTGACAGCACTCACGCCTAATCCAACTGCAAGTCCTTCCAAAAGAGTCTTTGCGAGGTTGTCGCAACCCGCAAAAAAGGCCGCCATTGTCTCTCGCCGGGATTCCAACTCGGTTGGAAGCAGCTGCGTCGTTTTACCGGGGTCTGATAGGTAGAAGGACTCTTTAACGTCGCCTGGCCCTGCTCCCGAAAGCCTGCGCCACCCCACAAACATCAACATCTGAGCGTGATCTCACTGTTTCTTTACGAAAGTAGAAACACAATAAGCATGGAAGAAGGGGCTGAGCATAACATACGTTTCTTCTCTCATACCGGTGTAACCCTAAGCGAGATCAAACCACCCAGTCAGCACCGCAAAAGATTAATCGCCGACCATATCCGCCCAACAACATGTACATGAATCCATACTACTTCTACGCCCTCTCGTCCTCGGTTGCTGAAAGAGAGAGAAAGAGAGACGGGCAAGAGACAAGACCATTCAGGCGAGACGTAGAATACAAAACAGGAAAACTTACAAGATCACCGCTGCCGTTGGCGTACGCCAACTTCTCTTCAAGGGGTGAGCTGAAGAAGGTCTGGGCAAGAGCAAACATGTCGGCTGCGACGTCGTCGCGCAGCTCGTGGCCAACAACGTAGAAGAAACCGGGATCCTTGCCGACGCGCATGAGGTCGGCCGCCAGATGCTCGACCGCGTCGAAGGACCGCAGGTCAACGACTGGTAGCGCCGCCTCCGACTCCGCCGCCGCCGCTGCGGCCGCGGTCATGGTTAGCTCGTTGGTTTTCGGCGCGCCGCGCAGACGCGCAAACCGGGGTTTGTAAGACGGGGGGTGTTGGACAATGGGATTCTTGTAACACCCTTCTCGTTCTAGAACAAACATGAGGATTACGCGGGGGATGCAGATGTGGATAGTGGGTTTTCAGTACAAGCAGGAAGCGTTTGTGGTTTCTGGTAATATCGCGCGTAATATGGCTTCGAGATTTTTCGTCCGATCCGAGTTGCGCGCCCCCGACAGGAGGCAAAGAAGCGCGGGTATAAAAGTATGCAGGATGAAATGAATGATGCATGCGGCATGGGCGAACGCCACTTTCACAGCAGATAGCGATAAAAATTGTCCAAGCTCCTTGAGTTAAGTAGCAACTCTTGGATGTGCATTTTCCCTCTCTCTCTAGCAGAACGAACCCCTCTTCCGACGGACCGACCTCGAGATAACCTCGTGGGGAATCGGGGTTTCCGCGGCCTCGGAGGCGGTTAAAGCTGTAAAATCAGAAGAAACAGCGGCAGATTCTCCATCGCAGAGCGCCGCCCATTTTGCCTTTCCGTCTCTCTTTTTTGCCCGTCTTGAGAGGAGCCCCGCCGCGGGGAACACACGTGGGCTTGCTGGGTCTCGGGGTCCTCGAGGCGTTCGACGGGCCAAAGAGAAGGAAGGGGAGAGTGACCGCCCGTACAGACGCCAGACGCAACACTAAACTGGGTTAATTCCTCTCTTCTGGAGAATGGACGGCGGGGCCGGGGGGTTCAAGGCCGCGGTTGACGATCGATATGTGTAACGAAGAAGCGGCAGTGCCCGCGCGTGTGGCCCCATGACCGGTCCAGTTTCCCATGCAGAGAAAGTCTTCGCAGAGAACGACGAAACAGAATGCAGAGATAAGAGCAATCGTGATCTCGATTCTCGACTGAAGCCGTCAAAAGTCATGTCTCAAAAGAGGGGTCCATAGGTGATGGAACGGGCGATGGTGTTGCTCGAGCCAATCGCGATTCGTCGCCATTTCCCGAGCCACATGAATTTTGCGGCCGAGACAGCGAGACAGTGGCTGTTGAGCTGTTAAGCTGTAGAATGCCAGAGTGCCAGAATGTGACAGTTCCCTCAACTTTCCTGTTTACTGCGATGTGCGAGATACATACCACGATAAAGAGGAAGTCTGATTGGTATCTGTACGGAGACGATGTCTGGCGATGTGCTTAAGTCAACGCAGCAATGGTGTGGGAGCAAGCAATGCAGCCTACTTCTCCGAAGACTTACATAGTCGACATCTGAGAGGGAATCAGGTTGACGACCCTGTCTTGAATGTCTCATATGATAGGCCTGCGTCGGTCCGCTCTGCTCCAACACGCCAAGCGAAATTGAAGAGCAAACAAAATCCCATTCCCCCTTGCCCATCCAGATCCAACACGTAATAATCCTGCTTTCGTACCCACAAGGTAAGCACAGGAGGAAAGAAAAGAGAGAAGCACCCCCGGCGTGAACTAGAACCCGAAAAAAGACCCTTGCACCAATTCTCTTTCCCCCTCCCTACCGAGAGCCTGGTCCGCGCCCCCTTCTGCCATGGGCTCTATCCACATTCCCATATTTTTGGGGCCAGGGATCATCGTCACCGCTGCAGGTTCTGCATGGCAGTGGAGGGGCGGGCACGTCGTGGATCGTGAAATTGACCGCGCATCCCATGAGGGGAAGAGCCCGAAAGGGACGGCGGGAGGGGGGCATGTTGTTTGAGTCTAGGTTCTCTTCCAACTGCATGATATCAAACGTGATATTTATCGTAAACCTGGAAGTTCAGCTTACGAAGTATTACATGGCGTCCCCTCTAGCTTCTACAAACCTTGCCTCTAGAGTCTTCCCCCTCCCAAGTTTGACCCCAACCATATCCTCCCTTTCCGCCATGGATGTTCCCGTAGCCTCCGTCAGCTCTCAAGTCCCGCTATTCGTAGACCGAGGTGCTGATATCTTGTTTCAAACCACTGGAGCAAACCCGGTCGCCCATCTACACTATAGCGCCGGGATGATTGGAACCCCCTGAAGTGGTATCATCGGTGAAAGCTGACCCTGCACTTGGTCAGTCAGGGCATCACAGGCGCACCCTCCATCATGTACGGCAATCCATACACAGTAAGGTAAGACCACTTTCCTCTGGCTCTTTTCTTTTTCCTCTCCTGTCAGCCTGTCGGTGGCCCGTTGTGCAAGTCGCTAACCACGCCTCTGGGTTTTCTGTCTCGCCCACTTGCTCAACCCTTTACCCGGGACAGATTCCGCGTCCAGCATCCAGCTCCTTCAGACCCAGACTCCCGGTACTCCCAAGTCCCGTACGTAGGCATTGAACATGAATTGAGGACGCTCGAGAGATACATATATCGCCCGTGAAGGACAAACCAAAGTTCCAACCACACTGTGTTTCTACCCATTGCCCTGCCTCCTCTTTTCACTCCTAATTCCCCCTCATAGCCTCCAAGTTTTTAACCTTTGGCCCGTTACGCGTTGCACGTAACTGAACACTCCACGATCTGTGCGACGTAACTAAGCTTTCCGTACGAAACTCTGACAAGCTGGACGCTAAGAAAAAATCGAACCAAACAAAAGAAAAAGGCCCGCCTCAGAATCGTCCGGTCCGCTTACAGTCTGGCCTAGCGCCCTCGCCGTCTCCCCTTTCTAGATTTCTCCCGCACCGCCTCACTCCTAAGTAAGGTCCGTCTCATATCTTTATTGAAAGAGGCCGGACTCACTCAGGAACCCTACCTACTGTACTGGCCCCCATCCCATCCCGTTTCCTCCTGAGCGGGACCCTTCTCCAATCTTCCCGCCCTCCACATTCACCCGCCTCTTGGTCCCCGTCCTTTTCTTGCCAAACGGGCGGGCATACACACCGCAGTAGTTCGCAGAGCAGGCGTCACGGCGTACATCACGCATTCCTCAAGTGAACACCACCAACACCTTACAGCAACCCGCTTCCTCAGCGGGACATCCCGGCAGTGAAAAGTTGGAACTAGGCAGGGAACTAGCAACAACAAGCTGCTCTGATCATCGACAGTGTCCAACGGTGCCCTTCTCGGGCTGAACCCCCCAAGCGGCACCAAAACAGCCAAGATGACGACCGCAACGGCCCTCCTCCGCCGCGTCCAAGTCCCCCGCGAGACGGACGTGGCAACGACGGCCTACATGAACCGCGACACCCGGCCCCTCCCGCCCTCCCGCCGCACCTACGGGCCCTGGCAATTCGTCGGCCTCTGGGTCGTCACCGGCTCCTTCAACATCGGCGGCTGGACGACGGGCTCCTCCCTCATCGCCCTTGGCCTTAACGTCTGGCAGGCCATGCTGACCGTCATCATCGGCCACTGCCTCGTCGGCCTCATCTGCGTCCTCGCCGGCGGGCCGGGCGCGAAATGGCACATTGGCTTCTCCATCCTGCAAAAGGCCTCCTGGGGCATGCGCGGCGCTCTCTTCCCGCTCGTCCAGCGCATCGTATTATCGTTTATATGGTACTCTACCCAAGTCTACTGGGGCGGGCAATGCGTACGCACCTTCATCGCCTCCATGGCCCCGTCCTTCAACAACCTCGACACGCCCCTCGCCAACGGCACAATGACGGTGGCAGACTTCATCGGCTTCATCATCTTCTCCCTCCTCTGCCTCCCTCTAATCTATATCCGCCCCGAACGCTACCACATCCCCTTCGCCGTCGCCGCCTGCACCGTCATCCCCACCGTCTTCGTCCTCTTAATCTGGTGCCTCGCCACAGCCCGCGGCGCCGGCCCCATGCTCCACGACATCACCTCCACCGCCGGTGTCCAGCAGGCAACGGGCTCCCACCTGGGCTGGATGCTCGCCCTCGGCATCTGCACGAACATCGGCGGCATCAGCACCCACATCTTCTCCCAGTCCGACTTCACCCGCTTCGCCCGCCGGCCCCGTGACCAGCTCGCCTCCCAGCTCGTCTTCGTGCCCGTCAACACCATCCTCGTCGCTTTTGTCGGCATCGTCTGCACCTCGTGCGCCGCCCAGCTCTTTCCCAAGACCCAGGGCACGCTCGTCTGGGAACCCTACCGCTTCCTCGACGCCCTCCAAGCCCACTACGACAACAGCGCGGGAGCCCGCGCCGCCGTCTTCTTCGCGGCCCTCGCCTTCATCTTTGCCCAGTTCGGCATCGCCGTCGCGGAGAACGCCCTCTCCAACGGCATCGACCTCTCCGCCCTGCTGCCGCGCTACTTTAACCTCCGCCGCGGCGGGTACCTCACCGCAGCCGTGGCCTTTATCATGCAGCCGTGGCAGCTCCTCAACGGCGCAAGCAAATTCCTCACGGTGATGGGCGGCTACGGCGTCTTCCTAGGCTCCATGACGGGTGTGATGTTTGCAGATTACTACCTCGTCCGCGCGCGGCGGCTGAAGCTGACGGACCTGTACGAGGCGAGCAGCCGGAGCGTGTACTGGTACCGCGGGGGCGTCAACTGGCGCGCCGGCGTGTCGTGGACGGTGGGCACGTTCTCCCTGCTGCCCGGGTTCGTGCAGCGAGTGCAGGATCCGACGGTTGAAAAGGCGGGGTGGTCGCACCTGTACTACCTCGCTTGGCCGTTGGGTTGTACCCTTGCCGTGGTATCGTATTGCCTACTGCATGTTGCGTTTCCGATTCGGGACCCTCATGCGGTGGACGACGCGGACTATTTTGGTACGTTTGGGCCGGCGGAGAGGCCGGTGCTAGACGGGGAGCAGCTTCCGTCGTCGTCTTCCAAGGCGTCTGATAGAGATGATTCGACTAGCAAGATTCGTGAGGAGCCCGATGAGAAGAGGGTGTGAAGGGGGGTAGGTCTTTTGAAGGAGGTGTGTTATGATCACGAGCCAGCTCTTGTCGTTTTCCTTGTTATAGCGCGCGGGATACCTTTTGTTGCGTATGCGGTTTCTGTCCGAATAGAATATGCCATGATGGCACTAATGACTTACCATCAATTCTGTCGTCAGTTCAAGTTAAGTGAGGTGAAATGTGACATGTCGGAAGAGGCGATGAAGCGGCAGCCTGCCGTCAACCCAATGTGTATGTTCCATTCGACCCATCATGAGCACATAATTCCAAGAAGGACCTGTTTTTCGTGCTAGATGTGACGGTTCATCTGCAAGTCTTCCTAGCGTTGCTGGTATAGGTTGCAACTCACACTCCAAAGGTGCATAGTTCACACCACCAGAATGATAAGAAGTGAACATGTTCAAAAGAATGGGGTGGGTGGCCATCATGCACACTTATTGGATTCGAACCACCACTCAATCAATACCCTGGTTTCTACCTTCAAGCCCATAGTTAGCCCATCAATCCACATTGCGCCAATTCATCATCTCGCCTCGTGAATCGTGACATCCCCCTCCTCCACCATCCCGCGCCATCATCCACTTCAAAGAACCTTAAAGAACCTCCCCCTGCTCAATCCCATTCATATAGATAGCGCAAAAGAGGGCAAAATGACCCAAAAGGGTCAACCAGATTCAAATGGGTCCCACATCGTACGAGCCTTGCATGGAAGATCGTCCCCAAGTGCCGATGCGGGAGACAAGAAGAAGCAAAAGACGCGGTGTTCCACTGCACAAAGGCGGGGTTGTTGGCGGATGAGCTGCTGAATCCATAGATGAACCGATTCGGAACCCAGCGATTGCGACCAGGGCTCTTAAACGACTGTCCGCTTCAATTGCTGAAAGCGGCATGTCAATAGAAATGAAAGCTGTCTATAGAGTGTCAATAACGTCAAAGGTCAGGTTGATAAATGGCAAAATTCATCCCGTTTATGCGCGTCGGGTCGACATACTAATACCTAAATCCATCATTATCCCGACGACCCTTGCCTCCTCTTTGTTCTCTCAAACGCACAAACATCATGGCGCCGGCAATTGATCAGCCCGTGAGGCTCCTATGCATCATCCCTATATCAACAACAGGCATGACAGACGACCTCACACGTATATATCCCTCCACGGCAACCCTCCAAATTACCTTTTTAGATGGCCGCGACCTCGATGACTGCCCCCCGTGCATCGAGAACCACGCGCAGGCCATAGCTTCAACCAACGCAGTCCTCCCCCGTGCCATAGAGTACATCTCCACCCAAAGCCCGCATGCCGTCCTCATCTGCTGCTTCTCAGACCACCCGCTGGTGTACGCACTGGGGGAGCGCTACGGTGACGAGGTTCCCGTCACAGGAATATTCCAAGCCGCGTTACAGGAAGCCACAGCAAGTGGAGGCAAGTTTGGCATCATTACGACATCGACCTCATGGGAACAGCCGTTGAAAGACTCTATTGACGACCTCGGCTTCGGGACGTATTCAACTGGCGTCGCAGCGACTGGCTTGAGCCCGCTGGAGCTGGAGAGCTTGGATCGGGATGTCGTGATCAATCGCATTGCTACATCTTCGAAGCCTTTGATTAATAACGGCGCCGAGAGCATTATCCTCGGCTGTGCGGGTATGGCGGCATTGGAAGACGATATACTCTCGACTCTTCCACCTTCGATCAAGACGATTGATGGTGTTCGTTCAGGGATGACCATCTTGTCGCGGCGGGTTGAGGAAACGGCTTTAACCAAACCAGTGCCTTCTCTCCTCGACCATACCAAGACTAAGACTGCGGTAAGCAGGATGGAATTGATGAGGGACAGGCAGCAGATATCGTGACGTAGGCAAGGCCCAATGTGTAAGATCAAGGGCTGGTAGCCACTATAAATGATGTTGATATATTCATATGGTGATAGATCTGGCAGGAAGCAACGCAAAATCAAGTCGTCCCCCAGCTCTCAATTGCGCCGGCCCAATCGATCTCCGCCCCGTCGTTGAAGGCATTGTTCCACATGTTCCCGATGAAATCTGCTTGAAAATTGTAAAATGAAGTATTTGGTAACGCATATTGCTCAAGAAACCCTGGGTGCTGCTGCTGTGGTGGCGGCTGGGCCATCAGGTCCATGACCCGTGGGTCATTCGTTATCTCGGGCTGATGGTGCATGACCGGCGCTACAGATACTGCCGGTACTGATGTCACTGTTGGTATTGCCTGGCTCTGTCGAAGAAGTATCTCTTCTAGCTTGTGAATATACTGAAAGATTCGTGCGCCTGCTTGGCTTGCTGAAGGAAGAGACGGGGCGAGGCTCTGAAGAAATGTGGCCATGGAAGTCCTGACCAGTCAGCATAGGTATATGACAATAGGTATTCAGGCCATAACGTACATGACTTCGCGAAGTTTGTAGTACTGCCAGTCAACCAACTGGCGGGCAATGAAGCTGCTAAGCAGGTGGGCGACTCCTGCCAACTCTTGCAGCTGCGTAGAATATTAGCACGGCATCGGTCAAGTAAGAGAGGAGCATACCATGGGATATCCGATTGCCCGCAAGTACTCCACCGGCACTAGAGTAATCTCTTGTATTAGTTCAAGCGCAGCACCACAAGCATCTTCGAATTTGTTGTGGCATGCGAATGCCGCCATCCGGAGTAGCTTGGAGTTGAAGTTAGCCAGGGGACCATTTGTCAAGCAAAGATCCGAACCCACCTGAAAGGTACAAGCGATATTGGCCACTTGAAATCCACATAGGTTTGCCTCCACGTCTTTGGACGCCGGATAAGCGCTGGTGGCATATAGAGGAAGATTGCTCTTCTTTCCGAGAACTAGTTGCAACATGTCGTCGATGTTTGGCATAAGTGGTTCGTGTTGGATTGGACCTCTGTCGAGCGTCTTTAGTCGATCTTTGCGCATTCGGACAATGACGTGTTCCAGAACGCGATACAGATCGGTGATGTAGTTCCAGCCGGTGAGCCAGCTGCCGTGGCTGAATCGGGTCTTCTCGGTCTGCCCTGATGCGTCTATAATTCCGGCTAGGCCGTCGACCTGCTGCGGATATGCAACAGCGCATTGTAGTTCGGGGCACCGAACCACATGGCCGTCGATCAGGGCTGCATGGACTTCCAGACGGTACATTGACCAGAAGAACTGCCGCCTTACATGCTTTTCCGGATATGTAAGATTCGAGGGCCAGCGCGCTTCAAAATGGAAGGTGTGCTGAGCTACTAATGTGTGATAACGGCCCATACACTCATGGAAGAGAGGGTCGTCCTTGAGCTGTGTGGCAGCCAGGGATAAAGTGCCAAGAACCTGTAAATACTCAAAGGCTTCGGAACTGCGGATGTCGCGATTTCTCTCCGGAATCGCCCTTTCTGCATCCTGCATGTAGGCCTCGTGATGCTCAGGGAGAAGAGGAGTGGGCGTATCCGGGTTGAACAAGGCGCCATCTCTGACGTGACACGAACTCAATGCGCAAATGGCCATCAGCCGGGCGAAAGAAGCCCTGCTGGACGACAGACTGGTTGCCTCCCATTCCTTGTGTAAGGACACTTCGTCGAAAAATGGAAATCTTCAGCCAATGTTAGCTTATTCAATGTAGCACAAAAGACGCAGACCAAAAAGGGACGAGGGTGGGATGAACGCACACTGGGTATACAGTGTCGAAAAAGATGACGATGAGCCGATAGATGAGGGCCCTGCTCCCGTGGCGGCTCTCGTCGTAGAACCACCTGTCGCCATCGGCATCGTCAAAGGATTGAGACTTGTTATTATTATTCACTGAAGACGACGGCGACGTCTTTGATTTGACACCTCGCTTGGCTGCAACACGGTTCCATGTGCAGGTCGCGCCGTGTTCGATGCAGGTCAGACAACTTGGCGTGCCGCCAGGACTGGCGACGGAGGCGACCCCGCCTCCGTCGGGCACGGGCTTGCATTTCCGCCCTCGACGATGGCAGAAATCGCAGGCCTTTGTGATGCGGCGACGCTTGATGCTGGGCTCGCTGTGCCGTCTGCTATCACCGTTTAGCAGATCGTCGTCTTCCTGTTTCTGGCCCATGATTCGAGCGAGCGCTGGACGCGTCGAATCTGGTCACGGGAGTCCCATCCGGCGGCGCGATGGCGAGGGACAATGGGTAATCGGGATGTTTGGCAGTGGATACAATATCCGTACGGATATCTTTCTCACACGAGGGAAAACAGGTCAGGGAAAACCGGGTTAAGTTTTCCTACTGTCTGAGCCACGGTGAGGGGCCGCGCACCCCAAGGAATCCTTCTCTGTCCTCCCTGGTACGGTTGACGGATGCGCAGATCCACCGTCTGGCCACACGTGTGCTAATTGCCGATGAAATGGATGGATTTGCTGAAGAAATGCAGGCCCGATCTCGGATACGTAGATGAATGCGGTCCGGAGGGGCACAATCGGCGGGAGGATGCCGTCTCTGTGCAACCTCGAAATGGGGGCGGTTTTTCTGACCGAGCTGAAATGTGCTGGAGGAAACAGGCTTTGGCGGGGGTTTTTTTCTGCGTTCTCCTTCTTTGCGTCCGAGGAGAGATCGGAAACATCAAATGTAGAATGATATGAGGAGAACACACGGGCAGATCGAGGTTGAAATTGACACGGCCGGGAGAGTGGTGGAGGTGGAGGGGGGGAGGGGACGTCGGGTGGACGTGGACCTGGAGCCGCGCCCCAGCGAGCAAACAATCAGTCTGACTAAGCCGATACGTACTCTTTCTTTGTGGCACACGCAGGGACGGGAAAGAAGGAAAGAACGCTGCGAGGGAAGGTTCGCGGTGGGTTGTTTCCTCCTTCGCGCGATAAGGTAACATCGACCCGCGCCTGCCTCCCGGTGCTTCTGCCTTCCCCAATCAGCCAAGATCACGGGATTAAGGTACTCGCGTACCGCTGTACCTCGTGTTGTGGCCCAACCTGAGCTTCCTGTCCATTTCACGAGCGGCACTTCGGTACGTACTCGCCGACGGCGCAGCCAGAGGTGGCTGTGCCGCAGCCACTGATCGCATGGCACCCCCGTCACAGTGTCCCTTTCTTTGTTCCTCAATTTCAATATTTCATCTTTCCAACACGTTGCGCTGTTGGTTCTACAACGCATCTCTTATCCCCCCGGATCAGGCCTGGAAATAAGCCCGGATTCCACCCCCGGTTCTGCAAGTGGACAGATACGGCCGTGGGGGTGGTTCAGCTCACCTCACATCTTGCTTCTTTCTTGGTATTGTCCATGAAGATGTCAACCCAACTTGAGCTTTTGACCCTTTGGTGTCGTGTCGTACTGTCTGCGCCGACTGAGACACGCCAACGTCATGGGATTTGTGGCAATCCCGAATTATCGAGCTCCCATTCACTGTCAATATCCGAGCTGATCAAACAAGCTCAACCAAGACCGCCTATCAGTCAGGCGTAGAATCATCTAGACGCCTTTGCGGGAACCAACGCCAAGTTTCATCTTGAGACCAACACTCGAGTGGCGTCGATCACTTCTTAGCACAGACATAGGCACAGGCAAGACATGCACAGACGATGGAAATGTTTGTGGGGTGGAGTGATACGGCAGGTCCAGCCCGAATCTTGAATTCTAGCTCCCAATGAAATTCCATCGCCCGATCTGCTTGTGTGTTGGCTGCGATGACACTTCACAACCAGCGCCATTTACTACTCACTCAAAGAAATCGCACACATATAATTGGACTACCAATTAGTCAAGTTTGGATATCACATGGTCACAGAGATTCAGAACATTTTCTTTCATGCACACAATGGTTACGTAGCATGCCCCTCCAAATTCCCTCTTGGCACCGAGTGTTCTTCAACCAACCAGATAACCAGAAAATAAGAAGCTGAACATCTCTCCATATCCCCTTGCTTATTTTATGGGGCAATCTTACAACGATAAGGAGCGGTCAGGCGCGATTTCTTGCCCTGCCAGTATGCGCAAGCTGAGTCTACGTCGTGCAGGATGTTGACCAAAGCTGAGCAGGGAAATAGAACATGGGCGTCAATTCTGGACCCTACGCCGTACTTGGCTCGCTTTGACCTTGGATCAGTCTAGTGTGCACCCAGGTATGGCGAAATTCCAAATCTGTATGAAAAATGCGACTAGATACAATCAAGATCGAATCCGCCTCATTTTCTCAGTTCTGAAGAGAAAAGAAAACGTCTTCTTTCGCAGTTGCCGCTGGTTCCCATCATATCTCTTCCAGCCATGCAACCTTACTCGCCTCTTCTCACATACCCTTCTGGAAGCACCGAGAGTCGGTGGCAAGGGCGACTCTAACATGACCTCAATGCCGCGCTTTGGACGGAGGACGCATTGCCAGTTCAGACAAGGTCTGAGTAGGACGGTACCAACTGGCCGGTAGATTCTGATTGAGTTTCGACATTGATCTTATTCTTACTTGTATCACAGTGACGATGATGATAAGTTTATCTGACTTTGGGAATGGTCAAAAGGGAACATTGAATGAGAAGTTCACAGCTTATTTCTTCTCAGGCATTAGCCTACGCTGGGGGCTTCAAAGTCAGAATCTGTTGGCGTCTTCATACAACGAAATATGTAAGTACTCAACTTACCATCTGGATCCAGAGGTATTTCACCGACACGGGAATCCTTCGGAAAAAAGACGCGTCTTCGCAGTAGAAGAGAAAAAAAATCCGCCACCCAGGCTTGTATTCCCTGTACATTTGTCGATAAATTTCGAAACAAGTCTCATTACCGTGCCAATCTGCTGTATCTGACCACACAGCCTGGCCAGTTGACGCATTGGATCTATCTTAAGCGTTTTAGGCCCTCTAGCTTACAAGTTGTGTGCGACTATCTTCATCCAGAAATGGTTCTGTAATCATGACCTGAAAAGAGAATTGATGATGTGCCAGGTGAGAAATCTGTTGCCCAAGCCTTGCGCAGTAGAGCAATCAGATACCACGACATCTTCCTGCCCTAACCAAATCGTCGGCATACAGTCAGCATGGCAGGGTCTTCCGGTCTGTATGAAGCCACGTGCCATAATCGTATATCAAATTGCGTATGTGTATGGAAGGATGAAGTCGTGAGCATAGCCCATGAGTCCTCCGTTGGTTGGAAGTGCATCAGGCGGAAGAGTCGTTCGCATGGTCCATTCGCCTTCTAATTGCCCCTTATCCGCCTTCAACCTACAAGAAAATCAAGCGAAATATTCAGAGAGCAGCTCATTTCCATGACGATACTTTCTTTGACGTGAAAGACTAGAACGCCAGATCGCCCACTTTCGGGCAGCAAAAGGATCAAAGTTAGACTAGGTATTCGCACTCACTTGTTAAGCCATTGCAACCAAACCTCGGAAATATTGATAGCTCGGACGAGCAATATCATTCATCGCGGACCTGGCCGCCAAGAAAGCCCCTATTGTAACCGTGCCAGGGAGTGTGTCCTATTGGCTTAGCGAGCTCTAGACTTACACTTTGCCTGTCTCATCAATGTTACATGGGCAAATCCTTTGCTGAGGCGCATACATACCTTTTTTGACTGCCGCCAGTGGCCCCTGGGCGCCGGGCCGGTGGGCAGCAGCTCGGCTCGAACGGACAACTTCCCCTCTTCATCGGCTAATAAAAAAGAGCCCAAACCATCCCGCTGGCAGCTTGCCGGATGCTTCTGAAGAGGAACGGAATGTTACATGGCTTATTTTGTTTCTATGAGACTCACCGGGTCATCGGGTCATCGGAGGTATTCGATCCTCTTACTCCAACCATCCCACTCGACTTGGTCGGTTTGCATATCGTTGCTACAATGAGGTTAGGCTTTTGAACAATTAATACAGCACGAGGAGTATAGACCTATGCAGATTCTTTACATACGATCGTGATCTCAATTCTGGTTTGAAATAGCATATAAACATAAGTTACTAACCAGTGAAACTGGTACCGGCAGGCTTTTCGGCTCGGGTCAAGGAAGCTTACCCCACCGGGAGGCTTGTGTGCGTAATGTCGATCCTTCTTCTTTTCGGATGACGAATGTCAGCCTAAACAACAGCAGAATTTGAGCTTCCATATAAACCTCCCGAGAAAAACAAAGTTAGGTTTCAAGTTGTACATGAGGAAGAAATCTAGCCCGGAACTTGATCTTGAATTTGCTCGCCAGGCTCAAAATCGTTCTTGATCAGAAGAACTCTACTGCGTCGACTCTACCGTTACTTGCGGGATCGCCAAAGGTCATCTGGACGGTGATGCCTCTGAAATGAAACTATGAAAGTAAGAAACCGAGAAGACTGCGCTTTTACAGCTTTCGAGCAGTGGCTATCCTTATGGGCCTGACTGCCGTTCCCACTCTCATGAGACCAGACAGAACTATTTGTGGCACCGAAATGTAGCTACAGGCCTCATCTAGACGCTGATCCAGCATGCTTGAGGTGCATTTGTGGTCAGTTACCTACCTAGTCCATGAGCAAACATGCCTCAGGATCCGGTATTCTCGTTTCTAGACGCTTGATCATGGTCGAGATTACCTGTCTGCTGAGATACACAAACTTCAGCAAAATACGATGACTGCCCAAACTTGAATCAGAATGAGTTGCAGATTATGCCTGCTCGTAGAGAGCTATTGTTTCGCATGAGAATGAAAAGTATGTTCTTGGAAATGATCTCGGAGATAGTCTTGCCAAAGCTATGAATCGAGCTATGTTGATTATTGAATCACACCGACATCTGTTGTGCTGATTACAACACGTTGTGTGGCAGAACGACGCTGATGGAGTAAGTAGGCATGGCCATCCCTGACCCAGACTGCAACGGTCACTGGTCGGTTCGGAAGCTTCTTTACAGTGTATGACTCCTCGATCCACTATGGAAACAGCTGGGAGCAATTTACATGTTTCTGACGAAAGTCTAGTGCTCAAAACTCTGCAGCTTCGCAACTACTTTGCGATGGAGTCATTGAGCAGAGCGCGCCTACGCCCAGGTGTCTCTTGGGTACTCAACTGCCTGCAGCAGTGACTTCAATTTTCCATTACCCTAACTCCGCGACGGCCTCGCAACTACTCCTTTGAATCAAGAGGGGATCCGGTCCCGCATTTGACCATGGCTAATTTTTCGACTCAAGAAAAGAAACCTCCGGTCAAGATTTCAAAGGTGAATCATGACCTCCGTGAAACACAGTCGGCCACGGAGTGTCTCCTCAACATCTCTAATCGGCCTCGTCGACTAATTGACCCCGAGGCATCAAAGCTCGGCACCGCTACACTCCCCGGTAAAACTCGGCCACGTGTACGCCCTACCAAAGCCGGCCGAGAAAAAGTCTCCGTGCGCCTATCACCTACCGCATCTCCCATTCGACTCGGCACCTCGAAGACCTTGTGTTTAAAGTTTCTCGTGTCATCTGTGCTCCTCGAGACACAGCTGCTCGCTCGACGCCGAATGTGACAAGGTATCCCCAGCCGCTGGTAGTCCATCCAGCGATCACACTGCCCGTCCCTCGGTATCTACGACCTGTTTACCCGCCAAGGCTGTCGTTCTGCCTCGCAAGTCTGCTCGGTCTCGCTCGCTATCGTGTTTCATGGCACCGCGCGACACGTAACGATGGGATTGATTATACGCCCGTCATGAACTTGGCATAATGCGTGCCGTGCGCTCTTTTTTCCGTTTGTAAGGAGTCCGCGGGGTTTGTTTCTAGCAATGGTTCTATTATGGGCCTCTAGACTTCTTGGCCTCCCATGTTTCCTAGCGATAACATTTGGTAGGCACCCATACTCGTATAGAATCCGAGGGTTTTGGACTAGCAAGCCAATAGCTGGGATATGAGTACGGTCTCTGTTGTGCTAGGCCTTCTTGAGCCCTGCGTCCCTCGGATCTTTTGGGCGCAGCTTGTAAGGTTCAATGGTGCGGCCGTCTGAACAGCAGCAAGAATTCAAGCTTGTCCAGTCCCTTGAACTCTGTCCTTGAGTTAGCAGACAATACAGATGGTGCGACGGCATGCATGTACCTAAATGCCTCTTTCGCGGTGTAATGATCCCACAGAACTGGTTGAGGCTAAAAACTTTCGCCGAGTAAAGTTCGTACCTTGCAGCTATTGAAGTAGACATGATGCTTGTTCGACTACCTACACGACTTTACGGACTTCATATCGTAAAGCTGGCTCCGGTATATCGGATTCGTATTATAGCAAAAGATGGTATTCAAAGAGAGAGGGGTACTCGAACTCATGTTGGCACAGACGCTGTCGGCGCTGTAGATCGGCAGGGAGTTCACAGATCATGGACTCCTGGCCCCCAACTTGGCATCTCAAGTGCCATAACTGGGAAGAGATGGCACTGGCGTCCCGTCAATAAGATGCTCTGATATGAGCAAGTTTCGAAAGTGCTCCTGATCGACTTGAATGACGGGCGTGGGGGCCCTACTCTAGCCGAAGAGAGTGATGCCAATGAACATTGGACCAGTCACAGCGCTATGAACTAGTGCCTCCATTCGGCCAGACCTCGCAATGACAGTGCAATTTGATTAATGAGGCGAGACCGAGACCTCTATCGTAGAACTGGGTACGAATTGGTTAGAAGAGTCAGATGGATTCTATCCTAAAGGCTGACTTGAGGTGAAGAATAAGGTTGTGCCGAAAGGTTGTTTGGCACCACGACAAAGCGCCCATGCAGGGAGACCCCTCGTCCGGACACTTACCAACTGAGGGGGTTTGCAGATCAACCGAGCGATCACTCGCACAGGCGGGAAAAAGGCACGAGTCGTCGGCTCGGCGTTCCGAGAGTGATTCTCTGTTAACTGACTTACGCCGAGTGTATGTGGTTCTTACGAGTAGACAGTCCATGTTAGGGTTTAGAGTTCTTCGTTTCACGAAAACCGTTTTGTTCTATGGATCTTGGCTCCAGACCTTACCACAACACTATTTTAACCTTAACGACTAGTCGCAACACAAAGGGGGACACTAACAGCCCCAAAGCTTAAGTCAATAACCGCGTCATCTAATGATGGTCGTCTGTTTGCTATGCTTGCATGAGGCTGTTGATCATGAAGTGGGGGTCTCGTCCGACTGAGCATGTAGCACGGCAACATGAACTCTCATGAGTCGGCAGATCGTGGATCATTCATTGCTCCAGGCTTGAGAGGGCAGGTGCAACTGCGGGATGAACTGTGGCTGGATTCTATTATAAAAGGATGAAGCCATTCCCTTCCTCAACTATTTTCTCTTTCTTCATCAGCTCACTTGACTGTCATCTCTTGTATCAAACTTCAGCTTCTCCAGCTTGCTCATACACTCTATCAATTCCTCGCCTACAGAAACAACATCACTTCGAACTTCCCCAAATTTAAATCATCAACCGCCAAAATGCGTTTCTTCAGCACTCTCTTCCTTGCCACCTTGACTGCTACCGGCGTCGTCACGGCCATGCCCGTCGCCCAGCCTCATGACCTGGCTGCGCTCGCCGGAGAGGGACTCCAGGATGCTGCCCCAGTTGAGGCTCTCGACATTGAGACCAACATCGAGACCAGAGAGGCCAGGGGCCCCAACACTCCGGCTGATGTCGCGAAGCACGACGCCAACCACAAGAAGCAGGACGCTGGCAACTGTGGACAAGGCTGCAAGGCCTCGCTTGCCTCGTATCACTCGCAAGCCTCCAAGGATTCTAAGAACTCCAAGAACTCCAAGGGCAGAAAGAACGGTCGCCGCGCGGTCGAGAATGCCGAAAACACCGAGGATGCTGAGGTTGAGGAGGAGGTTGAGGCTTGAATCAGTCAGACTCAGTCTTGACACTGAGATGGTCTTGTTCTCGTGCTGGTAACGGTGCAAATGGAGTTTTGGATACACGGGTTATACAGTACAAGCTGTGGCTAGAGCTATAAATAAATATCTACTTCTTATCTCACCTACAGATAACGCAAGTAACAAGGGGCTGCGGGCCTCGGGAGCAGCATTTAACTCGTGAACCACGACACCGTTGTACGTTGCTCCGTTCGGTTCAAACGAGTCTTGTATTCTTGTTTAAGTAAGGATCTGCCTCATACTTCCTACTTCCTCTCCATCTCGCCATTCGACTCTCGCCATCTCCAGCCTATTCAGGCCCCATTCACTCCAAGGCAGTGGTGTTGGCCGCTAGCCAGTGACCGAATTCGTGAATGATGGTCATTGTATCGTACAGAAATGTGTGAATCTGCCTCGACTAATTAGTAGCTATTTCCGAAAGGCACATATGCACAACCTACGATATCCATCCCGGGGAGGGGGGGAAGAACATCGCGACGCTCTCCAAGCCGCTCGTATCCAAAGTTGGCCTGCTGCGCAATCGCAGTGACGACCAGGACCGAGAGAAAGACACCACGGATTTTCATGATTGTGATATGGTCTCCGATTCTTGGACAGTGCGATTGTATGTGAATGTCGCGTAAAAGCTGCTATTTGACGATTTCGAGACACTTGGTTCTGAAGTTTTGATGAACGCGTGTTTGTGATAATGATTGGTTTGCTGATCGCCAAAATAGCACCCCGAGGCCTGGAAAAATACAAATTTTGCAACTGGTCGAATGTTTTCCCGCTTTTTGAAGGCATCTGCTTAGTCGTCGAAACTCAGACCAGTGAATCACTGTTCACTGATGGCGGGGCTTGCAAAGGTTGCGATCCGGATCTTGCACGGGAGCGTCTTCCAAAAAGCCAATACCTCATATCTACGGCCAACTCGGATTCGAATGTATCAAAACATCCCCTACAGTCATTCGACTTGAAGGGTTTCCAACTTGAGTCATCCTACTGGACAGAAAGTATAAGTACCTACGTAAAGATGTTGATGTCGTGGACCGGTTCTAATGTATTACCTTATGCCAAACAACGTACTGGTTATGGTGAGAATGAGGCTCTTTGACTCAGCAATGCTCAACAAGACGCGCAAAAAGAAGAAGAAGAAGAAGAAGAGGCATTTTCCAACCAAGGGCGAGGGTGAAGGGTTGCGGTTCCTCACGCAGCCAATCATACCTCCGTGTGGTCACCGAAAAGCTGACAGGTTGCCTCAATCTGCCTGGCGAACTTGCCCGAGACAGCAGCCTTCTGCAGCTAGAGATTTTGGGCCTAGTCAAGCTCCTCTTGTCTTACACCAGCTTACACCACAACACTTCAGGCCGCAGATGGGCTTTTTCCAGATCAGTTTCCCGTGAGGCACAGCCGCAACGCCATGAGGCAGCCAGGGGCTTTCCGCCATTTCGAGGGCAAGAAGCACCAGGCAGATTCGCATTCAGATGGAGCGACGTAAAGAACATGGCCTCGATGAGACTGAAGCTCGAGTGCATAAGTGCCATGATCGCCGACGCTCCGCTCTGTCTCTGTACGATTCGACAATTGCGGATAGCAACTTGGACACAAGCAGCTGCAGTGTTACGCCAATACACAGGCCGAGATGCATCTCAAAAACTTCACCTCCTTTACATCGATCAAAGAAATTGTTCGTTGTAAACGCGTCAAGCAGAAAGCCAAGCGTAATGAAAAGAACCAGAAGCGTAGCAAATCAAGGAAGAACAAAAGAACTAAGTTTGTGTTGTCCCGTCCTTTCATGCACTCGGGTTCCATGTTCCCTCGACAAAGAACATGTTCGGGTCCACATTCGGGCTAATATTTGACACCTTAGGGAGAAAAGGCTGGAGCCCAAAAGCCAACATGAGGCCCAACATCAATTCCTAGATGAAGACTTGGAAGAGCAAGTTCCAGACCCATACTTGGCTTGGAACTTGGCGAACATTGCACCGGAGACTTTCGCACAGCCGCTTCCGTGGCGAAGGCCAAGTCATCTAGACGACGCGTTCCACGTCAACTCAGCTGCACCCTATCACCCAGGTTTTGAAACTCCGCCTTCTAGCCACCCATCGCCAAATCCGACTCGGTCTTCTACCTTGAACTCAATCTTGAGCAGTAGCGGAACGTCCTTGAGTTCTGCCACATCAAAAATCAAGTTCTTCTTCCACCGTCGACATTCGGACACTGGACTTTCCAGATCATCGCCACTTTCACGGCAGTCGGAAAAGCGGAACTCTGTCCCAGGTCTATCGTCCAATTTCTCCAGGCACATCACGGAAGAAAGCCGCCAAGATATTGTGCCTCCTCAAGCTGAAGGACAAATCGCAAAATCCATTGCGCCGAAACAGGAACAAATCATGGCGCAACAGTCGATCGATCTTAAGGCGGCACGCGAGAGTCTCAAGGCGTGGGAGCGAACTTCGGAGGCTTTTAGAACCACTTACGAATCGAATGTACGGCCGCGGCTACTGAAAATTCTAGAAGAAAACGATCCTGTTGGTGACTACACCGTCACGGTTCATAATGACACCAAAAGGATGACTAGAGTTGTGGTGGTTACGACGCCCACGGAGATTCCCGCAGACAGCAGGGGCAAAATTCAGAGTCATATCGAGGCGTGTTTTGCAGATTCTGCAGAGCTACAGGTTGCGGTCGAGTTCATTAAGGGCAATGTCAAGCGTACTGCTGGCACATTTGCTTCGAGTCAAGATGCAGATAAGCAGTCGAAGGGCCCTCGAAACTCTGGCAGGCACAATGAGAGAATGCTTGGGGACTCTGTCAGCTTTGAAGACAGTGACAGTGCCGCAACCCTTGGTCCAGCAATCAGTCTCGGTGGATACGATGGCTGGGTTGTCAACTGGCATCTATTCCACGGTATAGCCAACTGGGAACACCTTCATGATCCATCAAAGGTTCCGCTTCACAGACTGGTCCACCCGGCATGCATGGACTGTCGCGAGAACGAAACCCCTTTCCGCATTGGGGAGTTGCAAGCTTATTCAGGAAGAATGTATAGAACAACTCGCCAATCGAGATCTCTGGAGCGTTTCGTGGCAGGTACCCCAGGAGAATGCAAGCAAAACATGCAAGTAGTCACGGATTGGGCTTTTTGCAAAGCCTACCAAGATGAAGCTCAAAATTATCTGCGCTACGCGCCGCCAGGCATTGAGGTCGAGGATCTTTCCGAAGCAATTAAAGGAGTGTTTGAGCAAAACCCTCAATGGCAAATCATCCAGACAACTGGCAGAAGTAGTGGATTCCGTTACGCTGTGGTATGCGAAACACCGGCCGATGTTCGCCAGTATCCAAATATGCCCACAAGGGAATGGTACTTGCAGAATCTGGACGGAGTGTTGACGTCCGAAGAGTGGAATTCCGAGGGCCCTGGTGTGTGTGGTGACTCGGGAGCTGCCGTAGTGCACGATGAGACGGGAAAACTCCTCGGGCAGATATGGGGTCGAAACGTGTACGATGATGACCGTCAAACACCTAGGATAACATACTTCACACATCTTTGGGACATTTTCGACGATATCAAGGAGCGATATCCCAATCTGGAAGGCCCATTCCTCATCCCCAGGCCGGAATGCCATCCCTCGAATAACACGGATTTAGTAGACGGAGCTCCCGGCCCTTCGAGAATGGAAGCCGACGAGAAGACTTTGAATCCATCGCGACCGCGGAGCCGGGCATGTTCGTCCACGGGTGGCGCCGATGGAGTAGTTGAATCCTTCTCTCAGTCAACTCTAGCACAGAGTGTAACTAATTCGATAGGATCTGGTGAAGGCGCAAAGAAGACGTATGTTGAAAAGGCTTTGGAGGGCGAAGTGGGATGCGGACAACGAGACTCCCATTCCCGTAACGCTGCTAGAACCTCAGCGGATGATGACACAGATGTACTGGTAATGCGACGGAGCTCGGCGATGGTGACCGTTTGATGCTCTTTATTTTTTTCTTCTTGAAGCATTTTAGATCGCAAGCGTCAGTTTTTCGAGACTCAGCATGCCTCGTATCTTTGCATACTTAAGTCAGCTAATCGAGTCCGTTGCTCCATGGGGCATGTCATGCATCAAGGCCCAACTTGAACCCACTGATGCTGTGTTAAACATTTGATAAATCCGAAGGGCGCTCAAGGATGTCTTCTGTGGTGTGATTCCTACCTCATCGGACCCGGCGAATTCGACCGATAACTCCCCGACTCCCCGACCCGGAGTGGAGCGCTCGGTGTTGCCGGAGGAAACTTTCGCCTAAGAGCGATGTTCTTGGGAATTTCGGTTGCGGGTTCTCATGCAGAACTCAGCCGTTGTAGAAGTTGCGCTAGCTGACTCGAAATGCCCTGTAATTAATGTTTTAAGGCACCCTAGAACCTAACCCGGCCTGGATGGAGGAAGACGCATTCGATATTGCGGCCTCTTAAACTGCTGTTTGAGTACCCGCTCCGCCATTCGAGCTCCAGCGTATTGGGTAACGTATAGAGCATCTCCGTCGGTGATCTGAAAGACCTCGTGTACGAAAATGTGAGAGGGCGACGAACGACAAGTGGAGGAGGGATCATCCGCGAAGCAGTAATTTAAGGTCGGTGCCCCCCTTATACGAAGGCGGTACCGAAATTACAGCCTGCGCTAAGAGGGGTTAAACCGAGTAATACGAGAAGATGACCATGGTACTTTGGATACTTGTAGGTTGAGTACCGCAACACAATTGTCAACTTGAATCCTTTGCTTCGTACACCGATTCGATACTCTAGCAACTCGCCATCATGAAGGGTTTGACCAAGAGCGCCGGATATCTTGCGTTATTAGCAGCGCTAGTCAGCAAGACCATCGCTCTGCCAGTTCAAGATGCGCCGCTGAGAATCGAGTGGCGATCCCTGTCAAGCGCCGCAAAAGCAGACTACATCAGCGCAGTAAAGTGCTTAGATGGGTTGCCGTCAAAGATCGGTCTCAAGACGTCGCGATACAACGACTTCCCCTATGTCCATGCGCAGCTCAACAACGAAAGTGCGTCCTTTCTTTCCAGGCGTCAATATTTGGCATCATGCTAATCAACGATTGCAGTTCACTTTGTCGCTCAATTCCTCCCCTGGCATCGGTACTTTGTACACATCTACGAGACAGCCTTGAGAGATGAGTGCAAGTATACAGGCCCAATGACCTACTGGGACTGGACCCTTGACTCTGAAGACATGTCCAAGAGCCCCGTCTTCTCCAACGACACCACCACCGGATTCGGAGGAAACGGCCTGAATGGCGGTTGGGTCCCGCCGACGCGACCAAACCCCTTGACCATGTGCGTAACTGACGGGGCTTTCGCCAACCTTACCGTGTCTTACTACACAACGACAGCGCTCTCGCATTGTCTGAATCGCGGCTTCAATGACGGTATTGGGGTGAATGCCGGCCCTTACGAAGGCGGTTTGTACTCGCCCGAGAAGATCTCAGGAATCATCGAAACCTCTAGCAACTTTTCTACATTCGCGACTGCTCTGGAAAACGGGCCCCACGGTGCGATTCACTCAGCCGTTGGAGGAGACCTGTTCCCTTCGACATCTCCAAACGGTAAGCCCTCACCACCTATGTGCGGGCACCTGAAGACTAACAGAGAGTACAGATCCCTTGTTCTTCCTCCATCATGTGCAGATCGACAGACTTTGGTGGCTTTGGCAGCAGGCTGATCTCACAAGTCGGACGTTGGACTTTTCGGGACGAAGGAACCTGCCCTCGGGGGAAGCTGATACCCGGCCAGCGTCTCTGAACGACACGCTGCCAACGCTTGGCCTGGCGGCCGATATCCCCATTCAACAAGTCATGTCAACAACGACAGACTTGCTGTATTATAAGTATTAGTGTAAATATTTCAAGAACTACTCTGGGGACAGCTGTTCGGACTGAAAGCATCCCGCCTCTCAGTGCTCACGGCGCTTCACCATCAGCCGCTGTTGGAGGGCTCCTGCAGGAATCGCCACTAATTCATGCAACCACAGGGGCCCATTCCTTGAAGGAAATGGAAGAAGATAAACGTACGACATGCCTGTGTATTCCCTCCTGATGTTTCTTCGCTTCATCCTAAGGACATGATTCGCCTGACGTCTTTTGAGCCCCCATCTTGCCCTTGAAGCCACCCAATGGCGAGGGGTATGCAACGTGGCAGCCTAGGGGTGCAAACAATCTTTAATAAAAAAACAGTTCGCATGTTATCGACGCGCTCAAGCGACAAAGCTGAACCATAGACCGCAGCCGTTTGACAATTTTCGCCATAGGTCTTCGCCAGGGACGTTGATATCAGAAGCAACTTTTGCAAAGTTGCAAAGCTCAGGACACCAAGATGATCTGCTCTTTTTGTCACCACGTCCTTGAGCTCAGGAAGGACTACGCGCTGATCAGTAACAAGCGAGACGGCGCGGATACCCCGATACCACATCACCGCGATGGCACAAGTCTAACGGCCTCCGTGGACGCTGGATGTTATATTTGCAATCGACTTTGGGCCGCTCTGGATGTCGAAGAGCGATGCAAGGTCAGGCAGTCAAACGATGAACCGACCAAACGAAAGACTCCAGCAACCGGGTCACCTCTCACTTCGGTGTTTTGGGAAGACGGAACAGCACTCGCATATCCCCGCGCCTTCTTACTAAAACTCGCTTTTGACCGAGGCAAAGTTTTGGATCTGGAGAAAAGTCCACGGAAAGGGTTTTGGCGCGCAACTCTTCTGCTTCTCCCACAAGAATGTATGTTTACCTGCTGTGAAAGAACACCTAATGACTTCAATTATGCGTCCACAGATGTTGATCTAAGACATAGTCTACGCGTCTCAACACCGAATCAAGTCCCACTCCCGTAGTACAAGATCCGAAGGGACCTTTCGTGTCGCACAGAGATGGATTACGGAATGTCTAGCTGAACACCCACAATGCGGTGCCAAACCGAATGCATCTACCGCTACGCAGTGGTACCCCAGTCGCCTCCTGGATACAGGACCTCTAGACCAGGAGAGCTCAAGTTGCCGACTCGTCCTACCGAACATCACCCCTATCCGAGGCTCTTACGCGACACTTAGCCATTGTTGGGGTACGAAGGGGTCTTTCAACCTTACAACAAGCAACTACGCACAACTACAGCAGGGAATCGCATTCGACACCCTCCCACCCCTATACCGTGACGCCATGGAAACGAGTCGTCGCCTTAACATTCGGTACCTATGGATCGACTCACTGTGTATTATTCAGCATGGTGATAACTTCATTGACTGGAAACAAGAATCAATGCACATGGACAAGATCTACTCGGGGTCCTTCGTCAACATCTCAGCGGCCGATGCCCCAGACGCGAATCACTCCCTCTTTCACGACCGCCATCCCGATGCTCTGTGTTCGCAGATTGTAGAGCTTCCTGTTGGTTCACAAACTAATCGCTTTTTATTAACGGACTATTACTTCTGGAGGACAGAAGTTTCCAGCGCGGTCATAAACACAAGAGCCTGGGTGCTCCAAGAGAGACTCCTCTCTCCTAGAGTGCTTTACTTTGGTCAACGGCAAATTTTATGGGAGTGCCATCAAAAAGAAGACGCTGAGATCTATCCGGAAGGCTTACTGATAGACCTGTCTCGGTTTCCCAGTCGGTTCAAGGGCTTCTGTCACAACCAATTGGGCTGGAGACCCCGGGATCACGGCGATCTATCAAAGTACCATTACTGGTGCAACATTGTGAATACCTACACTCGAGCTAAGTTGACATTCCCGGGAGATAAGTTGATTGCACTTTCAGCTGTCGCGAAGGCTGTGAGAGAGTTACTACAGGATAGCTATGTTGCAGGGATGTGGCACCGCTCTCTAAGGCGGGAACTGCTGTGGTCTGTCGCTGTCGGCGAGGCGCAAGCTAGGCCATCAGTCTATCGAGCCCCAAGTTGGTCTTGGGCGGCGGTAGATGGACACATTACTCCGGGTATCATGGATGTCGAAGCAGTGGAGATGTTGATCGAGGTACAGGATCTACATCTCGACTATGTTACAAGCGATACAACAGGCCTGATCAGCGGTGGATGGCTACAGCTCTGGGGAAGCCTCAAGACACTTGAGCTTCTGCCGGATGCCTTGTTCAGCAGTCATAGCAACAACTACGAGTTCTTGATGATGGTTGTCAATGGCGTTCCGGTCAGTGTCCGTGCTGATTCGGTCATGAAAGAGTATCAACCACACGTCTACCTCGATGACAACCAGCAGTTCGTCAGCACACAGAACCATCGACCGGAACTATTCTGTATGCCAGCAAGAACCAGACCCGGCAATGACGGGAACATCTACGTGCTATTGCTGCAGCTTGAAGATAGAAAAGACGGCACCTTTCGTCGCATTGGAATCGCCCGCGGTTGGGGCAAGGAGTTGAGGGAGAGCTTGCTAGCAAGCAATGCGGAAGAGAGTACCTTGCCGTGCGTAAAGTATGAGGGAGGTCGCCACCTAGTGCGGATCGTTTAGTTGGGCGGGGCCATCAACACGACTAGGCACTGTGAACAAGACGAAACAGTAAGAGCCAAGTACGACACGAAGGACTGAATGGGCATCTGCAGATAGAGGATGAGAGGGAGAAGTAGATCGCCATCCTGAGCGATAAAACATGAGACAGTGCACGTGTAATTCTCACTTCCAGTAGTTAACTAGATAGAATGCTACCTTAGTGTTTGTTGTCTAAGGCGAGTCGGTGACTCTAGTTGCCCGAAGTTGAGAATTACAGTACCAATTTGTTGTAAGATGCTTTATTGTTGCTTTAGAGTCGATTGACACAACTGAGAATATATACATCTCAAGTCTACCCACTGAGATATACCACCTAATCCTAAGTGCTCTGCTCAAGTGCTTCAAGACAGGAAAGAAGTCTGCCAAAATGCACAGGCTAAGAAAGAAGAGCTCACAACTGAGGGATCACGCACAACAGAATGCATGGATGCTACTCAATTCGATTGTCGAATATAAGGCACTTATTTAGAGTTGATCTAAGCTGGGGCGGACGCTGCACATCAGCGGGTATTCGAGGTTTTAGCGCACAAAACAGAAAGACAGCCCATCGGCACGTCTCGGTCCAACAACTGTCGCCATCCCACCCCAGCGAGCACGACATCAACAAAATCCCTTTGGGCTTCCCCTTTCTCACCACCGGTTCACTTGGCACTGCAACAACACCGCACCGCAGGGCAAACGACCAGCCCCCCTCAATTGACTCCACTGCTGTCTTAGTTGGGGTCCCCAGGCTCTCACCCAACTCCAGAGGACTGCCAAGCAACTTGCAATGAGGGCCGTGTTCAAAGGCCCCAAACGACCTTCCAGAACTGGAAAGCCTTCGGACTGAAGCCACTGAACCTCTGGCTGCCTTCGCCGCTGCCCAGACAGCCCAGCCTGCTGACGCTCTCTTGGCGGCGATGCTCATCTCACTTGACCTGGCCACTCCAAGACAGATACGCATTCTCAAGGCGTAGAACAGCACTGATAACTGGCTGAAGCTATCCTCGCGAGCTTGCCGGCATTTATGACGTTTCAGCCTCAAGAGGCAGCTCAAGGAGCTTGAGAAGCTATAGCGACCGTCACCTCGTATTATGAGTGTCAGCCACGGCGGCACATACCCCCGAGACCACACCCACGCTCGATTCCTTCTGGAAGCACGCAAAGTTTTTAAGATTTGGCTAGTTGGAGTGGAGCAATGGATGTTGGCTCATGAGGCTATTTTGTGGTTTCCGCAGGATATGGTTCGTCAGAGCTACGGTGGCCCCTCGAGGTTCATCAAAATTCGAACCTCGACAGGTCGCTTTCACTGATCTTGAGTGCTCTTTCTCTCGCCCGTTTACTCCTTGGTATCCCGCCGTGCCGCCCTCGTGGTACCAGGCAGCGAGTCGGTTCGCAGGTCGAACCTTGCGTGACGTTACAGTGCCATGACGTGCGGGGACCTCTGCAAAGCCTGGGATGATCACTTTCACCGTTTGTCTTGGGTTGCGACGCAGCAACGCAGCATTGCAGCTGTTAGCTGTCTGCGAGGCAGGGACACATATATAGCACCCATCGGCCTCTCGAAGAACCACCCGCTTGCCGATCCGCTTGTGTTAGCTTGGAGCTCTACACATTCTTTGATAGGAACTCCTCCCGGCAGTGCTTGCCAGCACGTGAAAGCCGTGTACATCACAGCAACTCGAGCTCGGCCGATTTTCGCTTCCCGCGCCGACAGCAAGCTATGAGTTCACCACTCAAATACGATCATCATGTCGGGGAGGACAGGCACGTCGTACGAGACGATGCTTCGGCGGAAGAAGTAGGAGTGGTCAAACAGCAGGAAGTTTACGCATTTGATGAGTCGCGCAAGATTGGCGTTACCGGCGCGGTCTTCCTCATTCTAAATAAGATGATCGGTACCGGTAGTAAGTAACAGACACGAACGGTCGATCGCGATGTGTATAAGTCAAACCCCCCACTTCCTGGCACCCCCCTGTTTCTGGCACCCACAAAAACGATGGGATCACAACCCAACCTCCTCATTACTATTAACTATTGATCCTCAACCACACCCACTACAATACAACTGCCAGCCTCACTAGGGCATTCAGAGTCGCTGGATTCAGCCGTAATAACCTCCTTTTCACCCGCTTCGATTTGAGCCCGATGGATATCCCTGATGTTCGCAAACTTCGTGTTGGGATCGATCTGAACAGTCTTCCTCTTCCTAACTGCAGCGTTGGTAACTTGAGCCCTCAGGTGAGCCAGCTGCTGCTGGGCAGCTGCCAGTTGCCAGGCCTGCTCTGTGAAGCCTTTTTTCACCTTCCTGAACAGCAGCCGTTGAGTGCTGGTATCATTGTCGAGTTGGGTGTATAAGTGCAGTTGACCGCTGAGCTCTGCCAGCTTCCTGGGTGTCGACCAGACCACTGCAGAGGAAGCAGAATCCCATGCTCAACAGGGTAGTTTGTTGACCATTATGGCATCGCTTTTTGCCCCGACTGGTTGGTTTGGGTGTGGTGGGCAGCAGAAGGCTCAGGTAATACCATAGGGTTCATCAGGGCTTAACCATCGCTACAGGGTGTAGACCAGTCCACTTCCAACCACTTCTGATGTTCGAGACTGATAGACCAGCAAGTCGAGCCTTCTGGTAACAGTCCAGGAAGTTCCTTTTACCTATAATGGTAGAGTCGTTCCATTGAGACAAGTAACCGAGCTCCTTCCGATAGGCTGACTTAACAGGGCTGAAGACAGACTGGTCAAGTTGGCTGGAGGACATGAGAGGAGTGTGGTGGTAAGAACAGTAAATGGATATTGTTAATATAGCAATTCCACATGAAGTCTGTCGTCGTATGACTCCCATGCCCATCCACAATCAACAGTCGAGCCTCGCCCTCAGCCTCAGGCATAGTCTGTGGGATAAACACCTTCTCTAACCATTCAATGGCAGTTAAGTCTGTAGTCCAGCCATTATCTGTTGCTGTAAACTCCCACCCATCGTATGGAACCAGATGTAATGGAAACCACTGTTGTTGGACCGTCTTCCCTTGAAAATGATAAGAGGACGAAGTGCCCTACCCAAGGCTGAGATACACTCAATGATAGAGACCCATGCCCTCGACCCAGGTTGTTTCTTGCGAACAGACGTCGTCTCAGCCATGCCCAGCACTAACCCATTAGCTCCTGACCCTCGAGGATGCCAGTCTCATCCATATTATATCTGTTGGCTGGTTTGATGTCCTTGATCTCAGGGATAGCAAGGAACTTAAACCAGTTCCTAATGACCTCAGTAGATGCCCCATTAACGCGTCTAGAATCGATGGAACGACTTCTCTGAACCTTAATGATAGGGTTCCTTCTCACGAAGGCATAGATCCAGCCTTTTCCTAATGGTTTGGTATCCCCAGCAGCAGCCAGAACTCGCTCTGAATTCCTTCACCTGTTGGTGCGTTGGTGCGAGGCCCAGCGAAGCCTGAATGCGAACCCATTGTGCCAGCTTACTCTCTGGTCAGGAGACAGCCTCTGCCAGTCAGCAAAGCCACTTTCCTAGTCTGACCACCTTGGAGACGTAGTTGGAGGGTTGATCGTGGTATCCCATACTCCAATGAGGCTCTCTTTTGACTCTTGCCGTTTGAGATGTCCTCGAGAGCCTGACGAAGCTGATCTTCGGTATATTGAGGCATTAGATATAGAAGAAGGTATGTGCAAAAAATGAGCCCATTTGGACTCGAATTGAAAATGTTGTGATAAAAGGAGGTTGGGGGTGGGCATTGCGTTGTGGTGGATTTTCGCGTTTTTGTGGGTGCCAGAAACAGGGGGATGCCGGGAAGTGGGGGGTTTGACTTAACACTTACACCCCGTTTCTCAGTCTTCTCAACTCCCTCCGGAATCTTCCAGTCGACTGGCTCCGTCGGCGTCGCTCTCATGCTATGGGTCATCGGTGGTGTCCTGACCTTCTGCGGTATGAGCGTCTTCCTCGAATTCGGCCTCGCCATCCCTCGATCCGGCGGCGAAAAGAATTACCTCGAGCGCGCCTACAAGCACCCCAAGTACCTAGCGACCTGCGTGCTCGCTTCGCAGATGATTCTCCTCGGCTTCTCGTCCGGAAACTCCCTTGCCTTCGGCCGATACGTCTTATTCGCATCGGGATCCGAGTCGCCGGATGGTTGGACCGCCCGCGGCATTGGTATTGCCGGCGCCACCTTCGCCGTCGGCATCCACGCTATTACGCCTAAATGGGGTATCCGGCTGTTCAATGTCTTGGGCGTCTTCAAGGTCATTGTCTTACTCTTCATCGTCTTCTCCGGGTTCGCTGCTTTGGCTGGTCGACGCCGCGTGCCAGACCCCCACAACTTTGACAATGCTTTCCGAATCGAAGAGGGAGAAGGCTACGGCAACGGTGGTGTCTATGGATACGCGACAGCTCTGCTTCGCATCATTTACAGTTACAAGGGTTGGGAGAATGCCAACTACGTTGTGGGCGAGTTGAAGAACCCGCGCAAGACTCTGGCTATTGCTGCACCTCTGGCCATCGGCGGCGTGACGATTCTCTACGTCCTTGCAAATGGTGAGTTCACTTTACCATCCAAAATCTGGGGATTTGTTGCTCGTTGACTAACCGTGATCTCTAGTTGCGTATTTTGCCGCCATCCCCAAGACCGAGCTCGCCACGTCCGAAGTCATTGTTGCAGGTGTCTTCTTTCGCAATGTCTTTGGTAACAGTGCCGGTGCCAGAGCTCTTCCAGCGTTCGTCGCCATCAGCAACTTGGGAAATGTGCTTGCCGTCAGTTTCGCCCATGCTCGCCTGAACCAAGAGTTGGCAAAGGAAGGCCTCTTGCCATTCAGCACCTTCTGGGCATCCAACAAGCCATTCAATGCTCCGGCAGCAGCCGTACGTGCCTAGAATCTGCATTTCATGTTCTCAAGCTAATATAATGCTAGCTTTTCCTCCATTGGATCGTCACTGTCATTGTTCTCGTTGCCCCCCCTGCAGGACCAGCTTACAACTTCATTACAGATCTTTACACGTATGTCTTGTCCCCCAAGTTGAGAAACAATCATTTGCTAACACAGAAACAGATATCCCGGCGCATGGATCAACGCATTTGTTGGGATGTAAGTTGTCCAGGAGATTTACTTCATTGAATATCAGCTAACATCACAACTAGTGGTCTCCTTTACCTCCAATGGAACAAGAGAGAGAACTGGACATCACCTTGGCACACCTACTTCCCCATCACTATCCTCTACGTCCTGGCCAATGTATTCCTCTGCATCGTTCCCTTCATCCCACCTACGGGATCGTGGACTGCAGAAGGTTACCCGTACTACGTCTTCCCAATTGTTGGAGTGGGCGTGCTCCTTCTTGGCGGTGTATACTGGGGTTTCTGGACCAAGATCTTCCCCGCTATTGGTGGCTATAAAGTCGTGGCGGAGAGGACGTATGACGAGGAAGGTCACGAGGTCATTCGATACCGTAAGGTCAGCACGAAGCTTGGCCACTCAGGGCCGATCGATTGAGACCTTGGCCCATAGATAGCTGCAATGGTCGAAGCCGCTATGGCTGGAACTACTGTTCGCATGTCATGACATTTTAACCAGCATATACCCAAATATGAACCCTTCTGACAACTCGAAACCTTGGTTGGTCGTAGTCACGTTAAGGGCGTATTTTGGGACATGATAATCATGATGATTGAGTAAGCATGCGTACAGAATCACTGATTCGAAATCACTGATTCGGGATACTCGAAACATGACAACACAGCCTGGAATTGGACCATAGGCGTTGACAATTGATTCAACTTCGCATGTACGTATGGGATGCAATCATACTTTATCAACTTAAAGCTTCTCAGTCAATTGTCTCAAACACTAATCATACAGCTCCAATCCGAACGCCGCGCAGTCCAAATGTGATCGCTAGTAAAATTTATTCAAGGCGCTTATCCTCCAAACCCTCAGTGTCACCGGGCTCACGGTATTCGCCAGTAGGCTTAGCACCCCGGGTGCGACCTTCCACGATGTTGCTCTTGTCAATGGCCTCCTTATCATCACGCTCTGTAAAATGTGTCAGGGACTCATGCCACGTTCCGTGAGATATAACTTAGACATACCTAACTGAGCATCGGAGTCGGCAGTCTCAGCATCAATAGGATCCTCGACCTTGGCATCGTCGCCGAGGACGCTGATGGGTTGGCGGTCACCCTGGCGGGACACGTACTCGTTGTCCTGAACATCTCCGGTGGGGGCTTCAGAAGACATGGTGATGTTGGGAATGTTACGTAAAACTGAGTGTATTGATGTAGGTTGAAAAGGCTTGCCGAATACTGGGCTTCGTAATTGTAGGATGTTGTTGTTGTTGTTGTTGTTGTTGTTGTCGATGTTGTCGATGTTGATGAGCTACGAGTCTTCCTCCTCAGGTTCAGGGCCCTTTCCTCGGTTCATATACAAATCTTTCCTCACTATGAGCAATCATCATTGCGATCTAAGCTGCAAACACCATAGTCATGAATGTTGAGATCATTGTCGAGCTCACAGATTGTCTGTAAGTCTATGACGCTGTCATTTACGCGTAGAAACGCGCATCAAAGGGGCTCCGACCTCCCTGGCGCATAACCACCGTGCAGAAATCAATTAAAGTCGACCTGCACGCGACATGGAGCAAAGTGTCCGATGGCCCCTTAAGCTAACGGCGCCACGTTTGATTGCAGCAAGCATCTCAAAGGGATGGTCCAGCCGCCTGGCGCGCGTTGATAGATCTAACTTAGTCTCATGGAATGATGGAGCCTATGGCAACGAGCGCCAGCCGCCTCATTAAAGTGCCTTAGCATGGGAAAGTGACCAAATAAGACTACTATCCGTACGGGTACCGGTAGTCACCTTCGCTTCAGCCTCGTTCCCGGGTCTTGAACCCCATCGATCGTCCCTGATCGATCGCCTGAAACCCGATTGGACAATGGACGAAAGTCATGATGCCTTTTGGATTCGGTGGATGCCCAGCCCCCGACTTTATTTTCGGTGAGTGCGGGGACCGCACCGGTATAGCTGATATCGCACTATCACTTTTCAATATTCTAAACTCTCGAATTCGTGTTAAGCTTGGGTTTCTATCCAGAGAAAATGTGAGAGAGACATTCCAGAGCTTTGAATACAATTCTGAGTTGAAATAGACTCATTTATGTCTATGTAGAGTTGATTATCGGCTTTACCCAAAGGTCTGATCATAGAGGATAACCATGGACCAATCTACTCACCGAGATACCTCGAGGCCTAGAACCAACCGAAGACCTCACCGAAATAGACTCCCTGCGCACGATCGGTCTGACATCATGTCGTGTTTCGCTCAAGTGGGCAACAGAAACGGGTGCGCGGGCCGCATCATATTGACGTCTCCAGCACACCTCAGCTGCGCACCGAAACAGCAATGATCCTCGGGCGTCTAACTCTTACATCACCCCCCTTCACCAAAAAGCAACCGGGAAACTCTGGGGCGAGCCTTGAAAGCAAGATTCAGCCTGCCGAGTCGGGTACCAAGTGCCAGCAGAACGAGTGCCCAGTGATACAAGGTTCCCCCGGTGGTGTGAGTTCCGGTGTTCAAGAGCAAGCAAATTTGCTATCTCATAATCAGTTAACTCCCCACTGACAATGCTGCCTTTACTTCCGTGCTTTGATTTCTTCCTTATTCACACAAAACATTTGGATGATCCACGACAATAATACCAAGAATTCCGACGTTCCACAACCGTCCTGTTCTTCCCCACCCTGGCTCTTTCAGCGCTTCTATCGATCTGATCGTGCATTTCCAGCCTCCGGGCGCAACAAAGTCAACTCGTCACTATCCAGACTAAAGAGGGACCAAAGCGAGCGGCTTCATCGGTAGCCTGCGTCTCCGCAACGCCCCCGCGTCCCGAGCCTTTCCCATTCCGGCCCTTGTCAAACGAAGTCCAGGCACATCCCACGTGCTGATCGTGATCCGTATCAGATTCCGCCCGTCATGCCGCGCCAGGAACGTCACCACAAAGAGCGCGTCGTCTACGACGACGACCCATACTATGACGACTACGAGCGTCCAAGGGCCTCGCGCCGCGTTTCTCGTAGCGCACATGAGTACGAGGCCAGCGGCGGTCACCGGCGCAGCACCCGCCGCCACGATTCCTACAGCCCCGTCGGCCCTGCCCGCGCCCGCTCGGAGAGCTATGGTCGGCCTCCTGCCCGGAGGCACGACACATACGCTGAGTATTCTGACAGCGGAGATGATAGGCCTCGTCGACGCGGCCATGGGCAGAGCAGCAGCAGCCGTCGGAAGGACAGCAAGACGTCTCGGTCATCAAGGGGACCGGAGCGCAACGATTCTGACAAGGCTGCAATCATACAGGCTGCCGCTACCGCCGCCGTTGTGGCGGGCGCAAGTGAGGCATGGAGGATGAGGAAGGAAAAGACGTCCTGGTCTCAGAAGGGAACGAGGATGGCGACGGCCGCGGCGGGTGCTGCTGCCATCGCGGCTTTCAACAACAATACCAATGGGCAGCACGGCTCAAAAGACGGTGGCGGAAGCAAAAAGGATACTATCCAGGCTACATTGGGTGGCTTGCTGGTGAACCGACTGGCGAATGGGGTAGGCAAAAAATAGCGGAAAAGATACGATAACAACGAAAAGCTATCTCGTTGTCGACATATGAAGGGCTATGAGATTGATGATTGTTTAGACGTTTTACGACGGGTCATGGATACCAGGAGTTTGGGTTTATGTTAATGTTATATCACCCTCCATGCTATGCGATAATTCTTCATGTTACGCTATAAAAGAGATGCATCTCGCTGCTCCCGCAACTTCTCTCGACTTGATCGTGAGATCCACTTGGGCGTTCAAATTGCTACGGTGTGCGTCCACGATCGAAGTTTTCATCTTACCTAATTTGAGGCATCTGTGTGAAGTGAACTCTGTTCAAGGATTTGATCTCTAGGCCTCACCGATTTGCCAGGATGATGCTGCTCTGAGGATCAAACTCAGGGTCACCGGATAGGGGGCCGTCAAGAGTCTACCAGTTCAACGATAGACTCGATTGGTCACACAGGGATGGTGAGGTTAGTTTTACTATCTTTCAGATCACCTGGATAAGTATGAGTATCAGTCTCGGTAGATAAGATCGGGTTGTAGAAACAAGCTTTGTTCCAGGAAGCCAAATGGGTTCAAATGTCCTACGCGTTGTTTCTCGATATTATCGCGGGAATGTGGTCTTTAGCAAATGACCTTAACTTACAAAAAACATAGTTCGTACCGAATTCAGGATTGTATTAGCTGAATCTGCGGCTCGGCGACGTTGGCTCTTCTGTTGTTCGAGGCTGTTTTATCACCCACGACCCTGGATATGGGCTCAAGGCCCACGACGAAATGGGATTGCACTGGATTCCGACCCGTCACCTTTATACTGCTCAGGTCGGCAAAGAGGCTAATAATTAAGCAACTAGATCATGAAGAACCCCAAGAAGAACTCTGGGGTACTAAAATTATGAGGCTTCCTCTCGTGAGGCGTTTCACCATGGCTTTCAAGCACATGGAGTCCCAGCCCAGCCCGGAGTGTAACCCGTCATCGACAGCTCACCCGCACCAGATTCAACCTCGCCCTTCCATCCCATGTCGACTGATCCGCCCTTAGTGAGAACATAATTAGCCGCCTGGCAGCGGAGCCACCCGTTGATAGCCGGGTGGTTGCACTCGGCGTGATCCATGAGAGCGTTCTTGAGGTTCATGACCTGGTTCAGAATTTTCGAGTGCTCTTGATGAAGTTCCCGATTACGAGCCTCGGCGGTATCTTTGGCTGACTCGAGGTCGGCACTCTGCTGCTTCTGCTTCTGCCAATTGCGGGCCGACGCTCGCCTATGGCGTTCGCGGCCAAGAGCCGGCGGTTGTGTGGCGGGAATAGTACTATGGCGTCTTTGCAAGACTGGCTTGCTAGGCGCTTGTTCGAATTTCTCGGCAACATCATTGTTCGACTTTCTCTTCTTCTTGAGGGGCGCACGCTCCTCGTCGACTTCTTGTCCGTCCATTCCTTCGCTAGAAGCGAAACTATCACGACCTGTAGTCTCTCCACTCGTAGGAGATGTGAATCCATAGGATGAGTTGATGCTGGTGGGAGATTGTGTAGCGGATGGGAGGGAATAGACCATGGGCATGCTTGGCTGTATCAGACCGTGAGCATTGGAATAGTCCCAGAAAGTCGAATCCATGCCAGAGTCTAGAGGGAAGTATGGTGTTGTAGGTTGGAGGTTGGTTGAAGTCCACCAGTCGACTGGGCCAAACTCTATGGTGGGTTGAGTACTACAGAGGCTTCCGTGAAGTGCATTTGCATCCGCGGGTATCGCATTTCCGTCCATGCTATTAGATCGTGGAGTACTAGAGCTTGAGATTGTATCGTTGTAGTAAGTCATATCCCTCGGCGATACCGGCACATCGAATGGATTTGTAGAACATCGTCGTACCATTGAGTCGTAAGGTTGTACTCCGCCCCATGATGGGGGCTGGTAAGATACGGATAACTGGCCGTGAACGCTCTCTATGGGTTCGAAAGGTGAAGCGATAGAATGGTTGAGCTTGGTGTCCATCGAGGTGGTCGGTAGAAGCATTATGAGCGATTTGTCTTCTTCATCAAGGGTTTGATCAAGAGCGTCTGAGGGTGAAAGGATGTTGTGACAGTCGATGCTTCCGTGGACCGTATCAAACTGGACGCCGTAGTCCAAGCAAGGCTGGGTGGGCTTTGAGCTTAGTAATGTAGAGGTCTCCAGAAAGGCCCGAGGTTGATTTTCGACGCCTTCTGATCTTTGAGGTCCGGGTTGAAGCTTGTCTCGCGGTCGAATATCGTAGTTGTAGTGTCCTCCGCAGGAGACATATCTTGAGCAAGATTGCTCGCCATCACACTGTATTTCAGTCAGACCAAACACAGAAGCAAACATGCAAACTTTGTCCATAAGCCTACCCTAGCCTTCTGTTGTTGACAAATATCGCAAGCTTCCTTGGCGAAGATTCCTGGTTTACTATAGTCTCTGTTCTTCGGTGTTAATTTTGGTTGGACGGTGCTGGCCATAGCCTATTTCTACAAGTTAGAGATGCTAGCGTCAGTCAACGTCTAGGGGGTAATAACTTACAACAGCAATCAGGCTGGTCCTCCCGGCAGGATCCGGTGTTTTTGTGATCTCCCAACAGTTTTGATCGAGTCCGCGCCGCGCTCACTGGTTTACCACAAAATTCTGACAGCTTTGCGTCTTGCTATCAACTCTCACATCGCTCGAGAATCATGACGATCATGGGGATCGAGCGAGATCGTTTCTCGTTGTCCGCCGGCTTGGACTTTCCGTGGTTTTATGAGATCCCATGTAGGCGACGGGTGATAGTTGGCTTGGAGCCGCTGCTTGCCTGCTTGAGGATCAGCTCAGGCGGCCGCTTCTTAATATGTGTCACTGCCATGGGTTCACAGGCTTTCCCCGCAGAGAGTCACAGTCCAGAAGACCCTTGCCCCTAACGCGGATGCAGCCGCAGGTCAACAGCCGTGAAGCGATGCAGTGCGACACTACTCTTGCTGCTGGTGACTTGCGAGCTGACTGATGTGCATGTAGCGCCCTCCATTATTGACAGTTGGTATTCATACAGAGATACAAATTGATCTTGTAGTCTCCCACAGCGAACATGAAGCCTGGCCACACCTCCCTAGACTGACAGTTTGAGCGACAGATCAGCCTCGCCCTATCATGGGCTCGCATTCCAGCGCGCGCCCACCGGCACTTCAAGCTAGCAGTGACATTCTCCAACTTGAGGGGGGGGAAGCTCTGTTTACTACGTAGACATGTGCCTACTCTAGGCAGTTTGAGGGAGAGCGCAGCATGTGGGAAACGAAGAAGAAATGGCGAATTTGGGCGAGAATGGAGTCCAATCGGAAAGTCAGGAGAGCGATCTTAGTGCATGTTGTATTTCCAATACGATCGCTACAATTCGCGAGGGCGTAAAGAACAACGGAAGGGTCTAGACCTTCTACAAAGACCATTCGCAATGGTCTCCAGGCTAGTTCCACCGATATAAGAGTGCAAGGGACGGGATTGTACTCAGATGTACTGGAGCAAACGACAACGCTGCCCAGTGCCATCGTCCCAATATCGAGAAAGAAAGTCTGGCTACATTCTAGACCATTCATGGTTATATCTCCGAGAAAGATCTGCAAGAGCCTTAAGTCCGGAATGGTCTCCGGCACTCGTCATTGGGTAATCTTTTCCGGGGTAACAGCAGTGGCAGACATGGGCGATGAGTAGACGGTGACCTTTCTAATTGGAGGGATAGATAAGCAACTCTTTGCCCCCCTCCCTTCCAGCCCCCAGAAACTGCAGGTCTTTCCTTTCGGTCAAGCATTGGTGTCGTACAAAGGGTTGGTAAGTACATGTATACGGTAGTGTACAGTTGCCTACAGCAGGTAAGGTGAGGGGCCAACGTCCCGCTCGCCAGCTTGTATCGGACGCTCTGCTGAGGTTATCAGCATCGGTCCAGCAACCAGAAGTCACCCGTATGGAATATCACAGACTACTCTATGCAAGTGCTTCCACTACTCCTTCAATCCACATGTTATTCCAACCCAGGAACCCGTAGAGTACATCCACTGGCAGCTGTTCAACGGCATATCGACTTAGTCGAGCCCCTATTGCATGCATGGCTAGCTATGTGCTGCAGCTATGATCCTTACACCAGGGTTATCGGGGTTAGGATTCGATGGATTCAACAGCGTGGTCTCGTCATTCTCATCTACCTCGCACTTGGAAGCTGAAATTTTCTCTTCCTGGTAGGTAAAAGCAGACAGAAGTTTCCTGGTTATCCTGAAGATCACTCTCAATCCACACCTACCACATCAAATTCCAGCTGTCTCAGCCACACTTCCTGCGGACGGTGTTAGCGTATGTATGCAATCTTTACCGCTCCTTGGAATCCCATGGACGCCTAATTGAACGGGCTTCATACACAACGTGGTCAGCGGTCGGTGGCTGGCTGGAACTTCATCACCTATTCCCCTTGTCACGGTGTCTCACAAGGCTACATGTGGCTGGGACATGGACTGATATAAGCTTCGGTAGGTACATTCACTAAGCAATGGGCCATCGGCAGTTGAGTTATGGAGTTGTTTGGTATGTAGATCCTGGTTCCCATAACGGCGATATCTTCCTTTCTCTCGGTGAGGACCACGTTTGAGTCTCGATCTGTCATACTGACTTAGCTGGCCAGAGTCAGAATTACGTGTTTGAATCTTGCCAGCCTTTTTCTAGATACCCAACCCGCCAAAACTGAGGCCGTGTCTCTGGATGCTACAAACTACCAACCTACAACGAGATCTCCACGGAGATACGTCAATTGTGGTATGTGGTGAAGCCGAGGGTTCTCGTGTCAACCTGGCTGGTAGGATTGAACGTGCAGCGTGCATAGCATCCCTGGAGCTTACTGGGCTACTTCAAGTCAGCTAACTTGACGCATCGACAGTGATAAATGGATCAAATGATGCAAGCTAGGCACCCCGACCTATTGGAATACGGTGTAGGATGCCGGCCCTCGGACGGTGTGGTCAGACGCTACAGCTGTGAGCATCCCCTCCCCATCATCCTGGCAATGCTCGACATCGAATTTAGGGGTCAGGGTCGCCACCTCTAATAAACAACCCCCTCTCATGGTCATCTTACCTACAGCTGTCCTTACCCTGACAGCCATCAGCGAGCCATAAAGCCGACACGGTCTCATGTTGGCCCCATTTTTTCTTTCCAAGATCTACATGTGCAAGGAATGCGAACCGCTCAGCCGGCGCCAGGCCCAGACCGATCCAAAAATCGTGCTTTCTGTCGCAATGTTCAAGTTCGGAGTCTTTGAAACGACGAGCTAAAGAACGAAATATTGGCCCAACAGGCCGGATGATTCAAATTGTGGCAAAAGCAATATGTCGAACTTTAGATCAAGATTCCCGGGCATACGAGGTCGACTCGAGATCGTGTTCAATTTTCTCGAGAGCGGTATATCGAATGAAGTGCTTGGGGGATGGTCACTGCACTAGTGTATCGATTCTGCATTATCGTTCTTCTGACTCACACGAAGTTCAATCTGGAACCTCCTGAATAACGAGATGCCGGGATTTCTCTCGTGGATATAGTCTAATAGCAGTGTAGCACATGCAGGTCTGACTGAAGCTCCGGATCTTCAATTAGCAGGAATGAATGACCAACGTCACAAAGCCGGAACCGTCAGTGCAGGCAGCACTTACATCAACTATATATCCCTTCGATAAGGAAGGATTCCACCGTGCCTTAGTTTAAGACTGCCAGCAACGATATGTTTGTACTACCAAGTACCCTACTCAACATACGGTGTAAAAAGCTATTTCCCTTCTAAGCTGTCTGTCTGTACATATTCATTGTCCAATGAGGTCAGCTGAAGCCTCTATCATATAAAGTAAAGCTGAGCCCCTTGCATAAACCATGGAGATGCATCCGAAGCGGCCGCTGAAACGAGCACCATGGGTAGAGAGTGAGGTCAACTCGGACTGAACACTCCGGCAAAGACTAAAGCTGCCGCATAGCATCTCTTACAACTGTCTCAAAACACATACCTGCATGGGCCAGCCGGTCCAACTAGAAAAGGAACTACGGATAATCACAGATAGAGAACGGCGCGATGTATGTTTCTGCCACAATATGTACATTGAATTATTTACTCGTCAAGAATGCGTTCCATTTTCTCATCAGCTCGCTCAAAACCTCAAGTCATTTACTCCGGCCCTCTTCTAGGCCTCTTTGCCACCCTCATACCTGTCGCGCGGATGGATGCGTCTAGACAGGAACAGCGGTAAGACCACAGGCAGCAGCCGCAGCAGTGACGGAGTTTCCATAGTACTGCCAGACGTTCTGGGCGTTGGCGCACTGCAGGCAGGCATCGTAGCGAGCGATCCACTGGTAGTTGGTGCAGTAGCCTGTCTCGCGGGACAAGGTGATGGAGGTACCTAGAGTTCATCATCGTCAGCGAACAACTTGACAACGTCATATCGGTTGGTTGAAAGAGAGAGGGAGAGAGAGAGAGCTCTTACCGCAGTTCTCGTGGCAGAGGTAGGCGGGCGTGCCAGGGGCGGGGACGTCCTGGCGGGTGACGAGGGGCATCGACTCGGGGAACTCCCAGCCGCCCTGGTTGCGGTTGATGAGAGGGTTGGCGGAAGCCAGAGAGGCGACAAAGGCCACGGTGCAGGCGACGGAGAAGCGCATGTTGATGATTTGGAGGTAGGATTTGAGGTTTGGAAGAGTTTGGCGAGACTTGAGGTTGAGGTGAGTAAGGCAACTGGGTATCGAGAAGAGACTTCATACTGATTCAGGACATTCACCACTCTTTATATCAACATCACAGCTTGGCAAATGCTACCTTCCTTCTCAGTCTGTACAAAGCTCCTCTCCAGCCTCCAGTTCCCCTCCAGTCCCTCGGAATGCCCAGACTCTTCATCCGAAAGCAGATGCCAAATGGCATCCCACACTGTAACGGCGCACCGATATCGCCGGCGCTATTGGAAGGATGAGATCTTGGCGAGCGATTTCCAGAGAGCCAGTTAACCTTCTGCCCCAACGTTGCCCGGAAAGAAGCGGGTTTCCGAGCGTATTCAGCGGGGCGGCCGACATCCGTCCGAACCTTTTGAAAGCGGAGTCTCGTCCCCTTGGCCCCCGGTCCCCTGCGTCGAGCGGTTATGCTCCTCATGCCATCTAATCTAATCAGATCATCTGATAATCAGGATCCCTGTGGGGAGCCGGGACGAGACTGCTCAATGGGGCTCTTCATGTCCGAGAATCCACCCACACGAATGCGACCCACAAAGTTTGATATACGAGGTCGTTATGTAAATGGTGAGTTTAAAGTCTTGGCTTTCGGAACTGCCCCAGCTGAGTCCAGCTCACATGCCAAACGGGTTTTCAGGGTTCATGCGACACAAGATTGTGGTTAAGCTTGAAAGGGCCGGAGGCGCAGACGATAAACTTGGTTTTCTTTGCAGCGAAGATCGCAAGCGGCGATATGATGTACTTAGTAAGAAGAAGTCGGGAGTCACAACGGAAAATTGTCAGAAATGGGAGGTTGAATACCAGGTTGATTAGGTCTATGAAACAATACCGAGGGAATTACTTTAGTCTAAAGTTCTAGAGAGAAAACTGTTTAGGCCCTCTCGCCAGAGAAAGCGTTGAAGTTGAACGACCTCAAGCGCGGGTTCTTCTCAAACTCGAGCGTCCTTTGATCATACAACACCAAGGTTCCATTGGAAAGCTGAACATCCAGCAAATAAACCACATTCAGTGTCCACTGGTCGCGGTTGCCCTGGATGCTGCCCACCGTGAACCGAAGAACATCATCACCCGTCAACGTCTCGTTGTACATTGCTCTAAAGTTCTTCACATTGCAAACTTCTGTAGCCGATGCCGTGACGTCAGTGAAGCTCTCAATGCGGTTCTCGGCATCAAGGGTCTCTCCAATCACCACGCTAGAGTTGGCGCAAACGAATCCGTCGGAATCAGCCGAGTGAGACGTGGTCAAACGGACAAAGTCCCACGGTCCCAAGGAAGCAGGTACCTCTACATCGGCAGTGTACAGCGATGTGCCGTCGTATGGAGAGGTGGAAAGCCGCTCGTAAACGACAGAGCGGTCGACGGCTGTGTAGTACACGGGTGCTTCCCAGACCTTGCCGACGGTAGGGAACTGCACGACGTAGGTGCCTTGCTTCATGGATGCGGCAAACTCTGGTGTGAAGCGGCACATGAGGAAGAAGTCGCCGACCATGTTCTTGTTCCAGGTTGTCCACTCTCCGAGGGCGATTGTGTACAACCGAGTCACCGGGTCGAAGGATGTATCGCCGGCTTGGGCGCCGGAGGCCGAGAGCTGGTAGCCTTCTGCGATGTCGGTGATCTCGGCTGGAACGGCGAATGTGAGGACAGAGTCAGCGGCAACAGGTGACGGCATTGAGATCTGGATGTGGAGTTCCATCCATGCTGCCGGGTCAATGACGAAGGCTGTATCCTCTTTCAACCTCTGAAGCTTCAGGGAGGTGAAGGCGCCTTCGAGGCCGGTAGGCGTGGCGGTGGCTGTGAGCGTCGTGGTTGTGCCCGGCACGGAAACAGGGGCAGTGGTTGTTGGGACCGATGTTGTGGTGGGGACTGCAGTAGTGGAGGTAGTCACAGCAGATGTTGACGATGGGAGGCTAGAGGTCCATGTGGCATTCTGGCCCGGGATAGGATCGCTTCCGAGTTGGATGGAGAACGGATCAGAAAGGAATAGCTGCCAGTCGTCAGGCTTGGAAGCATCGCCAAACATGCGCAGGGAGCGTGTGAAGATGCGGTATCGTCCAGACGGGATAGCAGTACCGTTCGCAAAAGAACGGAAAGTCACGTAGCTCCCCAGGTTGAAGCGCACAATCTCTCTCATGGGGAAGTCCATGTACCCTCCATCAGCGAGGGGCTGAGATCTGACGGAGCCAAGCCAAGCCCTCGAGCCTGAACCATGTTGCGGCGGGTACGCGAATTGCTCCGTCTTCCAGTCAATGCCGACCAAATCGACGGAGAACTCGTAGGTGCCGTAGCGGAAGGCGAAGTAGGTCTCAGGCGAGTCGCCATCAGCAGGGTGGTACGCCTTGCCTTGGTAGTCGAGTGGGTACAAAATGCCATCAGTATCGTCGTAACGGTATGACTCTGGTCCGTGATGCAGCGCAGTCCAGTTGTAAGTAGACGCCTCGATGCCAATGTAGGGCACGGCCAGCAACTCATCGTTTGAACCTGCGAGAAGGATCTTGCCACTCCACAGAGCACCGCTATCAGAAGCGACGTCGGGGGCAGAGAGGGTGATCTCGATGTCCTGAGTCGCACCTGCGGCCACTGTGATAGTCTTGCCCTCGGCTAAGGATCCAGCAGCGGACACCAAAGGCGGGTAGTAGGTATTGGGATACAATAGGCTGTTTCTAGATGAGACAGTCGAGGCAGCGATGTGAGAGATGTTGTAAGTCGCTTCCTCCGAACCGGTGTTCTGGATGCGGATAGTGTGGGTGCTGACACGGTTGTCCGTGTCGTTCAGTGATAGAGTCGGCTCGGAAAGAAGCACGGTAGTGAAGTCAAACAACTTGGCGGCATCGACGAGACCGGCACCCTGCTGAGCAAGCGACGCAACCTCGTCCAGAATCTTGCCATCGATAGATTCAAAAGCGGGCAGAGCCAGAGCAGTAGATGTGAGTCTACGGACAAACTCTGCCCGGTCCTTCTTTGCATGCGCATACCAAAGGGCAGCAACACCTGAGATATAGGGTGTAGCGAACGAGGTTCCGGAAGAGATGGCGAATTTGCCGTCGGGGAAAGCGCCGTAGACCACGCCACCAGGTGCGGAGATGATGGGAGAGAAGTCGTTCTCGTAGGTGGGACCCCACGATGTGAAGGTGGAGAGCTGACCAGCGCTGGGGACCTCGGCGGCGAAAGCAGCCGGTTGAGCATCAGCCTGGACCTTCAAGTGAAGGGTATAGTTCTTAGCAATCTGCTCGGCTGCCCAGTCTCCAACTGAGGCAGTGGTGACAGCCATAAGCTTGAGGGTGTCAGACCAAGCGACAACGTCAGCCATGTAGTAGGCGCCTTGGTTGTAAGAGTCGTATAGGATTCCGTAACCGAATCCAGCGCTGGCGATGGAGGAGTACGATCCAGCTGGCTCGCAGACACCACGTTTTGCGAGAACAGCGGTAGAGTCGAGGCCGGAGCCGGCAATGTTGCACGAGTCGCCCTTGTCGAGAACGATGGGCACATCAATGGTGCTATTGAACTTGTTGCCGTCAGAAGTGACATACGAGATGTTCAGAGATTGGCCGCCAGATGAGACAATTGTCGCAGGCCACCCCAAAGTCTGCGCTGCCTCGACCGAGCCGACAGAGACGACACCACGGCCAGCAGCCGGGGAGCTGGCGAAATATGGTCCCATTGCGCCCGAGTTACCAGCAGCAATGACAATAAGTCTATCCTGAGCAATCTCACTGGCAACACGAGAAAGAACAGAGTTGACGTAGCCAGTGTTGCTGCCGATGGACACGGAGATAATGTCGCAGTCATCCGAGTCAGCGGCGAGCATACCCTTGAGAACCATGTCATTGGATGTCGCATCCTCGCAGCCAAAGACCTTGTACATGTAAATCTCCGAGTCGGGCGCGACTCCGGCAAAGTCCTGGTTCGAGGCGGCAATGATGGACGAGACAAAGGTTCCGTGACCAGCGCAGTCCGTGAGGGCGGTCGAGTTCTCCTCGAAGAGGTTCTTTCCGCCAGCGATCTTGCCAACCAGAGCTGGGTGCGACACATCTACACCGCTGTCAACCACACATACGCGCTGACCGGCGCCGGTGATGTTGCGGTCGTGAAGCTCGCTGACGCGGGTCGCGATGTGAGGGTTCCATTTCTTCGTCCCCGAGGTGACCTCGAATGAGACGTCGAGGGTGATGGGCTGCACCGGCCAGGCGTTGGCGACGCCCGGCAGGCTCTTGATGTCGTCGACGACGCCGGACGAATCGTCGTTTGCAATCTCGACGGAGACGCCCTTGAAGCGACCCGAGATGGCGGAGAAGTCCTCCTTGACAGTGGCCTCGTAGCCGAGAGATGAGATCTGACCGACAATGGAGTCGCCGACTGAAGAGTCCTGACGGGTGCTGGGGCCGGTCGAGTCTTGGAGCTCGACGATGTAACGGCCGGAAGCAGCGTCCGAGGCCGGGGTTGTGAGGCGGGTGCGGCCGCTTGCGAAGCCACCCTCGGCTGCCGTGACCGGTGAGACGGCGGCGGCTGCGACGAGGGCCGCTTGGAGGATTCCGGAAACCCGAGTCATTGTAGTGAGCTCGACTAAGATCGGCAAGTTGACAATCGATCTCAGAATGTAACGAGAGACAAGCAGACGGGGAGCTGTTGCTTGGGCTCCTCTTCTAGATCAAGGCCCCCAAAGGGCCCATCCCCTTCTATTTATCCAGTGCATCATCTTTCACGATCTCGCAATACGGGATGGGACTTTGAAGTAGTGCCAGGGTCCCACGATACGAGCTGGAACCGCACCCATTAGATCCAAGATCACAATGATCAACCAAATTACCTATTAATTACAGTTTTATGGGCCAGTCAACCGATAACCGGAACGCAACAACAAAAGTTCAGGGTCGTAAAGACGGATGTAACTCCGAGAGCTTGGCAGGTACTGTGTTTCCCTTGACTTCTGCCCGTATTCCCGAAAGCGGCAGGTCGTTGGAAAAGACTCACTTGTAGGAAGGCCGGGGGTGCGAACTTTATCAGCTCATCTAATCAATCTTTGTGGAGTTCGGCATGTAGACACCATACTTTGCAGCCATTGCTAAGGGCTTTGTGAGATGGATACTTTCGTGTTGCCTGCACGTTGCGGTGGGATGGGTGGGAGGCCGTGGAGATTTGCCTCGATTCGCTTAGCCCTGTGGTGAAATAAGCTCAACTCGGAGGGCCGATGTTACTTTGGTTGATCACTATCGGTGATGCTCCGAGCTCCGAGAGTGGGCTTTGGGTGGGGAGTCGGAGGTGAATAAAGGGTCCAGACTCCGGGCATCGTGAGATCACTTCTTCAAGTGAGAACTATTCCTACATCTTGGCTCATATTTCGAGTTGCGAGACTCGGGAGTAAGCGGGGCCAAGCTGCCTTACATGAGTCTCATCAAATGGCGGAGTAGAGGCTGAGCTTCAACCTCGAGCACCCAGAGATCACTGAAGTCAAGCTCAGAGAAGCCCTCCATTGTGAAGATCCTGCATAAAGGCTTCGGGATGAGAGCTCTATCCAGAGGACGGTAAGTTGACAAGAGTTCAGTGGGAGTCAGGGGTGTTGGATGGGCTACGTGATGTGACATTACCAACTCAATCCAAACTTATCTTGAACCGTCTGAATCATCAAGCTCGTCGGGACGTCTTAAGCTTAATTGATGTTTCATCTCATTTCATGTAATCAACGTAGAACTCAAGCAATCACCTGACCTTTCATTCAAGATGAGGAGCGCTGAGTGGCATGGGAGAAAACCAGCATCAGGGGGACCTGCTCGTTTAAACAGGGCCTTTTTATTCGAATTCCTCTTGTAAATGAACCGATTATCATCTGATACTTCTGTAGTCTTAATGTGCTCGTGGGTGTTGACTTTGCGAATCCATATGCTGGTCAGAAGCCTGGGGGGGGGGGAGGGGGGCAATAGAGCCGAGGGCTTGAGAAGACATGGGCCTAGTGAACATTGAGCGAGCCAACATGCACACTCTCAGGCTGTTTGAACCTCGAGTCAGAGTTTGGTACGTTTTTGAGGTCAACAGTCACGCACTGTCGAGGTCCCGGCCTGTCGTCGAGTCTTTCTCAACTTCGCGTCAGCTCAGGTCACTGAGGAAGTGATACGTCTGGATGAGGCCGGTCGCATGAGACCAGATTGGAAGATTACTTGCCACAGTTTTCTCATCTGAATATGAATTCTCATATAACCCTTCAGTATCTGGTGTTCTGGTGATGAGTATTACACATGAACAACATTCAGCGATGGTGAATGAGGTGGTTCGCCATCTTCAATGAGAGTGAGAATGAGAGTGAGGGGTGATCTGATCCACATAGTGTATGACTTGTTTGGCACTGTACTTTGGGCTGGAAGTCGCACATACCATACAGTGCCAACCGGCTGGCAAGAGGCGGCAGTCAGATCAGGCAACCAGACTAAGAGCTGTGCCGCACCCGCCTGCCGCCGCCGCCTCTTGGAGGCCGCTTGCCTCCTTCCCGCCCGCCCGTCATCTTATTGCTCTCTGAATTCTCTCTTTCTGCCTTATAACCATCTCCAACATCAAATGTCCACGAATTGACTTTCGTTGAGTCCATCCTTTGTGGTTCGTTCGCAGTATCCGCTGGCTCGGCGGTCGGTGTAAGTCAACCATAGACGACACCACCAAGTCATCTCTCACCATGCCTCTTTCTCGAGGGGTATTCAACCTGCCACCGCCAAAGAGGGTTCGACGCCAGTCGCCTACCCACCAAGGAGCTTTGTTCGCTGCAGGCGTCGCCCCATCAGATGCTGACAAGTTTGCCTCGATTCCGCCCTACTGGACGCCTGCCGAGGACTCTTCCTTCGCGGACGTCTACCATGGGCCTTCCATTTACGGTGACAATGCCTGGTCCCAGAGCCATGGAATCAATCAGCTGGACCAGAGGCTCGGGAAAGCTCTGCCCATGGACAATTCATTTGCGTTCGACATATTCCAGCCTACCTCGTTTCTTGCGCAGGCGCCTCCTCCCCCGGCACTGAGCACAGTGTCCAGTATCACATATTCTTCCTCGTCCATTGTATCCCAGCCTTCATCTGCTGGCTCCGGTGTATCGCCCACACAGATTGACTTCCCGTATGAATGGCCTACCACAAAGACTGCCACGACAAATCATTCCACAACTCTGGGTGCCGCTAAACGGTCTTCTGATTCTACCACCTCTACCGCCAGAGCTCAAAGCCGCTTTATTTGTTTGGGCCACCAATGCGACGAAACATTTGACCAAGAAAAAGACTTGGCCTTCCATTTCAAGGCGGTCCACACTCACACGTGCCACTGGGGTGGCTGCGAACAACCAAGCTTTTCTTCAAAGGACGGTCTCACTTGGCATGTCGAGCTGGAACACCTCCTCGTCTGCCCGGCCCCTGGATGTACCGAGAGCTCGTTCCAGACCAGACAGATTCTTGAGAGTCATTTAAGATGTGCTCACCCAGATACCGAGGGCAATTACAAGGGGAAATCGAAGGAGCCACTTTCGAAGCTGAAGCCTCTCGCCCGAACCATGGCTACGCCATCCTCGTCTCACGATACCAGCAGTGTTCCAGGACCATCCCAGAAAGACAGCTTGGAGGAACGAGCTTTAAAGCAGATACTGTCCGTCGCGGTATCCAAAAAGAAGTGTCGAAAAAAGCTGAGAGATGTTGTTGAGAGGAGGTATAGAAGAGAAAGAGCACACAAAGGTGACTGATCCCAACTCCAACTCATGAGGCCGGTTTTCTGACATCTGCAGGCCAAACTCCTCTCGCAGCCGACAGCCCAAGCGACTTGACCCGGCCTCTCTTGACACAGTTACTCAACAACGCGAGTTTCCCTATGGTGTGGGAGCATGCAGTCCTACCATTTCTCTCCGAGTTCATCCCAAAATGGTGCGGCCCCAAGCACAGCATCGCCCCCGCTCGCGGTAAGACACCGGGCACGCGGCAAATCCGCATCATGATTGAAGGCGAATTGCCCTCGCGAGCTCGCAAGATCATTATCGCAGTACACGTCAGAGACCTTCTACCCGAAGCCCATCGAGACGGCGTCAAGTTCCTCTTCCTCAAGGGCTATGTTGAACGAAGTGTCTGGGCGAGAGGCTTGAGCAAGGAGATGCCTGATGATATCTGCTTGGCCAAGAACCCATACTACTTCAAAGACCCGTGCATGGGCGACAGCATTGGTATCGAAGGCAATGAAGAGTTCGAGGAAAGCACGTCAACATTGGGGCCCTGTCTGCTCATCGGTGGCGGCAGCTACTGGCTTGCCAACTTCCACCCCTTCGTGGAGGCATACCAGAAGTCGGAGTCGGTCAGCGTTCAACACCCATCCCCCATCGACCGAGCCCGTTGTGTAGAAGAAAAGCACGACACGCTGCCTGAGACAGACTTTGCTCTAGGTAGCCTCGCCGCTACATCGGGACTCGACCTGAAGACGACTCGCATTTCACATCACCCCTACTGGGAAGACTGCGATAAGGAGCCCCCTCTTGTCGCGACTGATTGGGTTCTCGTCGCTTCCAAGACCAGTCAAGCCAATATTCTCCGCCGATTCCCTTCGGAGACCATGCCTCTTCTCAAAGAGACACCAGTCAAGACGACAAGCGCCGTTGTGCCGGGTGCCACTGTAGTGTCGACGGGTCGAACATCTGGCCAGCAAAGGGGCGAGGTCTGTGACATTCCAGCCTACGTCAGCGCCGAGATGAATGGTACTGGCAAGGCCACGCGCGAGTGGTTCATCGAAGAGCCGTGCCCTTACGACGACGAAGAAGGGTGGATTCGCGGAGGCATAGGCGTGGAGGGCGACAGCGGCGCTGCCATTGTTGACGCTGAGAGTAACTCCTTGGTCGGCCAGCTTTGGGGCCGCAATAGATATTGGGGTAGCGGTCCTCGCGTAACGTATTTCACTCCCATCGGCGATCTATTTGACGACATTCAGGAGAAATGTGGCGAGCAAGCTCGACCTCAGCTCCCGCAGTATCGGGATGAATCAGATTGTTATCCAGTCTACCCCACTTGTCGACAGTGCTACGACCTACGAACCTACCTCGACAGCCGACGGAGTTCCCGCGAGTCACTTCGGTCCATGATCGGGCACAACGAAGGCGATCACGGAGACTTGACGTCGATTGGTGGAACATCAGAGCTGGCGACACCGAAGGACCACGCACTCTGGGCCAGGACCTCTGGCTTCGAGGAACTCGGTTCCTCGTTCACCAGCATCATGTCACCTTCCGCCGCTCATCCATCCTCCTTCACGCCACAACCTGGTACCCCAGGTATCGTAGATATTAAAAGCCCGTACGCCCTGACCCTGAGCGCAGAGGATCTCTACGGGGACGACTTCACAAAGACGACAGAATGCGGCTCCAGCAAGCGAGCAGCCGCAGTTCCGTTGGCGCGAAGTTCAAGTCAGAATACCAAGAGGCAAAGGTTGCATTGATGGTGCTATCCCGGGGCGAGTGAGACATTCGACATCAGCCAGGGAATCCACCTCTCGCCATCTTCTTGGCTCTTTGATCGCGGCGGTTGTGATTCGCGCGGGAGCTCTTGCTGGCTTCCTTTCTCCTCCGCGCGGCCTCGGTCTCCTTTTCGCCGGTAGGACCGGCAACATTACCGCCTCCACGGCCTCCGCCCCCTCTTCCACCACGGCCGCGACCTCCTCGTCCACGGCCGCCTCCACCACCCCGTGAGGAGCTGCCACCGCCATTCTCAGAATCCTCGGCGCCAGAGCCAGCCGGACTAGCTCGCCATGTCGTTGACAGAATCTCGGTCTGGGTACCAGTGAATGCAGCCGCACCGCTGTACTTGGCCTCGAGCCGTCGCTTTTGACCCGGGTTCCTCGCCAACATCACTGCCCAGCCCTCAATGGCCTCATCCGTCATGCCCGTCTCCTCCCTCAACTTTCCTCTGGCCTGGCCTCTCCTCGTCGTAGCCTGCCTGTCAAATACACTGGGGTCGGCTTGGAAGGCCTTGTACAGTATTTCTTCGCTAGCATCCTTCTGGCCGTCGGCCTCCTCGTTGGCGTTGTCGACCGTGCCTCCGACATCGTCTGCATCGTAGGTGTCGTCACGTTCGTCGTCATCCGAGTCGAATGCTGCGAGTGCTGATAAGATGGCCGCCTTGTTTGGTGCAGTCGATCTGTCCTTGAGCACGTCGTCGGCTGTCTTTTCGGGTCCCTTCTTTCCAAAGTGGAGCTTGGAAACGTCCAGCTCCAGTCTGTCGAGTTCATCATCGTCGAATACATTGTGGCGTTCAGGTAGCTGCGGCGGCGTTGGTCTGGGTTCAAGCTGGCTTTTCCTTCTTTCGAACGTGGGGGATCTGTGATATCGTTAGCCTTACCATAGTCAAATAAAGAAACAGAGGAAACATACAACGGAGCAGAGCGGTCCATCGCCGCGAGATGCGGAGGCAACGAGTCCTCTAGTAAATGAGCCGTCACAATCTCCGTGTTATCGCCATATTCGTCAAATAGCTTCGAGATGAACCCTGATCCCAGATCCGGAAACAGATCTTGAATGAGTGAAATCTGACTCTGCCGGTGCATATGCAACTCCGCCTGAACCTGCCCCTCTTCCGCGACATCTCTCCCTTTACCCTTGTCGACCTTTCGCTTGACGAGCCTCTTTGGCCGCATCATTCCGCCGCCAGGCTTCTTGAATCCCTCCAGCGCGGAAATACGTGACTTCAACGCCGTCGACGCCGCGCCCTTCTCCTCGGCCCTCTTGGACAGCTGTTTCAGCACCGGCGTAACGGTGACGAGCTCCGCCACAAGTGAATCGTTCACGTTCAACGGGCCGACCCTGTGCGTCTCAGCAGCGGACTTTAAGGAGAACAGCACATCAGCCAGCATCCCGAAACGAGGCCGCTCGCCCTCCGTCAGGCCGATTAGGCAGAGGTACATCGTCGCGACGAGGACCTTGCGCAGCGGCGGGTTCGTGATCTTGAATGCCGTGACCAGGCCGTCGAAGAAGTCTGAGCCGGCGAGGAAGAAGGCTGCGGCGTGCGGGGAGGCGTGGAGTAAATGGTTCAGGTTCGCGAGGCGGGCCTCGAGGGATTTGAGGTCCGCTTTGAGACCTGCTTCCATGGACTGCGCGAGCGACTTTTTGAGGCCTGCTAGGGGGTGCTCGAGGGCGCTGGCGTGGTGGGCGAAGGCTTTTGAGAGGGTGGCGGGCGCATTTTTGCGGTAGAGTTTTGAAAAGGCGCAGAGGAAGGGGGCTGTTGTTAGGGGTGTTGGGGGTGGTGTTGTTGGGTTTGTGAGGAGGCGGGATGTGAGTGTAAATGCTGACCTCAGCAGGGCCTTTGATGTTGTTGAGGAAGAACATTCTAAGATGGGCGAGGGTCCTGCTTCGGCGACTTGTGTTGTGAAGGAGGAGAGGAAGGCTGGGATGGAGGCGTCTTCTTTTGCGGCGGCGCGGGAGAGGTCTTTATCTGAGAGGGCGAGGTAGGCTTGGGTGAGGGTCGTCCAGGCTTCGATGAGGGCTTCCCATTCTTGGGTTGAGAGTTTTGCGCGCCATGATGGCGTGGGGAAGGGTGCCAGCGGCGGGAGGGAGGTTGCCATGGTTGCTGGAGCTCTGGGGTGAGTGAGATGGTTCGCGAGATTCAATGTGAGATGTGCGCTGGAACTGGCGGGGTAAGATGCTCTCAGGGATGTGAAGGATTCTATCGCGGGATGCAGGAATAGCAGAATGCTCTTAGAAAGAGCTTAACGTCGGGTCGTGATGGCGCATCTGGTGAGTTTTGGTAACGCGCTTAAAGGTGGCGATGAGGTGAAGTGAGGCGGCTGGCCGTGAGATGTCGTTCTCTCAGATCTCGCCGGATGATTCATTCATTGACGTCGGTGCCTCTCCCCAGCCGGGCCATGCAGTGAGCTTTCGGCGGAGCTGCGAATGCGGAAGTGGGTACCTCCATGGTGGGGTTCGTTCTTTCTCTTGTGCCTGTTTGCTTCTTGCCGCCGCAAATGGTCAGCTCGAAAAGTACGTATCTTTTTTTCGACAACCCACATCCTGCGCTAAACCTACCTAGGCTTAGTCACACCACTCGGTAAAGCCCTACTTTCCAAACCCCACGAAAAAAAGTTCGCGATCGCAATTCCCTCCGACTGCAAGCTTTACGATAGCCCAAAAGATCATCAGCCTTCATCACTTTGCCGCAACCAAGCCGTTCGAGTCGTGAAGGAAATTCAATCTCTCCCTAACCTTACCACCCACCTCCCACCCGTTCACCGAACAACAACACTTCAAAATGTCTTACAACAAGGACAAGGACTTCGGCGAGGCGCCCAAGACGCACAAGATCCGCATCACCCTCTCCTCCCGCAAGGTCCAGTCCCTCGAGAAGGTCAGCGCCGAGCTCATTGAGCGCGCCAAGTCAAAGGACCTCCGCGTCTCCGGCCCCGTCCGCCTGCCCACCAAGACTCTCAAGGTCACCACCCGCAAGACCCCTTGCGGTGAGGGTTCCAAGACCTGGGATTGCTTCGAGATGCGCATCCACAAGCGTCTCATTGAGTGAGTTTTCCCGCTGTTCGCGCAAGATGATGGGAGCAAGAATGCTAATGATTGAACAGCCTCAACGCCCCCACCGAGATCGTTAAGCAGATCATCATCAACATCGAGGCCGGTGTCGAGGTCGAGGTTACCATTGCCGCATAAGCGATTGGAAACCAAGCCCCGGAACAAAAAATGTTGTAAAGACGAGTTGTTGTTGTAGGAGGGATGGAACGGTATGGGCTTCGGACTTGGGAAGGCTGCGTTTGCTCAGCCAGCGACGAGGGATGGCCGAAAGGCTATACACCTCGGCGCAGCTTTGTAGAGGCGGCGGGACGAGCGAGGCGGTCTAGATACCACCCGAATCAACTGATGACCCCCCATTGAAAGTACCTTACCGGTGATGTGTCGCGTAAATGTGCATGAAGCTGTGCATGAAGCCCAGTTGAAGTACCTACTGTGATATTGGCCATATTGGACGTGAAGTCAAGGGCGGTGGGCACGAGGATTGCGAGAGTCAGAATGTTGAGGAAGATACTCAATGTTTGGGAACTTGTGCCCAACTAGGTAGAGTGCAGTATGAGCACCATAATACCACATGCTCAGCCAGATACCCCAACCCCCGGTCACCAACTGATCCTTTTTGAAATCAACGCCGTGCAATGCCAGCCCCCTTTACACAAGTACATAAAGACCGCTTTCGGTCCCCTTGCTTCGTCTCTTCCGTTATCGCCCGCCCCCTTTACAAATCCCAAAGACAAAACTCTCTCTTAGGAGGCAACTCGGGCATGAGACCCTCAAACTTGCCCGTCTGCGCAAACGACTGCCACTGCTGCTTCGACTTGTCATCATATAACTCATCGGGTAGCTCAGTGTCCTTGTAGTAGTTTGGCGGGCCATCCGGGAACCATATCCTCGTCCACGCGCCGTTGAAGGCTCGAATGCCAGGCAGATTGCCCTGATAGGTGACGGGCTTGCCCTTCCAATTGGATAACCGCCCGTTCATGTCCTTGGAGCTGTAGCTCGACACTGGTGGATGCTGCCTCGAGCTCCCCGGCGGGTACGGCCCGCTCCCAGGCGCCGCCGCTTGTTGCGCGGCGGGCGCAGCTGGTGCAGCGGCCTGTCCTCCGAATGGGTTTGGCGCTGATCCGCCTGCACCGAGGCCACCGGACGGCTGGCCGAACGGAGACGCATTGTTCTGTCCAAAGGGGTTCGTCTTCTGGCCAAGCTGAGCTGTTTGCCCGAATCCGCTGGCAGGCTGCGTAGGCTGAGCAGTCGCCGCCGGCTGACCGAAGGCGCTGGGCTGCGCATCGGTTTTCGCTCCAAAGGGGTTGGTCGCCGCCGGCTGCGCTTGAGATGGCTGACCGAAGGGATTGGAAGATGCAGTCTGAGCCGGTTGCCCAAATGCGCTTGTTGTCGCAGGCTGTGCTGGCTGACCAAACGGACTCGGGTTCGTCTGGGCTGGAGCCCCGAAAGGGTTGGCATTCTGTGTCGTATTCTGCGCGGGCTGCCCAAATGGGCTGGGACTGGCCGTGTTCTGCGAAGCCTGACCAAATGGACTGGCTGTATTGTTGCTGCCGGCGCTTGCAAACGGGCTGGCGCCGCTCGTCGCGCCTCCAAAGGGATTTGGCTTCTGTCCAAGAGCACTGGCTTGGCCAAACGCGCTGCCGCCTCCGCCAAGTTGAGATGGTTGGCCGAAGGCACTGCCCCCTGATGCTGCTGCTGGTTGTGCCGGCTGCCCGAACGCAGGCGCGCCGAAGGGATTGGGCTTCTGACCGAGGGCTGAGGCCTGGCCAAAAGCCGATGTGCCACCTCCCAGCGCGCTGGGTTGTCCAAAGGCGGATGTAGGTTGCGATGTTTGCCCGAAAGCGGGGGCGGAGCTACTCGCGGCACCAAACGCCGACGTAGGTTGTGATGGTTGGCCGAATGCTGAAGTCGGCTGCGATGGCTGCGATGTTTGACCAAAAGCTGGCGCGCCAAAGGGATTCGCACGTTGCCCCAGGGTCGCAGTCTGGCCAAAGGCGCTCCCTGTTGAAGTTCCACCGCCACCACCAAAGGCAGAAGTCGTGTTTGTGTTGTTGGAGGAGAATGGGTTCGATGTCGCTGCGTTCGAATTTGACGAAAAAGGGTTCTGCTGTGAAGAAGCGCCGCCCCTTCTTCCGACCGCAAACTCCCCTGTGGTCCCGCCTGGCAATGTGCCTTGCTTGCAAATGTCTGTCCTGTTGGGGTGCGTTTGCTCGGCAGAAATGATGAATTGAATAGCTCCGTCAAGGTTGCCCACCGCCGTCTTCATTTGTTGCTGGGCTTGCTGGTATAGCTCTTGTGCTTGATTGAGCTTTGGAGTCCGTCAGCTGATAGACCTGTAAACCTGAGTAAGGTGACTTACCGCTTGCTGAGGATTTCCAGAGGCTTCCGCCATCATATGAACGAGTCTCATCTCCTCAAAACTCTGCTCGCGCAAGTTGCCTCCGAAAAGCTGCTCCGGAGCATCCCTGCCGGGGCCATAGGCGGACAAGATCCATTGTGGCGCTTCCGACGTCAAATCCTTCTCAATGGTCTCCTTTGATAGCGCGTACGGAAGCCCTGGTCGCATGTGAGTAAAATTTCGTCGTTTAAAACTCCTAGGAGCCGCGATTGTGGGACGAACCATCGTTGTTGTTGCCGCCTCGATTGAATCCTCCTCCTGTGTTTTGGCCAAAGGCTGCAAAGCGGTTGTTATTTTGCGACCGTGGGTGCTCGAATCGGCAATTCTCTGCGATATTACGTATTAGCCTCTTCGATCCGAGTTTGCGATCGAGACCCCTCGAGGGGGTAATGATGGGTGCACAGCGAGTGACGTACGTCCGTACCTGCAGTTCCCCTGCTCGTAGAACTTGCAAACTACCATTCTGGTTGTTGTTCGGGCGGTTTCGCAGTGAAAGTTGCGTGATGACAGCAGCTATGTCATTTCGTAGGTGTTGAGAGCTCGAGATTAGCCAGGGATTTGACGGCGAACAAAGAATCAAGCTCTTGTAATCACCAGAACTCGGAGATTGGGTGTCGAGAAAGAAATCATTGGCAGCCTTTCTCAGCCTTGTCGGCGCGTGCCGCTAGCGCGCCGTGGTGGGCCAATGGGAAGACCGTACTGTGCGTAAGCAGTGCGCAAGGCGTAAGCACTGTCCTTGCGTCTTCTGGCCCAAACAGGTGCACTTACACCACCAACATTCAACATCCTTTCTTGATTTCCTCAAGAATCATTCGAACCCAACCATTCAACCATTCTACCGAACAGCGATGTTTTCGAGTTTCGCACTTGGTATTTATCGTCTCAGAGAACTTTTTGGAAGACCCTGCCTTCGAAATTTACCGCTATATTCCATCGAAAAGCAACTCGATCAACAATAATAATTGAGAACTACACATCTTACCCTAGTATCTTTCGCAGGCACGGAGTTATTCCAGTCTGTCGACGCCACAATCTTCTTTATACGAGTCACATATTCAAAAACAAATCAAGAATCGAGGTCATTGTTTAATTACTCCAAATCAGTCATATCTTCTTCATGGAATTCATCTATCCAATAACACCGGCAACCATGGGCTTCAGCTGCTGCTCAACGTAGTTGGGGTTTCTCCACTCAGACCAGTCCGCGTTCAACAGACCCCACGACTCCTCAAAGTTCTGCGTTCCCTGGCGGATGTAGTAGCTACCCACCAGAACCCAGATGAAGAAGCTGCCCTGGATCTGGGGCAAGTAGGATGCCAGGCACGTCGAGTACGTGTTGAGGTATGTGTTGTCGTTCATGTTGAAGCCAAACTCGGTCAGCGCCACGGGGAAGACATTGACCGTCACAGGGTCCGATGCATTCATGGCCTGGAAGCCCTTGGTGTACAGGTTGTTGCTCAAGCTCGCGCAGCTGCCGATGGAGCCCTCGTAGTTATGGATCTCGAGAACGAGCTTGTCGGCGTAGCCCTCGAAGTCAGACAGCTGGAACGTGCCGTTACCGGGCGTCAACGCCGTGCCGCGGAAGACGGGTGCGACGGTAGTGTCGTAGTTGAGACCAGAGAGGAAGATGAGAAGGCCAGGGTTGGCGCCGTTGATGGCGTTGGTGCCGTCCTGGATGTACTTGTACCAATCCTGCCAGTTGTACGAAGCAGCGACCAGCTCGGCGTTATCCGTGGCCTCACGAAGCTCGTTGCGGAGAGACATGGCGACGAGAGCAGTCCACGATTTTCCCTGGCGATGGTTATCAGCTTGGGTTCAAGAGTATTCTGCTTTCTTTCGATTCACTTACATGGTTGGCCATGTAGGTCAGGCCGCGCACCCACTTGGCGGCATCGAACTCGCGGTCTCCCCACCAAGTGTTGCCGTCATTTCCAGAGCAGCACCACTTGCCGGTGGACATGTGGTTATCGAGGAGGATGTAGACTTCCTGCTTAGCGCATTCGGCAGCAATGGCATCGTACACCTTTGGGGCTATGTGTCAGCGGGTGTCAAACGTCGCGAAAGAGCTGATGACTTACCTCGAGACGGGTGGTCGCCTCCGTGAAGGAAGGGTTGTTGGCCAGGACCTGAGCGAGGACGGCGGTACCGTTGGTCTCACCGAGGCCGTTGATGAAAGCCGTCTTGATGTCAATGTCCTTGCCATCGTTGGCGTAGATCTGGTCGACGAGCTCAATGGCGTAGGTCAGACGGATGGCGTTCATGCCGATGCTCTTGATCTTAGACACGACACCCTCGACGGAGAGGAACTGCAGACCCTCTGGGACCATGACCTCGCCGTGGCCGGGCCAGTTGGTGCCGGCGAACTGGATGTGGTTGCCAGCGGCATCCACCGCCCAGCGACCGTCCGTCACAAGCGGACCATTGGGCCAGCTGGTCTGTCTGGCCTGGGGAAGAGCGGCGCAAAGAGGCGCGACGGAGCTGGCGACGGCCAGAAGGGAGGTGAAGAACTTCATGATGTCGGGCAGTTTTGACTGAGAAACCGACGCGTCCGAGATGGGAGCTATCACTACAGAGAAGGTCGCAATGGCATCATCTTGCGGGAACCTTTGGGATCTTATACGACCCCAAAAGTTCACAGAGCATGCAGCTCGGAAGCATTCCCGCTCCAATCGAGCACTCGCCGTTGCTACCTCATCCCACGGACCGAGAGCGGGACCTGCAGCCAGACCAGGAACGCGACACTGACATCACGAGCATTGGCGGCAGTAGCTAAGCCTTGGGAGGGTGCAACGTTCCTTGAATCAACGGTCGTCATTGTCATGACTAGTCTTCGACCGCCTCCCCAGGCCGCAGCGGGGCATCTCTCGGGTGCTCCCTCAGGTCATGATACCAAGTTGCCAGGGTAGCGACGAACCTCGGGGGGGGCTTTCGCCCGAGAAGACGAGCACAGCCGGGGCAGACATACTCTTGGGGACGGAAGCCAAGGGTCCAAGATTTACCATTGAGTGGACGCTAGGGAGTCAGGCGATGATTGTCGCCAGGAACAGCAAGCTTGTGCCGGACGGCGTGAGGTCGGCTCCCGCCTTTTTCGAGAGAAGCTGAGGCCTGAAGAGATTCTTGCGTCCCGCCCCCGCATCGCTTGTCAAATATGCCGATGGGGAAAACGACGGATCCCGGCTCCCCAGCTCTGATTCCTTTAGTGCTGGTGTTCCCCACACTCCGACCCCCCTCTCTTCATCGAACCGCTCAACGGCCCACGCATCCCCAAATCGGCCGGTTCTGCGCGATCACAAGATACTAGTCTGGATGGTTGACGTTGCATGGGGGTGGAGAAGATAGCTTTCACCGTGACCCGGCTCCGTGATCCCCGCAAGCCGAACGAAACAAAGTCTGAAATATACGAAAGAAAACAGACAATAGCGGAGACGACGTGCCTGACAGGGAAATGCCCGCTGCCGATCAAGAGCCGGACCACAAAGACTAAATGTGGCAGTTGGGGAAACAGGCAAGCGGGGATAGCTTTCGAACGATCTGAATGGCGCGCAAGTTCGGACGGACGAGTTCTCGCGAGGAACTCTCACCAGCATTTGGCTCCACTGCGATACCTTGGAACGATGAGGCGGATCCTCTGCCATTATTGGTTCTCATCATGCACGAGAATCAATTGACACGTGCTACTAAATTCTCTCGACGCTCGATGACGACAACTTCACAAACTAACAGCTTCAAAGGTGAAGCAGTGGGGTTGTCTGACCCCAGCTTCAACCAAGCCATCCTCGGTAGAAACAACAATGTCGACCTTTCCGGCCTCGCTCTCACGCCCTCGCCCTGAACTCCAACAACGGTCCATCCTTCATACTCGTAAATGTGTCGTACAACTGCATCTCCGAGACCCGTCTCCGGCCCTCGTCCAAATCTGCGCGTCCCTCAGCCGGGTCAAGTACGCCCACCGCCTTGCGCACGTCGTACAAGAACAACGTCCTCGCCAATGCGGTCGACATCTCAGCATACGCGAGCCCCTTGCCAATACATCCTCTGGCTCCAATCGAGAACGGACAAAACGCGCTCTGCGCCCTGGCCGTGTCGGCCTCGGTCGTCTCCCGACCACCAAACAAAGGGTTCGCCGCGCCGACGATCCATCGCTCGGGGACGTAGTCGTACGCTGAGGGGAAGTAGTCCTCGTTGTGGTGGATCGTGTAGTGCGGTGTGCCGACGACGGTTCCTGCTGGAATGTGCGCGCCGTCAATGGTCATGCCGCCCGCGAGAACCTCGCGTGGGAGGAGGCCACCGACGGAGGGGGACAGACGCATCGCCTCGTCGATGCAGGCACGGAGGTAGGTGCATGTGTTGATTGTCGCGCCTTGACGGATCTCCTCGACTTCGGAGAACTTGCTACGGATTTCGGCGGTTGCGCGCTGGAGCGCCGCGGGGTTACGGGAAAGGTAGAAGAGGGTCGCTGCCATGGCTGTTGACGTGGTGTCGGCGCCGGCGATGATGCTGACTTGTGTGTTAGTCTTGGCTCACATCTCTGTGCCTCGAAACTGGCTAGGAGCAGTATGGACTTACAGCAGGTTCGACTCGCCCCAGAGCTCTGGCGTCGAGAAGCCCAGTCCAGTCTCCGGGTCGCGTGCCTTGAGGAGGTAGTAGAAGAAGTCGCGTCGATCCGTATCTTCGCCAAGCTTCGTCCGCTCCGTCAACTGCGCCTTGCTGTAGGCCATGTAACGCGCGCGTCCTGCCGCAATGGTCGGGAAGAGGAGCTTGTCAAGCTTGAGCTTGTCGACGATGGGCATGGTACCGCACTGTCGTCCGTCAGTTCACGTTCCTCTCAAACTACTCCGTCGACGACGTCTACTCACAAGAAGATGCCTCTTGGTCGCCGCGGCGATCAAGTCCAACGCAAACCGGTTATCGGGTGCCTCGAGCATATGGAATGCTTTTCCAAACGACAAGTCTCCCAAGATATCCATGGCGAGGTAGTTACACCAGTCCGTCATATTCTTGGGCGTCGACCACCCCTTTGTCTCAGCGGACGCGCCGCGACCAATCTCGGCGGTGAAGGAGCGCACGTTACCGATGATGTAGCGCTCCATCTCCTTCATGGCCGAGTCGGAGAAGCCGTGGGCGAGGACGCGGCGCTTGCGAGCGTGGACGTCCTTGTCGCGGGCGTTGTGGGTGTTGGGCGCCGGGTGGACAAAGGCGTTGTAGAACTCTGCCTTGCCGACGTTGGAGCGGAAGCCGTAGATTTCCTTGAGGGCCGTGGCGGAGTTGAAGGAGACCGAGTTGGGGCCGAAGCGGACGATTTTGCCTTGAGTGTGTTAGTAGTGCTGGCCCTTCTGCTCACTCCCGATTCCTCTCTCCTTCTCATCCTCTTCTGCCCTCTCTGGCAATGCCTTCTCGCCGGCTCCAAAGCGTATGAGGGATGAATCGGGATGAGTGCTGAATACGAGTAAGTGACGTACCGTATTGCTTGTGAAGCTTGTAGAAGTCGAGATGTCTGTCGCCGTTCCAGGCGTGATAAAGCTGGTATCCATCCGTGACCTTTGCGATGAACGGTCCTGGGTACTTTGCCAGAGGATGGAAGAAGATGCGGTACACGACGATACCGGCGACCTATATCATTGACTGTCAGATCGGGTCCATCCACTCTCTTACCAACGTAGCTGGGGCTTCATAGAGAAGCTTCTTTGCGTGAATGGTGACATTGATGAACTTACGTAGAGCACGCCTCCCACGGCGGCGAGGCCTAGCCAGGCCCAGAGATGACTTGAATCCATATTCACTGTTCCTTTTCCTCTCGATTCAACGGTATGGTGTTGTCAAGCAGCAGCCGTTTGTCATCCGCCGTTTTGAGTGACCTCCACACAGCAGTGAAACTCTCACGAAGCCGTGAATATAGTTCGATATAGTAGTATGCCAAACACCAAGTTCGGTCCTTTTCCCAATAAAGTCTTTCCAGCTTTCTTTCTTTCTTCACAGCAATCTCACCTCACGTCTCATCCGTGTCTTCCGGCGAGAAGGAGGGGTGCACCTCTCTTCTTATTTGTCTTACACGTTCCCTAACCCATTCCCGGCCTGCTACCCATCGGCTTTCCACGGTCCAAGACGGGAATGGATGACGGCGCTGGCGGGTGTGCGCTTTTACCCCACGCCGCAAGGACCGGGATGGACACGAAATTGGAGAAATGACAATAGGCGGGACGATGTACGAGGCACTGTGGACGTGCCAAAATATCAGCTGTAACAAGTGACACAGTCCCCATGCGCAACACGTCTTACCTGCCCCAAGGTGCCTGGCATTGATTACCACCGGTATCTACCTTACCTTGGGTGCGCCTGGAAGAAAAGAGGCGGGCAAAGGCGCAGGTCCGTCTTATCACGCTTGCGCCCGCCCAACCTTCCTGTTTCGGGTGACCTTTGAAAGCGGGAGTTAGTTGGAACGCTGCGGCTACTCGCGGGGATACACAGAGAAAGGGAGGTTGAGACTTGAGAACAGACGGACTTGGGTCTGTTAGTGATGCCGCAATACCTGCTTACCCCAGACTTTTCGTTCCCAATTCTCTTCTCGGCTCGTTCAGCCCGTAGATAGCCACCCTGCCATGGGTTCAATACGCAGTAGTTCCATGCTCCACCAAGATCTCGCATCTGCTATTACCCACCCAGCAAGCTTCCCCCGCCCCAATCCACGCCCGCCAAAAACCAAACGAATGCAAGATGTGTGGATGGTATGGCGCTCCCCCGGCAGCAAGGTTTCGCAAGTGTGCATGTGAGCCAACCGGAGACGAGGCAATTACACATTCCATGCGCGGTGAGTAAGGGTCACCCTCATTGCTCACGGCGCCTCTTGGTCTTTCTTGTCTCTTTGCCGAGTCCTGGTACGCTCTGGCTCTTTTCCGTCCCCCTCTTTCCCGACATTCTTGGCCTGTCTTACACCATTCCCGAACATCCCTTTCCCGACGGTCTTCTTCTTTCCCGAGGATTTGGAGAAATTGGAGATACTGGACGAATAATTGATGTGAGAATTGCATCGGGCTCGGCTTTCGGTGGTGGAGTTCCCTTTCTTTCCCCGCTTTACACCGTCACCGTTGCGGGTTCTGCGGAGAAGACGGGGGGAAGAAGGTTAAGCTGAATGGCGGGGGAGGAATTCCGCTCCAGGTCCGCGGTTCGTGAACTCGTTTGGCGACGGCTTGAGGGCTTGGAGGATTCGACTTGTTGTGGGCTCATTTTTGACGAGGTGTGAGGGTTTGGAGTGTTATTGACGGGCCGGATGATTGTCACGGAGATACACGCATAGATACACACACATACAAGAAGTCCTGGGCTTCTCACCCAACAGTTCTAACCCAACTTGGGTAGCAATGCAAACCTTTGGGCAAGGCACCTCGTACTTCCACAGCTCTGAATTCACCTAACAGGGTGATAGGAGCAGTAGTGTTCATGGTGATGGCGGCATCTAGGTCGTGATCTCGTTGTGGACGCTTGCCGTTTTCCTGTTCGACGTTTAATCTCAGTACACATCTCATACCAACGCTACGTCTCTCTCCGCCAACTACCTCCTTTCCGATTATATTCTGGATGCAATATACCAAGAAAAGGTAGAGGTAAAAGTCTTTCTTCTTCATGTGGAAGATCCCTGCTTGATACATCAATTCGGGTCTTTCTCAAGTATCTCAACTACCTACATCCTCTAGTACCAACAGCTTTGCTATGATGACTTCAGTGGCACCGTACTTTCTTGCAGACGCAGGGGATGCCTGATCATACTGGCGGAAAGAGGGAGGATCATTTTATAGCCTGCTTACTCGTGTAATGGGCAACAGGAATCATGGGTACCCGCAGTCCAAGGTCCTTTCCTATCATCACGGCGGACTTCCGTCGAGGCCGCACCCCTGGGAATCCAGTCACCCACAACTTTCTAGATACCGAATCGAGATAATCGACTCGGTGCGAAACCAGTCTGGGCCGGCTCATCTTCCCGAAACATCAAACGTGTGCAACTAACTGGAAACGGTCCGTCTGAGAGGCCAAAATCTATCGTAGCGGACACACCATTCATATGTAAAGAGCGACAGGACCTAATGAGCCCCTGAGCAGGCAGAATCGCGATGGTGTGTTGACCGCGTATAAGACGAAACCGAATTCTAGAACATGCATCTCATGGAGAAAGTGTCTGGGTTGGGTGATCGGTTGTATAAGGCTCCTTGTACTCGCGGTGTGCGTTCCCCAGACACAGAGGTGTGCTACTAAGTTTACCTCGTACAGTGATGCTTTAGGATCAAAGGTGTGTGTGTGCATGAAGTCACTACTCTTCACTCTTATCGGAGTGGTCTCGAACGAATACGTCAACAACGATGCCTGAAAGCCAGAAATACCGGCGTCAAGGTCGAAGAAAAGGTTGAAAGAAGCGGTATTGAGACACAGCGATGCGAGGCAACGGAAGAACGGTACGGTGATGGCGGGATTGAGAGGTAGAAACGTGCCTCAGCAGCAACTCTCACACCAAACGCTCAAACACTCAAAAGCTCATTGAACAGGTTCTCGCATTGTATTAAGTATGTACGCCCCCAACCTCCGCCACCAACATAAGAAAACATTCAACATTACAACCCTTCATCCGATCCCAACCCCCATAAACTTCGTTTTCGTTTCCATAAATCAATGATTGTAGTACCTCGGCTCGTTAAAGACGTGGTACCGGTGATCCCGCACGCCCTGGCCGCGGAACATGGCCGGGAACCGCCAGCCCTGCGGCACCTCCTCCTCCGTGACGCGCTTATTCCGCGTGTTGTCGTCCACCGCCTCGATCTGCAGCGCCTCGTCCTTGGACTGCGGGATGACAAACTTGGCCACCTGCAGCTCCGTGTCGGTGATGGTGCTGCGGCTGACGCGCGCGTAGCCAGTGCGCTTGAGGCCCTTGTAGAGGATGTACTCGCACCAGCGGTCCCAGTCGGTCGGGTCGACGTCGTGCATGCCGGACGTGCTGCTGACGTAGGTGTTGTAGTTACCCTGCAGGGGCTTGGTGACGAGGTAGGACAGCAGGACGGAGGGGTTCTTTGATTCGCCCATGAGCTTGGAGAGGTACTCGGTCTGCAGGCGGCGGTCTTCGGGGTCCTCCTCTTGTCCGGAGTGGAATACGAAGACGTCGACCTCCTGGCCGTAGACGTCGAGGGTAGCGGCGATGGCGGGCGCGAGCTCGCCCACGGGACTGGGGAGCAGGTGGTGCGTCGACTTGAGAATCGGGAATTTGGACAGCAGCGCGGAGCCCCAGGTGTGCTTGTTGGGGCCTGGGCCGTAGTCGACGTACATTCCGAGGTCCTCGGCAAGGAACTGCGTGGTATCGCGGTTGCCCATGATGATGCGCTGCAGGTCGGACTCGAGGAGGCCTACCACATCCAGCTCGAGCTCCTTGATGAGGTCGCGCATGCGGTACTCGGAAGACCACATGTCGTTGTCGAGGGAGAAGTGGATGGTCCAGATACCGGCCGTCATGATGCGATCTTCAGGGTGGTACGGCTTGTAGTCGTTGGTAGGGAAGCGCATGAAGGCTGCGGCCAGGAAGACGATGTTGATAAAGGCGGCTGCAATTGTGTTGTACTTTTTGTGCTGCGACGGGGATGCGCGGCGGGTATCGCGGCGACGGGCCTGCGAGGAGGTGAGATCGAAGACACCGGCGCCGATGAGGATGAATGTTGTCATCATGACCCAGTCAGTGTGCTCGCGAACAAGGGGGCCACCAGGGACAAATGCATAGGCGACGACCCAGACGTGGAACAGCACCATGAAGTTGTAGATGAAGAATCCAAGACCAAATGTCGTGCCAGGGCTTCTCTTGGCGGCGGTCGAAAGGAATGGCACAGACAGACCCATCAAGTAGAAGGCGGTGGTAAGAGCACCATAGTAGCCGAACCAGTGGTGATACGAGGTCAAGACGGCCGCGCCAACGCAGCCAACACCGTAGGCAGTCCACGAGCTCATCAGAGAGGGACGGTAGAGGCCAACCAAGAGACCAGCAGTCATTGCGACAATAGTCATCCAGCCGTAGGTGTTGGCAGTAGGCCCCCTGATCGGGTAGCCGTCCCAAACCCAGAGGATCATGGTGCTGGTGTCGGAGAGCAGGGAGTGAATGCCGAAGAACAGACCGCCAACGCCAAAGGCAGCAAGGACCGAGGAACCACCCTTCTTGGAGTCTTCCGGGATATCGCCGCTAGTCAGGGGCGCCCTGCGGGTGAACCGCAGAGCAGCTACAACGGCAATGGCGAAGCCGGTCGCGTTCCAGCCTCCGTTGGCGGCGTGCATAACAGGCCATAGCGGGTTGTTGGTCCACCATATGAACTTGGCCGTGGAAGAGGCGACGAGGCCAAGAGTCCAAGCCATGATTCTGGATTCGAGACGGCTCTGATGGGCTCTCTCGGACCAGAACGAAGCAGTCCAGCCAAGGCAGGACGTGGCCACGGCGAAGCCGACGGTGAAGAGACGGTAGGCAGGGTCAAGAACCTGGTACGCCAGCAGGCCGACCAGCGAGATGAGGTGGATCGCGCGCTGATTGTTGACGACGAGGGAGCGAACACTGCGAATGCCCAAGATTGCGGGCAAGATGGTTGACATGACAAAGGCCTCGTAGCCAGAGATGCCCATGTGCCAGAGGGGGAAGTACCACACCAAAACTCCCAAGCTGGTCAACATGGACCAAAAGATGAAGCCGTGGTAGACATCGGCGGCGGTGTCGAGGGCCTCGGTCCAGGTAAATCGGCCAGTCAAGAGGTTTGCGCTCGCCTTTTCCTTCCTTGAAGCAAGTCAGCTATTGCTCCTCTGATCACGATAGTCTGCAAAACTTACTGCTTCTCAAGCACGGCGGACGGAACGGATGACCGATTCTCACTATAGCAAGACTTAGATTGTGCTCTTCAACTGGATCTATTTTTTGTGCCTGGTGTACAATATGTACAAGACTATTTTGGGAGCCATTGGACGTACCCCTTGCTTGCTCCCTTGACATCCTTGATCACCACTTCGAACGTGTTGAAGTCGAGAGCCGTCACGGCGTCAAAGGCGACGTCGAAGAGGATGAGGGCCCATTCGAAGAAGGCGTAGATCGTGTAAGCTGTGCGCGGTTAGCTACAACGCTCGTGCGCAAACCCTCCAAGGCCGAAAAGCTTACCTCCCGCAACGCGGTGAACCTTGTGCTGGATGAAGAAGTAGATCAAGGGCACCAGGGTACCGAAGAAGGAGCTGGCAATCAGCTTGCGATACTTGATGGCCTGGGGGTTCGGCGGGCTCAGCATGACGCATCCAATTGTCCACGGGAGAGATGCGACAATGTAGGAGATCATGAAGATGTCGTGCCAGTCGTGGTCGTCCGTCGAGGTTACGTAGGTGAAGCCACCGCACATGCATGTGCGCAAAATGCCCATCGCCAGGGTAAACTTTGGCAGAGTCTGTCCGGGTCTCCGCGTCAAGAGATACCACAGTCCGACGAGTGCGAATCGCGGGCCCGAGGTGATTGCGATGAAGAACATGAAGAAGGACCGCTCGGGGTATCGGTCGCCAATTGTCGCGGAAACGGAGGGGAACCACTCGTCGGGGTATCCGTACCACTCATTTTGGACAATCTTGTGGTAATGCAGCGAGACGCCTACAATGAATGCGCTGATGAAGGCAGCTATCGTGGAAAGTCAGCTTTGGAAGCTTTCCGGACGGTCGTACGACCACGAAAAGTGCCCCGCGACAGCATCGCGACCAGCGGCGGCAACAACTCCGGGCGCAAAAAAGACTTACTGTAAGCTGTAGCAGTATGCAGGTAGCTGATCCATTGGCCATTGAAGACCAGCGCGACGCCGCCGTCCTTGTCTTTGTACCTTGACGCCATTGCGAACCTCTACTTTCTCTGAACCTCTCTCTCTCTCGGGGGGAGTGGTTTCTCGAAGTCTCTCTCAGCTCGAACGACAAAAACAAAGAGAAAAGAAGCTCATCCGGGGGATCCGGGGATGCAATGACACGAGCTGACGAGGGGGGGAAGAACTTAGAAGGATGAATGGAGGGGGAGGGCCGAGAGAAGGGCGGAAATAAGAAAGAATTGTGCCTGGCAATTGCACAACTAATTAACCAGCATGCCTCGGCGGCCCGCGGATGGGGAATCGATTGGATCGAAGGGAATCGCGCGGTTGGGTGTCGTGGGAGTTTTGCAACAGTGCGGCCCCTGACCGTGGAGTCTTTGGAGAAAGAAGTTGCAAGGTTTCCGTGACGGTACGGAGTCTTTTCTGCTAAGGTTGTTGAACGTAAACAGTCCAAAATGTTTGGCGCCGACAGGGAAGATGACAGAAGCGGCACCCGTGGGACACGCGACCGGGAGACGACGGAGCTTTGAGCTTGCCGGTGATGGAGCGATGCTGACGCTGAGGCCTGAACGCTACCTTGGTGTACCGGGGGACAGCAAGGTGCTGATGCACGCAAGGGCAAGCTCTTCGGGGTTAAAGCTACTTGACAAGGTACCTCAAGGTGTCGGGGGTTAGTCCCAATTGGGACCGGGCACGACAGGGGGAGCTTGGCACAAGGCTGAAGTCCGTGACGTCCGTCTTTTCGGACTCCTCTCTCCAGCCACAGCTTCACGGACCACTCAGAGTCCACTCTCGGCCAGGGGAGCCAGACCATGCCAGATGCCCCGCTTTAAAGTTTCGGTCTTCTTTCTCAGCCTTGTCAACTTTTTTTCCTAGACTGGGTTTTCCCTCTTCTTGATCTGCAGCATCAGGTAGAGAGTATCTGTGCAGCACATCTCGGCCAGACGACTCGAACCCCGTGCTCGATATCACACAGTCGCAATCATGTCGGTCGCTGAAAAGGCCCGCTTCTACTTGGAGCGTTCTGTTCCCCAATTGCGCGAATGGGAGGAAAAGGAAATCTTCACAAAGGTACGACACCATCCAATCTAGGACCCCTCCTTAAGCACCAGTCACCCCCCCATCATCCTCACTACTGATTTCCCTAACAATCACCATAGGATGAGATCCGTACAATCGTGCAGAAGCGCAGCGACTACGAGCATCGCATCCTCGCCCCCCGCTCCAACCCCGACGACTTCACCGCCTACGCAAAATGGGAACAATCCCTCGAAGCTCTCCGACAGAAACGCTGCAAGCGGATGAAGATTGGTCACGTCACGTCCCAGCACACCACCCAGTCGCGCGTACTCGCCATCTTCGACCGCGCCGTCAGCAGACACCCCGGCAGAAAGGACCTGTGGCTCGAGTACCTCAAATACACCGCCGACGTCAAGGCCACCAAGCGCTGGCGCCGGACCATGGCCAGCGCCCTCCGCATGATGCCCACCGACGCCGACCTGTGGATCTTTGCCGGCCGGCGCTCGGCGTCCAACGGGGACATGGGCGGCGCGCGAGGATACTTTATGCGCGGGTGCCGCTTCTGCACGAGCGAGGGCACGCTGTGGATCGAGTACGCGCGGTGCGAGATGGAGTGGCTCGCCAAGATGCAGGCCAAGAAGGGCGGTAGCAAGAAGAAGGCGGAGCAGGAGAACCCGCTGGCCGGCGAGAAGATGGACGACGACGACGAGATCAAGCTCATTGACGAGGATGACGAGGAAGACGAGGACGAGGACGTTCTGAGCCTCCCCGTGCCCGGCAAGGAGAAGAAGAAGGCCATCGACGAGGAGGAGAGCAAGGCGCTCAAGCATAACCCGGCCCTGGACGGCGCCATACCGATGGCCATTTTCGACATTTCGAGGAAACAGCCGTTCTACAACCCCGAGGTGGCCGAGCGCTTCTTTGACATGTTTGCCTCCTTCGCCAAAGTCTCGTCCGCGTCCAAGATTCTCCAGCACGTCGTCGACGTCATGAGGGAGCAGGACGCCGCCCACCCGGCGACGTGGAACTGTTATATCCGCCTGCCCCTCGTCGGCGTCAGCCCCGACACGCCCGAGTTTCCTCTCGGCCTCCGCGAGGTTCTGTCGCGCCTGGGCAAGGGATTGGACGAGACGTCCGACAAGGCTGCGCTGGAGAGCAAGTCGCTGGTGTGGATCGAGCTTGTGCTCCTCTTCAAGGGTCTCGACGAGGGTATCAAGACCGTTTTGGAGCACACGAGAGAGCAGCTGCAGTCATAGCCCTGCCATTGCGCTGTGGGTATATGTTTATCGACTATATATGGATGCTGGTACAAAAAAAGGTGGAAGAAAAGAAGTATGGGTATTTAAAAGTGTTTTCGGCGCAGCACATTGGGAATTAGAAGCGGCCCCCGGCGGGATGTATCCAGTATCCCGAATTCTTGATACCACTTGCAGAGTCAGTCAGCCTAATCAAACAAGGTCAAATAAAGACAACCTTTTTCCTTCTCCCGCTCTGACTATGCTGCTGTGTAATTGGGAAACTTCTTTGACTCCTCAACAGTCTTATCCCATTCCCTGTCCTCGTCGAGCTCCTTGGCCATGCGGATGACTTCATCCCACTCTTCACGCGTAACCTTGTTGACGCTGAGACGAGACTGCTTCAGCAGCTCCATGTTCTGCAGAGGGCCATTACCGCGCGACTCCTTGAGCAGGCTCAGCGGCACGATGCGAGGGAACTTGTGCTCGATTTTGACGTGGACGAGGCTCCATTTGCTCCCGTCGTGCGGGGCACTGTCGTCGTAGTATGGGTTGTCATTGATGCATGCGTTCCCTGACAACCATGTTAGTCCATTGGCCTTATTGTATGGATGGGTCGGAAGGGGGCAGAACACACAGTCGGGCGAGTGCTCCTTGGCTATACTCATGATACCAACCACACCAGGCTCTTTACAATTCGAGTGGTAGAAGAAGGCCTTGTCGCCCTTTCGCATCCCCCGCAGGTTGTTCCTCGCGACATAGTTCCGAATACCTGCGCTTTTCGTCAATCGCTTGCTCCACACTCACACAGAAAAGTCCAGGACGATGAACCTACCCTCCCAGCCCTCGGGCGTCTTCTTGGCAGCCAAATCATCAATGGAGAACTTAATCTCATACCCGTCCTCGATGCGAACATCCGGCTCAGACTTCATGAGCCAGTACCGCGGGCCCGGCGGATCCCGTGGCTCCGCCTCGGCGTTGACGTCCGGGACGGGCGCATCGCGAAGGGCATTGAGTTCGTCCTTTGTCTTCTTTGGCGGCGCTTCCTTCTTCCCTGCCGCCGGCTTCTATTCATGCATGAGTAAACGAGGACCAAGAAATGAAAACAGGACAATTTCATTGTGATAGCCGGGGGGTAATTTCACTCAGCTTACCTTGGCTTTCTTGGCGGGCTTCGGCTTCGGTTCGTCCTCGTCCTCGACAGCCTCGGCTTTGGTCTCCTCTTCCTTCCCGATTGATGCTGCTGCTTTTCTCTTCTGACCTGCAGTGGGCTTGGGCGGAGGCGGAGATTGTGGAGCTTGCTTCTTGGTCTTCTTTTCTGTCTTGGAGGTGGGCTTCGGTTCCGCTGGCGATGGCTTCTTCTCATCCGCTACTGGGGCGGTGGTGAGGCGCGTCGATGACCTCAGACTGCGGGTGACGGCGGGCATTGTGAGAGTAACAACACGAGACCCAAGAACAAGTTGGGTATGTACGACTGGCAAATCAAGTAAGCACAAGGGCAAGATATGACTAGGTCTGTAAGTGAAGGTTGTGTGGCTTGTGATGCGTGCCAGTCGATGGAGCAAGCTCATCCCGGAGACGCGCAGCTGTGGTGGGTTCGCCGTTCTAGACTGAGGCGTGCAGCAGGTGGGACCAAAACCGTTGAACGGACGCATGGACCTCTAATTGATCACGTAATCGGCCGTCTCGACAAACGTCCGCGGTGACCGGTCACATTTTCCTTTTCATCATTCGCTTAGGCCTGGACGGACATGGGAGTTGCGAAATCTCCTCAGCAACCCACTTCAACAAGGTATCCGTATTTAAGTTTAAGTTGGGTCGATCGAGATCACCTAGTTGTTCATTGCACTGCATAAATGTCGACGTGCAGCTTGTCGTTATGAATTTGCGGGTTGAAGCCCACGTGTAGAAGACACAACGACTACGTAAGACATGTTGACAGGATCACGACCAAGTCCAATCTCCACCAAAAGTAACAAAAGACCACAATTGCTCTTTGGAACTTTCTCCATGTGATATTCCGGAACCCTTACTGTCAGACTGAGCAGTGAACAACTTGCATCTGTGATCCTGTGATGAGGCTCAATTAGTCCTCATTCTTGGGTCTCGTAGATGTTTACCATGTTCAAAAAAGGGCGTAGGGAGCACCAACCTGACCCACCCAGCTGAGTCTCATGAACCCCTCGCCAACATTCCCAATATCACCATCTTCGCCTCACATCAAACACCGCAATATAGCCAAACTCCCCAGAAACGCCCAAGATGTTAAAAGCGGCAGAAACAGCGCTCGCCGCAATCGGCAAAACACCCCTCGTCCGTCTCCGCCGAGTCGTCCCCGCAAACCACGCAGACGTCTACCTCAAACTCGAATACACCAACCCAACAGGCTCCCACAAAGACCGCATGGCCGCCGCCATCATCCAAGAGGCCGAGAAGAGAGGCGCCCTCAAGCCGGGGATGAAAGTCGTCGAGGCCACAGGCGGCAGCACGGGGTCTTCGCTCGCCTTCGTCTGCGCGGTCAAGGGCTACAGGTTTCAACCGGTTAGCTCCAACGCTTATGCGGTGGAGAAGCTCAAGACTATGGCGGCGTTTGGGGCCAAGGTTGATATTGTTCATAGTCCGAAAGGACGGATTACTGCTGATTTGATTCCTTCCATGATTCGGCGGGCGAAGGAGATTGAAGGGGAGGGGAATGTGTATTCTACGGATCAGTTCAATAACCGGGACGCCTTGGTTGGGTACGCGGCTTTGGGCCATGAGATCGTTGAGCAGGTTCCAGAGGGGGTCGATGTCTTTTGCGCTGCCGTTGGTACCGCCGGAATGGCGATGGGTGTCTCCGCAGTCTTGAAGGCAGCTAGACCAGAGACGCGCGTGGTCGTACTGGAGCCCGCTTCAACGGCCGTCATTACAGGAGGTCAAGCTGGTTCGCATGGTGTCGAGGGAATTGGTATCGGCTTTCTCCCTCCTCTCTTGGATAAGAAGCTGTATGACGAGGCGCGGGCCGTTTCGGAGGATGAAGCGCGTGTCATGTGTAGGCGTCTAGCTAATGACGAAGGCATTTTTGCGGGCGTGTCCACGGGTTTGAATGTGGTTGCTGCGATTCGGTTGGCGGCGGAGATGGGGGCTGGGAAGAGGGTGGTTACCATCGCGTGCGACTCGGGTCTGAAGTACTTGAATGGGGACTTATTCTCAACTCCGCAGTAGATTGCTTGCCGTTAAAGAAGACAATCCGGGGTTTTCTCAGGGTGAAGACTGAGTAGTCGGAATCGTTTACTGCGTCTCAAAGGGCTGGCAGTGTCACTCAGGTCAAGTTCAGGGGTCCACCAACTTGGTAGAGTGGAACACACATAGATGATAGAGATCATGAATATAGTAGTTATCAGTGTCATGGAGCAGAAGTTAAAAACAAAATGAAATTTTCGTTGTTGAATACGGAGCTAGCTAGAATGAAGAAAGCCTTTTGGAAGGCGAAAGAAAATGGAATCGTCCCCTATTCCAACATCGGTTTTTAGGAAGCCTCCCAACTTCCGCCGTCCATGCCAAGGGACATCTTGAAGAAGTTTGAACCCTGGCTAGAGGCATGCAACACCTTTTCAAGTCATTTACTCCTGGAAAACGACAAAGCGGACAATGTAGCCCTGAACAACACTGGTGGTGCGGGCGGCAGGACCGACAAGACCGTTGTAGGTGGTGGTGGTAACGTTGATGAGCTGGGGGTTCTGGCCCTCCTCGGTAGGGAGCTTGGCCCAGCGGAAAGTGTAGGAGATGACGCCGTTGTGAACGGTGGCGTTGACGAGTCTCAGGAACTCCTCGTTGAAGCTGGGCACGACGGAGATCTTCGAGTCGCCCTCGGCCTTCTGGACAACGGCAGTAATGGTGGTCTCGTGATCGGCGCCGAGGCCGAGATGGATGGGAGACAAGACGCTGCCGATGGCGGTGTTATCGTGCTTGGTGAAGTCTATGCCGGTGGTGGGGACGACACCCTCGAGTCCGGTGTACTTGATCTCAATCTCCTTGGTGCCGTCGGCGGTGTCGACGAAGACGGTCTTGTTATTGAAGTGAGAGGTGGGGAGGTTAATGTGGAACTTTGTGGTAACGTCCTGGATATCGCGGACTCCCGGGGGAAGCACGCCGCCGAAGAAGCCCTGCAGGGCGAACTTGAGGCCACCGACGAAACCCTCGACACGAACAAACTTGGGACCGAGGACGACGGCGGGGACCTGAGCTGTGAGGACGAGCTCGCGGGTCTTGCTGTCGTAGAGAGCAGCGAGCTTTGAGGCGGAAAGGAGGTGAGCCATTGTGAAATCTGTGTTTCGTAGTGAGATGGGAAAAGAAAGTTGAGGTGGATGGTTGAGGCTTATAGAGATGATAGTGAAAAGTGAAGAAGCTGATTGTGGTGATGAGGAGAAGAAGACATTTTCAGGGGAAATATTTTTGGTCTTTATACAACAGACTCCAAAGTATAAAAGCAACTGGACCCTTACTTGTTCACTCCACGTTTTTCAGCTTCTTCTGAACTTGGATAGAAACATCACGGAAGATCCGCAAGCATGCCATTACAGACCACCATCTTTTTCGCGGCTGAGGATACACATCTCCTTTGGCATCTCGGATGGCAGTTGACCTAACCAGAACAGGTAAGATGCATCTCATGAAGACGCTCTAGATTTCATGTTTTCTTCTACTGCTGCGATCAGTTGAACGCTCCTGGAAACTGAAGTCCAGGCTGGAAGCTACATGGAGGAGACGATGAGAATAGCATAGCACATGTTATGCTTGTGGCACATGTCATCTTCTAGGTGCTTTAACTTTGGAACGAATTGGTCCACTTGGATAGAGTCCCAGAGACTATAGCATGTAGCTCATGATCAATGTCACCAGACATATGGTTCGAACTTTTGCGATTCGCAGCTCTTCTCTACAATGAATCCCGAACCCTTAAGGTCACAGCGATCTTTGTGGCAGAAACGTCCCGCTGGCATCGACCTGACGTGGGCCATGACATACTTTACAATATTGTTCGACGATCACGACCATTCTGCTCGCACCAGACTCGACCCTGGAATTATGTGGCTGGCTCAAAGCTTGTAAAGGAATACCATATGTCGTTCAGTAGCCAATGAACACCCGGCGTGGCTTAGATACAAGTATGAGGTTGAAGCAAGAAGCAGGACTGCCAGAGCATTCCACCACGGACTATCAACTGCAGCTGACAGAAATCGCGGCCCAAAAAATTCATGTCACCGAGTGGTGGGCGGTGGCGGCGTGGCGCTTTGAAAACAACCGCAACCCACGAGTCGAACGACGAGGCGCCTCGTCTATGGCACGACATTCCTCCAACTGTCGCCATCGGCCATCCTCTCCCCCGCGCCAAGGGGCGGGTTACTAGGGCGGCCCGCCTTCAGCTGCCGCCCCTAGCGTGTAAGTCCCATAGCCACGAGTGCCACCGTTCAGTCGAGAACATTTCGAAGACTCCTGAAATTGGCGTAGTCTGTGTCACAACCTCTAGCCATGTGCACTAGTTGAGGAATGGGAAAGGGTGCTCCCGCTGCAGTCCGCTGGCATGGTCCAGAATGAACGCCGCACACGGAATATCAGGGTTTGAGACATTTACGACTGGCGCAATTCAGCCGCACAATTCGCTCTCAGCCACGCGAGGTTGCGAAAAACCCCATGATTGTGAGACATTATCTTGAAACGGGAATAAGTTGCTCTTGTAAACAGCGGCTGGGTAATAAGGTGAGGGAGCGGCTTTACCTATGGCCACGTCTTGATGGTTGACCGCTTGTCATATCGAGTGTCAGTGACCAGCCCTCGACTAGCTCTGTTAGTAGGGGAGACCGAGGGCAGTATCTCTTTCACACACCTGATTGTCTCTATGCCAGTCGCACTCTCTCCGACCGAACATTTCTGTGATGATTATCTGCAGGTATCAATTCCAATTCCGAAGTTTATCATGCTGTTACATCATTGAGGTGTCGAGTTACATGTGCTGTGATACTGCGAGGGAATCTAATTTGTATACAATGCCATTACCAAAAAAGCCCTACCTAGCATCACATTTATACTAACAATATCGGACATATAGTCGGCAAAGAATCAGGATTTGAATAAGTCTACATATAGTATCATTGGTTTCAATAATATCTATCTTAGAGTGAGATGTGTGATCGATCTCTAAGGGCATAGCATCGTTCCTATCTGTGCTGTGACCATTTTGCGCCTATACCCATGGCTATTATATAGATACTCATAGTAACCTCTACCACTCACATCCAATCATCCACATCCAACGCTCAAATCTACTGTTATCTCCGTTCCCATTCCTGCCATATCTTATAGTGCTAGATGTCATGTTGTAAGTATATGGATCCAAGGATGAAGACCCCCTTGTTCGAGATATCTAAGTTAGAGTGTAATTGGCCGTCTCAAGTAATATAGAATGCTTCTAATAGAGTCTGTGATGATTGATTATAAAACCCATAGACCGAGGCTTGGGACTGGCAGTCAAGATTTCATAGGTTTGTGAACTCCGCCATTCTTATTCATACCTCATCTCCGTTTCCGTGGGAACGCCACTCAGATCGCACACAGCAAAGACCACACGGGGAGCTCAAACTTTCGGTTCCCCGATACTAACTCCTTAAGCCTTTTGAGCTACGGAAAGTTTGTTACTGATTGGAGATAGGTACCAAGTTCGACTCCATTCAGTACGGCAGTGCCTCATTAAATGAGCCTTCTGGCGCGCACAGGTCTCTTTGCAAAAAGCGTTTCCACGGTGAAGGCAAACCTTCTTGCGGCTTCAATGGCTGTGGAGCGTATAGATATAATAATCTCGTCCCCATTGTGAGTAGACGTAGACAACATTGAAAATGAAAGACCTCATCGAGAACCACTACCATACTAGCCATTGACACATCCAGAATTCTTTGCCTTCACTCAGAAAATGTCTATCCCTCTCAGACTCCATTATCCACCCTTCCATTCGACCAGTATCATGGAGACCATTTGGAACTTGCCTCGACTTCAGGAATCTCCGCAGAAGACTTCCGACGACCCTATCATGCTGCCAACGTGGGAGATTAACCTAGCCTGGAACGTGAACAAAAGTGGACTTGTCGGCTTGCCTGACGAGATTCTGTTGGAGATCATGCTTTCGATAGACAAGCCCGACTTATACACGTTGCGACAGGTGTCATACACCTTCTGGCGCATCTACCAAGGTCGAGACTTTCTCAAAGATCCTTCTCGAGGCGGATTCCCACACGACGGTGCCACCATAACACGCGCAAAACGGGATGCTTTCTGCAGCAAATGTCTCCGGCTCAGAACAATGTTTTCGCACTGGGTGTCCCAATTTGGTGTGCCGCTGGATTGTCGTTGCTGCAATACCTCACACGGGCGACTACAGTTCTCCTCAAAACAGCGTCAGACCTACATTTGGAAAGGTCCCCAATGCATCATATCAGAGGCATCAATCGCGGTCTGTCGCCACAAAACAGTATCTCTCATGGAAATCCGTCGAGGCCTATCTCAAGCTGGAAATGAATGGGCGAAGATGAACCCCTCTGGTATTCACTGGCTTCACAGCATCAATCTTGAATGCTGTTCCGTCTGTATGGAGACGAGCAGTCGAATTACGGGAAAATATCACAATCTCATGGTAAAGCCACCTTCAATCACGTGTTCGGCAATGAGTTCAAATAAGATACACATAATTTGGAAACACAATCGCAACCCTAGTCACCCTCGGCTGCACAATTGGTTCGAACTCGAGTGGATCCTGCCTGTCATGGTTTCAACCTCAAAAGACCAAGTTGTCACGGATTCTTTGTTATCGAAAATGCTAGAAGCGTTCGAATTAAACTTCGGTAGGGTGCTGTGTCCTCACATTACAAGAAAAGATCTACTGCGGCCATTCGACCCGAGCATCTGCCACTGCATACCCGGATCCAGCCGCCCAAGGGGACATATCGGCACCGACGATCAAGAAATTCTCCATGGATGTTTGAGTCAAAACTTACGAGTCATAGCAGACCCGGAGGATGCAGGATATACCTTTGCGCCATCGAACTGCCATTGGATGCGTTGTGCCATCTGTTGGACCAAGTATAGCTGGCTGAGACATCGGGAAGTCGTCTATTTGCAAAGACATTCTCCTTCTTTCGGTTTGACCGTTGCAAAACACAAAAGCTCGCATTGGTACCAAATCGAAGCGGCTAATAATGGCATCAAGCTCGCGCATCCCCGTTCATATGGTGCCAATAAGGTGGTCGATGACAGGGCGGAAAACATTTTTTGGTGTCATGATAAGAAATGCAAACTTGGTAGGAACTGGAATACTTACATGCGTGTACAATGTGATGAGAAATAGGACCGCTAAGTAATTTGGCCGATAATCGTCGCTGAAGTTTTCAGCTAGTTGCCTCCAATAGTGTAGAACATCTTGTTAAGTACTTTGTGTACCCTGAGTGCGAGTTCACATAGAGTCGATGCTCACGCGATGGTTCCGGCGTCTTGAGCTCAATTGATGGCGAAGGTTGTGTTAGCAATGTTCAACATGGTACTGATATCGATATCTCGAAAGTAGCATTTAGCTCAACAATGGCTCTGTAAGCGGATATGCATTGTGTAATTTCCTTGTGAGACATGCAAGATGCACCAACATTAGACGATTGGATTGATACCTAATAAACGATGCAAAAAAGTTTGGATGAAATTTGCGCGAGGGTACGACATAGCAGACCTTTCTTGTGGCCTGATGAAACAACAAGTATTATCCCAGTAGAAATTTGACAAAGTAACTAAAATCCATAAGAAAACAGTCAATGCCTGTCCGTCTTGCTCATCTCGATGGTGACGGTGAAAGCATCTGTCCGTACAATCTTCCCATCAGAGTCATGCTGCTCTAGAATGCTCTCTTGACTTCCCCTTCCAACAACTGTCGTCTTGCCAATACTGTTGAAACTGTCCGCGTCGAATCCCTCTTGAGAAGCCTTCTTAACAGGAGTTCGGAAAAGTCCCTTGTTCGTCCCCAATCTGCCACTGAGTCTCGATTTGGAGTTTCCTGACAAGTATTTGCCATTGCCTGAGGAGAAGATGCGTTTGCCGAATAGGAGTTCGCCGAGGGGTTGTAGGACAGGGATGCATGCGGCTATGATGATGATACTGCCTTCCACACTATAGAACTCAGGTTAGTTGGTGTGAGTCTTGAGTAAAGGGGTTCTTCGTCTTACACTGTCCAAATTACAAGCTCAACGGTGTCATCTGTGTCACAAAGTGTTAGTCGCTACTGTGAAATCGCTTGATCGAAGTCCTGAACTTACATGTGTAATCCAAGCTTGTGAGACTTGGGAGTTTGATACACTTGTAGATGACTACAATTCCCGAACTGAAAGAGTCTTAGTCAACTGTTGTCTGGGTGCGACTCAACATTGAAGCCTTACAGCGAACCGAAACCGAGAGCTACGCTGAGTACAATCTTCTTCCTTCGGTTCATTTGTAATTTCGACAAGACAACGGCGGGGTACACGGAAAGATAGACATCGGCAAAGGCACAAAATGCTAGATTTGTTAGCCTATCCAAAGTTGTTCCCTGAGTGGTAACCATAGCAGCTTACCTCCTGAGTACGTCGCGAACGAGACAAGGATCCACTTGCTCCAACATTTACCAGATACTGATGAATCCCATTGAGAGCGTGCTGGTGAGCATTGGGCAAAGATGATCGTGATGAACCCAACCAAGTTGACAACGCAGATTATGGACATGGCCCAAAGAAACCTCTTGTGCCATCTACTTGGGTTCAGAATTCGGGTGAGCAACGCGACGACGGCGAGTTTCGGAATGCCGAATGAAAGAAGTCCTGGCGGGTAACCGGCAATGCTCCAAAGCATGGCACCTGACTTTTCATCGACAGAGAGGGTATCGGCATGGCGTCCATATCCGTAGGAAACAGCAACTGCTACAGTTGCGACGTTCATCCAACCGCAAACCTAGATTCACAACAGTCAGTTGAACGATGCTTCTCGATCCGACAGCGGATCATCTAGAACTCCACTTCCATAGCGGCATCTTGTCTTAGAAATATCGGAGGAATGAAAAGAGAAACAACAGAGTGGATTGGTATTATTGGTATAGTCGTGGTTGGCATGAACAGGACAGTACCGATAAAACTTGTAGAACTCACCACAGATGCAACAATGAAGTAGTCGTCCAGACTGATTTTCCCGAGAACCTTCCCCCTTGTGAAGAGTCTTGCTGCGGTAAAGACTGTGCTGAGAACTGATACACAAACGACGATTGCAAGAGCAGTTGGCCCCTTATTCTCGGCGTTTCGAGCTGACATAGTATCCGACGACATTGAGAAGAAGTCTACTGCGCCAAGAAGCGCACAAAGAGGTGCAAGAAGAAACGAAGATCCAGACGGGGAGAAGCTATCCAACGAATAATGAAAGAATTGAACTCGCTGACATGGGGAAGATATGACTTGGCGAGAGGAGCGGACAGACGGACAAAGGCCGGATCAGGGCCACCATGTGCCTCAATCGCAGAACCGCGCGCATCTCAAAGTCCATCGCAGCAGTCATCAACTTACTCGGTCCATGCCTCGGGAAGGATGCGCACAGAAACTCAATTAGATTGATCAACAAGATTAAAAGGTCAAAATGGGATGAACGCAAGGATAAACGACGCCAAGTTAGGGTCGCAGCAATTGCGGTCCCTGGTTTAGCTTGGCCTGATTAGTAGTGGTGCAGGTGGAGGGACCACGGTTATGATTCAAGCATCGTGCTCTGTCCGCCTGCCAAGGGCCAGCCAAACAGGTGTTGGAACAACAACAATTCTTCAACAAGACTCGGACTCGAGTCAAAGACCATGTCAAAGTCGGCTTCCGCGGCGGATGTCTGACGTTATCTCCCCACACACGTGGCCTTGAGCGAGATCTGCAGGCTTGCTTGTCTGACAGGTATCGTTCGAGGCGCTTGTCTCAGCCGTGTTATCTTTGAGTACTTTATTGACCAGGTAGAGAAAGAGTGGCTGGTTGCAAGATATGTCTCAGAAAACATGCTTCAAACTTACAGCGCTGCCTCGCGGGATGGTGGGATTCTTGGATGGCCTTATGGATATTCCACCCACTCCTCTTCGGTCTCCAGGACCAAGCTTTACTAAACTCTGTTTAACATTCGAGTCCTTGTTACATCGTCCATTCGTCATATACTACCATTCCGCTTGTTCTTAACTCAAACATACGATCGAGTGATTGGTAAAAATTCCCCGGTAGTTCCGCCTAGCGGATAGCGACCGGACCGCGAGCGGCGCGGAGAAGACGAGCATGGGAGACATGTTTTCCGCTCCTCAGCGACTTTCTGTACTCCTCTTTTGATGATCCGCCTGGGGCAGGTGTCGGCATAAATCGTGTTTGAGCTAGTGCTCCGCGCTACGGGCGAGAATAGTAAGCCGGTGGGCTGCTATGGATACGAAGCTCGCTTATTGAGTCGTGGCAGTAGTATTCGTTCCTCTTTGGACTGTGTAGACGACGATATGGCACATAGTGAAACTTGGAAGTGAAGGCCGCGTCTACCTCGGCTAATAAGTGTTGAGGAGAAGCCGATGACAACAAGGATCAAGTACAATACTTTCCAAAATGGTCAAACATTGGCGCTTCGTCGGTTTGTGGATACAAAAGGACCTACCGCTCAGCGAGTCGTAAGTCTCTCGATGTGGCCTGACGTTGTCGAATAGCACGGTCAAAGCGCTCAAATAAATTAAGTAGTCCCGCGTGGCGTAATTCCAGCCGTAAGGAAAACCGGGAACAGCGATGCTCTTAGTGTAACTCTATTCCATGCTCAATAATCGGATTCGCACCCTATCGCCAAGGGGCGCTCTTCCCGAGGAATACGCCAGTATCCTGGGAACCGGCAGCTTCCCCGGACCCGATGCCCCTTGTAATCTTGGAGGCTGTCAGCTGACAAGATTGCAGGTCAGCGCTTATCGTAGGCTCGGAGCAGCAGGTGGTCCGCGGCGAATCTCGACTTCATGTATGCGATCAGCCCCAAACGTCTAAAAGGCATGGCACTCGCTTTTGGAGGTTTATTTAAACAACTACTTATAGTGATATATGAAAGATGAGGCGGTCGAGATCGCGCCGAGCAACCAAGCGCAGGGTCCGACCCAGTGATGTGATCTGGCGATGCCGCGATTGAGTTGTAGATTGACGAATGTCTTCTTCAGTGGGGATAGGTGAGCAAAGTATGCCCGAAACTGCCGGACCAGTATAAAACATATAACATGCTTTTGATTGCAACGAGTGACCAATCCGTGAGAACAACTATATTTCTGTCTTCTAATCACTTCGGCGAAAGCCGTTCGTGGGTTGTATCAATGGCTGGGAACTCTAGTTTCATAGTACGTACCTACCAACACAACGTTGAGGCCCTGGTCTCAGTGCCTTACATTAGCGCACTCGACAAAGTCTTTTACGCTGAGCAGCCTTTTTCAACAGGGACAGCTAATGACGAACTCACCGGCAACGCGTCTTCAATTCCGCCCATGTACGATAAAAATCATGCCATCCTTTGAATTTCGAAGTAACAAGTTTTCTAAGTAAATAGCACTTTGTAATTTTCATTGTTGCTTATCCGAAGTTATCACTGCCAGTCACCTTTGCTTTGACTGCACTACGATCTGCACCCACAGAAACCTTTTCCTCGCATCGAGTTAACTACTCAGTGCATCAGACTAAGTCATTCCTGCCACAAAACGGTTTGTGTCCTCGACTTAGTTCAGAGTCGATTGTTTGACGACTCACCATAGCGGATGACTTGGGGCCAGGCCCTGTTCTGTCAAGGCAGGTAAGGCCGCAGCCCATACCGGACAACCTTTAGGTAAATAGACAATGAGTAAGACATAAACTTTCAACTACTACTACTCTCTGGCAAGTGTTTAACACCATCCAGTTTCGGTCCTGCAGGCAATGAGATGGACGCGATGTTGAGGGCAAGACTATAACCTATATCTACCAGGAAATGTCGACTCGCCATTGGCACTGGTAACTCCATACACAAGTTTGAAAGCCGTGATGCCGACAGGACTGTCGCAAGACTCTAGCAAATGCGTCACTTAATGAACTGAAGAAACACCTTGAGAAGAGAGATCCAATGAGGTTCTGACTGAATGACATGTACTCTACACAGATCCAAGCTGTGAAGTTAACTGTCTGAACACACCATCAACAGGCGCATATTCATTCCCCCAGCTAACTTTCTTTGCATCGAAACTTGCTTAGACACATCGTTCATATTGCAATTGTTGTATATTTTTAGCGAAACTAATATCTTTAAACTTGGCCCATGCCGGATAATTCTTAGCATTGTGCA